CTTAAATAGTAGTTTATAAGTATTTATTATTAAGCCTTTTTACTTAAAATATATTTTTATTATCTAAAGTTTTATAGATTATATATAGTTTATAGTTATATATAGTATAGAAACCTTGAGGAATAATATAAGAGGTAAAGAGTAAATTGGCGCTTAAATAAGGAATAAATAAAGTATTATATAGTCTTAAATTATTATATAGTAGCTTAACATTAATAATATCTCTTCTCTAAATAAAGAGAGTCTTACTACCTATCTTAATCTTATACTAACCTGATTTATTAACTATAAGGTCTAATTCAAATATATTAATCTAGTTAGTTATGTAAGTAGTTACTTTACTATTATAAATCTAGTTAAAAAAACTAGGATTAAATTAGGATATTATTAGGGATATCTTATCTAGATAAAGAGAGAATACTAATATAGAATTTTTATTAATATTAGTTAAAGAGCCTATTATCTTAATAGTAATATAAGCTTAATAATTATTATTACTTTTATTAAAAGCTACTTATTTAACGGATTAAGTCATATTATTATCCTCAGGCTCATTATTACCTAGGTAAGCCTGTATTGATTTTGAAAAGCGTACAGACTTAGATGTTTTGTAATTACTTCTTAATAAGGGAGATCACTATAAGAATCGATTTTAGTAAGACTAAGACTTGTTTAATGTAGATCTTAATGCAGACTTCCTTTTGTGCTCCCTAAGGAGGCGAAGAATAAGCTCTTAGTTAGGGCAATCTGAAGAAGCATGCTGAACCTTGTTACATTAATAGCAGATGAGCTCCTTTCTGCTACTTAGCTAATAAAGAAGAAGATAATAAATAATTTAATAAGTAATAATAAGGGCAGCAGCTATACTTAAAGAGGGACGCCTATTAGCCCTAGAGTAGTGGGCTTTTTCTCGTATTCTGCTTAGTGCAGAATTAAGCGCCTTCTCTGTCTTCTCTAGCTACACAAGTCCTTCTTTAATTTCGACCTCTTAGGCCTACAAAATATGACTTAAGGCCACAAGCTCTCTTAGCAGCATAGATACTAGACGGTTAAAGATATGCCTAGGCATTATTATAACGCCTAGAATTACGTCGTATTCTCTGACTTTTTAAGCCAGATTCTTTAGCTTAATATAAGTTATATATATACTTTGCTTTTTAATCTTATATCTATAGAATTTACTAATATAGTCCTAGGTTATAGACTTTAGGGCCTTCTTATATTTGTGTTCTAGATATTAAATAAGAAGAGCTACTTCTTAGTATTTATATACTATTTAATAATTATTATTTCTAAGTCCTTAAAAAATTAAAAATAATATTATAATATTTTAAGCTCTAAATAGTAACTTTTTACTTTTCTTTTTTTGTTACTAAATATTAAATAAGTTATTATTAATTATATATTATATATTATTTTTAAGCGCTTATAGCAAGTTTTTTGCTACTAAGAATCTTGTCTTTTATAATATATATTAGCTAGTACTCTTATTTATTATATACTTTATAATTATTAGAATCTTAATTAATTATAATTTGTTATAGTTGCTTCTTCTTCCTTGTTTTTTCTTTAATCTTCTAAGGTCTTTTTAATAAAGTTAATAATACTAGTATTAATATTATAAAAGTAAATAGAGTAATATTTAGAAAAGGCGATATTAGCTATAGTAAAGGTAAATTAAAAGAAAGAACTAGTCTCTTAACATGCTTATTAAAGGTTAAGAGGCTTGCTAAGTATTAACTAGATTGCTCTTTTTAAGAGTCAGAGTTATTATTAATAATTAAGAAGTCTTAGAAATCGTAAAAGATGAATATTTCGTTATTTATATATTTGGCCTGTAGCCTTTATAGTCCGTCTTAAAAGAAATAGCTAAATAGCTAGAGAGGAAGAGATGCCGGTTTCGTTATACTTCTATAGCTACTTTAGCAGATTTTGTAAACTAGATATAATATAAGGAAATAGCTTTATTGTCTAAGGTCTCTCTTCTTCTGACGGAATAAGCTTAATAGAGAAGCTTCTTAGGCCTTCTCTAGATGTTTCAGGTCTCTCTCTTATAAACAGGGTCAATTAACTTATATAATAGCTAGTAAATAGAGCAAAGCACAAATAGAGTTTAGCTTAAACAGAATAAGTGTAACAGAGAGCACTAAAGGAAGGATATAGTAGTTTAGCAGCCTAGCATACTTGTTTAATTAAAGGAAGAATAAAATAAGCTAGATAAGAGCTTATCTAACCTATTTAAGAGAAGTAAAGCTTGCTAGAGCTGCCTCCTTACTTACTTATTTAGTGATTGCGAAGCCGGGCTTATAACCTTTTAAAGTTCTTACTCTATAGTATTATATATTTTCTTACTTAGATTTTTTAATAATTACTTAAAAAGGATTTTTTGTGCTAAGGCACAAGAAATTAGGGCATATAACATATTAGAGTAGCGCTAAGCCACTTCAGGATTTGGCTATATATATATAACTAAATCTTCTTAGCAGTTACAGCAGCTTGTGCTGCCTTATAAAGAGGTTATTAGCTATACAGCTATACTAGCATTAAGCTGTATTGCTTAACAAATATAAGACTTATAGAAATCTAATTAGATAATAAAACTTAAGACTAAGAGTATAAGATAAAGAAAGTCTTAGATAAATAAGATATTAATAATAAACTCTATTATCTAATTAAATAATCAGGATATATAGACTTAGAAAATATATAAAAACTAGAAATAAATCTTAGTCTTAAGACACTTATAAATTATTGCTATTAGAACCTAGACTAAGTAAGAAAGATATTAGAGTAGCTAACTCCTACTTATTAAGAATATTAACTTTAATAATATTAGATTATGACTTTTAAATAAGCTCTTTCTATTTTAAGAAATAAGCCTCTTAAGTAATTATTATATCTTAAGCCTTTTAAAAAGACTTAATCTATTAATCTAAACTTGTAGTCTTTATAATAATATAAGAATAAGTAGCTTTTAGATAAGTCTGCTCTAATTCTAATTTTTAAAATTTATTCTTTAAGTAGTTTTTATTATAAGGAATATCTTTTGTAATATAATATAAATACTTTAAGGAATATAAAAAGAAAAGATATACTACTTTATTATAAGTATATATCAAATATAATATAGCAATATAATAACTCTAAAGGGCTATCTTGTTAAAAAGAGCCTAACACTAAACACTAAAGGAAGGTTTACTAATATAATAAATAAATAAAGATATTATAAAAAAAGAAATTACAAAACTCTAAGAAACTAAAAGACGTATTCTTAGCTTATAAGACTAAGCTAGTAAGAGGGGGGGATAGTATTATAGCATATAAATATACTAAGCACTAATAGGTACTACAGAGCTGCCTAGCACTCTACAAAGAAACTATGATAGACTTAAATAGGACTAAACCCTAAACTATATATAAGGTCAGACCTAAATAACATAATAATCAGAGGTGATCAGAGTAAGCACTTATAAGTAATATTAGAGGTGATCAAGGTAATTAATTCTGAGCACGAATCTTCTACTCTATATAAGCACACTTATTTCCCAGGTAATTTTATAGTCTTTATAATCAACTTATATATTATTAGCTTATACCTAAGTTAAAGACATCCTAATATTATTTATTACACTTCTTATTCTATTTAACTAACCTACTTAGACTTAGCTTCTAGTTAAGACTTGTCTTAACTAGTTAAGCCTTAATACTTAGCTAGAATAAGTAATCTCTGAATATAATAAAAGATTTAGCTATATATATATAGCTAAATTTATTATATAATAATAATTATAATTTTGACTTAATAAAAGTAAAGTTAACTAGCTTTGTAACTTTAGAGTTAATAAGAACGTATTCAGACTTATTATTATAGTTATAAATCTCTTAAATAGTCTGCTAAACGCCTTATAAAAATAGTATTAAAGATATTAAAATAGCTTAATTTAGATAAAGATACCTCTAAACAAGATCGCCTTTATCATCTTTAATAAGATAAAGCTATATTTCGATTTCTATTTAATGAAATTAATTTATTTGCTCTTAATAAGCTTGTAAATAAGTAGGAACTAATTAAGGAGATAGTTACTAATTAAAGAGATTTAAATATTAAGCTCTGTTATTATTAATTACTTCTTTAATAATATCTTCTCTGTAAACATTCCCTTTTTAGCCTTATAATAATTGGCTAGCCTATCCTGAAGTCTTTAATATATCCTTATTAGTGGATTAAGGGCTTTGTTATTTAATTTAGTAGCTGGATACTAATAAATCAAGAGAGTAACAAAATTAGGATAAGAGAGTCTAATTATCTCTTTCTACAGCGCTAACAGTACACCTCTATAGGTCAATACCTTTTGATAATTAGAGATGCCTTATCTAGCACAGATAGAGCCTATATTGATAACGAAATCGCTCAAAATAATAGACAGATACTTGGTTTAGCTTAGGCTGCGTACAAGGGCCATGGTATCCTTATTACTAATCCTCTTACTGTGCCAAAGAAGAAGTAGGTACCCAAGAAGTTGCACAGTAAAGCGAACACCAGAGCTCTTACAGGGCCAGAAATAGCTGCAAGAGAGCTTAACGCTTGTGAACACGAACAACGGCTGCAAGAAAGGGATCAGCTTGCTATCAACATGGCTTTGGGCCCTTCTACTGCAACAGATATACCCTAATTTGGCTTGAGAGATGTTGCTGTGGTAACAGGGCAGCAGAAACGCTCTTCCGATCTGTAATTTAATTAAGTAGAGAGTGACTATATAATAGCGATTAAGTAGAAGATTAGTGGAAGGAGGTGTTATGTAGGCTGAGTTATCAGCGCCCCAGGAGGAGGATCCCTTTGTTCTGCCTGCCTCAACAGCTCCTGCTCTGTTGCAGACGAATGTACGGCCTAAACGTGCTAGAGGGGCTACTTTGAACTACAAGGCGATGCATGAGGGCAAGCAGAATCAGCCAAAAAGGGCCAAATAGACCAGATAATAGATATAACACCGCAGTACGTATCAAGAATCCCAAATAGGAAATAGGATGACCGTCAATAAGGTCAAAAATATGTCCTTGACTCTTGCATATACTGTGGGGACTTCGCGATCAACCCGCCACCTAATTTTGGTGGGGCATTTATCACGGAGTGCCAAGGGCCGAATAATTTTCATCTGAATATGGCTGTCGAATATGGCTCTCCCGAGACAAGCCGCAAGACAATCGACCAGCAACCACATAACCTGGAAGCAGACCAGGATCTTTGCCAAAATGTCTGCTTTGCTCTTATCTGTGATCTCTGACTCTTCAATCTCGATGAATTTGCCACCTCGCGCCAATTCCTCGAGGTCTTGAGCAGTCAGCGTCACGTACTGATGCTTGTAACCAAAATCTCGATCGTCCACGTCCACGACAAAGCCACCCATGCCCACGAAGAAGCAGTAAACTAAGCTGAACGTGGGAGCTCGACTTGTCGCAAATTCTGCAGATAGTGGGCTTTTCGATGTCGCTGCTTTCGCGCTTCCCTGTTTGGTTTCGTTCTCGCCTTCTGCTATGGCATTCTCCTCTAATTTGGCCAATCCCTCCGTAGTGACAGGATCAGTCAGCTGCTAAAACAAACTCGGTCAGTATTCAGAGACCTTTGATATATAGACCAGCATACGTTTTGGTATTCCATCAGACATTCAGGACGTAGTTCCATAGAGTGGAGCCGTGCTTACCTTAGTTGCGGCTTCGTCATGCCTGCTCTTAACGATGTTAGTGAGGCTTTTCTGTAACTCCAGTGCCCTATGGAACTGATAGATTGCCGTATAAACCACAATCTCTGGCGCAAAAATCCCAAGGACCGTCCATTTTGCCTTTTGGATGTATTGCCATTCCCTGCCTTCGCCACGCGGAGGCACATTGATATGTACAGCAGAGTACACAGAGAGCGAAATGGTGAGGAGGCAGGAATACAGAATATCAGAAGTTCCTCGGACTTGCGCTGATGGCATCCAGGCCGGCGCGATGTCATTGTTCAGCGCGGTGCTATTGCCAAGAGGAATTGGCGAGCCAGGTGGTAAGCGTGGGAGTGGAGAGCCTTGCGTGGCTGGCAATGTCTTCAAGACCCATAACAGATACAAGCCGAGACTCATGATGCACGCGTGCAAAGATCAAGCGTGCAAAGATTAAGCGGTAGAGATTTCGACACCAGATATGACTAGAAGAACTGTGCTCCAAACCTGTGGTCAGATGGGAGGTCTGTTCTCAGTCTTCAGCCGAACAAGGCTGTGCCATGGCACTGTGGCTGTACATGGCATCGGCTTGCGTAACCAGACGCCTTGGAGGCAAGATGCGGGCCTCATCAGTTGAAAAAAGGCATTCAAAGTACTGCAATTGGGCCTTTGAAAAATGGAAATTGAGCAAATGAGCTTGGAATAGCTTATGGATGCTTCCAGGGTAATCCAGCAGTTAGGCACTTACGCAGCAGTGTACTCCGTAAGCCGGGTCAAATGCAAGGGACCGGAGGACCCAAATGCAACACTTTTGTTGGGCAAAACTGGAAGGCCCTAAAGTCTGAACTAGAATTTCTTTCCATTTAAAAAACCAGCCATGCCCTGTTTTACACGGCAACAACCGTCAAAATCATTGAAACTTGGTTAGATAATGGCAGACGGTGTTTGGGACATCTTGTTATGGAATTACAACGCATACAGTCCATAATGATTGCTGCCATGTTCAGAGCTTACAATCCAGGATGATGTCAACAAAACGACAATCCACGATTCAGGAGAGACATCCCGAGCTCTTACTTACCGAGTCCAACGTGGACCGTCGAACATGTATACGCGTTGTTCCAATGAAAGTGCTGAACCTCGGCTTCCCATGAACAGGCACCATGTGTAAGTAGTCAAATAAAACAGCATTTCTCGGAACACCCAGTTCTCCATATCGAGACATTTGACCACCATCTACCACCACGGCCATCCGAATGGCCCTCAACATCCTCAACTATCCCTGCTACCACTCCGTCCACTCTCCTGCAACGTCCGCGACTGCGAAATGTGGCTAGAAGCCCTCGACGGCAAATTCTTTCACAAGAGAGGTTGCGTTCTCTTCACCCGGACAGATTAGGACCAGCTGCTGTGCACACTATCGAGCCGTAAGTGCAGATCCAACAGCGGTAGAATTCGCCGAGGATCTCATCGAGGAATATTCTGGAGGTCAAGGTGATCCTGACCGAGCGCGACCCCGAGGGCTGGTATGCTAGTTTCGAGCGCACTGTCATCATGCACGTGTGGAACAGGCTCCTGAACGGCATTGCTGGTCTGGATCTGTTTTTCGTGGGACGCGATGTGCATACAAGGTGGACTACCGGGTGGATGGGCGCGCGTGGTAAGGCGGAGATGCGAGCAAAGGCAAGAGGTAAGTATCGCGAGCATTATGCGCTGGTGAGGCGTATGACGCCAAAGGAGAGGTTGCTGGAATATCGACTTGGTGATGGATAGGCGGTGCTTTGCAGATTTCTAGACAAGCCGGTTCCTGACGTGCCTTTTCCGAAGAGGGGTCAACGATGAGAAAGCGTCGCAAAAGACGATGTGTATTATTATAAGAAGGGTTATCTCGAATTTCGCTCGGCGTCTAGGTGTTTTGTTCATCCTGCCGGGCATTGCTGCGGCATCGGGCCGGCTGCTATATCGTAGGTGACAAGTGTTCCAAGTGAGATAATGCGTGAGCCATGCTGGAATAAGAGTGAAACCTAACGCAAAGCTATCTGTTTGAAATAAGATATCTTTTGCAATCGATCTGATTAATATTGGCATACTTTTTGGTAGTAAGTGTAATACACGCGTGCAGTAGCTTAAGCCTTTGCTCTGCTTCATTATATATCAGTATCTTGACATCAAACGCCTCGCAGAATGATCAAAAGCACACTCAACCAACCTACAGACATGAAATTGCTGCCACCAAATGCTTCGAAAACGAAGACACCTCGGTGATTAACAAATTGGCGACCGTGAGGATCAAAATCCAAAAAAGTGACGGGTGGTTAATATCGTTCCGCCCCTCCTTTCACCTTCAGTGTGTTTCCACCAATCAGGTCCATCAGCGCACCCTAACCCCACTTCCTGTGCACCCATCCCTTATCCAGGCAGGCCCGTCAACAGCTCTATCGTCCTTCTCCTTCAGTCTTAATGAATTAGCCCATGCGATAATTCCGCCTTCTTGATCATACTCTGGAACGTCCGGTGATAAATTGAATCATGGCGGATTAAGCACGGACGAGGCTTGGGAGGATACTGGGACCGAGACACGACCGAGGAATGGAGGCAGGACCTATACGTGGAGTTTCAAGGCCGCGGCAGAGGAGGTGCGAGAGGGAAAGTGGGCTTGTCGTCGGTAGTGCACTCAAGAAATGACATATTAGCGACCCGGTACGTCTATGTTTAGCGGAGGTTTGGGTGAGAGAGGACGGTCGGCGCTTGTGTCCCAAAAATGGTTCGTCAGAGTCAGAGACAAGGTCATCTGGATCAGTCCGGGCGATGGAGACCGTGTAGTAGATAGCGCTCAACTGCTTATATACTTCACACAATGAATTCGTAGCAGGATGAAAACGCTAGATTGTAGCTAGCTAAAGTGTGTGTTAACAGTGTCCAGTCTATTCTACCTACCCAACGTAGGGAGAGGAATGATACCGCTGGATGGGCCCCTAGAACGAGACCCATAATAGCGTAAATCTTCATATGTGGCCTGAAAGACACACGTGGATGCCTTTGACTGTCCTGGATATAAGTGTGGCTCTATGTGTCTGGTTTGAAATTGATGCTTGGTGCTTTGATTCTCTGATGCTCTGATGCTCTGATGCTCTGCAGTGATGCTTTGCCCTTCTGTCCACGCGGTCCGAGATCCAATCCGACCCGATCCGCCCCGATCCGAAAATTCATTGGAGCTCCTTCGAAAGTCCTCGTGAAGTGAAATTGATCACACGCCCATCTCATCACAAGCATACATTCGTTCCCTCATACCGTTATACCCCTATGCTCTGCAGCCAATTTGCCATCATGGATCTACGGTAGTGCTCAACGTACTCTCGTCTTTCCTAGGCCATGGCCGACTCAAGGGGCCGTCCGGCTTCCTCTGATCCACGCGATATCCGCAGAGCAAAAAGTCCTCAAGATGCGGCCGACTCCCCTGTACCATCGTCTCATGCCTCAAGATATGCTTCGACAGCAAGATTGGCCTCTCCAGTTCCCTCTTCACCTCATCTAGGTACCCCACCCGTCCGGCAAGTACCAACCCCAAGTCAAATCGCAGAAGCCAAGCAAGATGAGCTGCCCAAGGTCGAAGCACAATCTTCACTCCCGGGTCCCGGACAGTCGGCGATTGCTGCCGCTCTAGCACAGAAAAGAGACCGCAATAGTCCTCAAAGTGGTACACCGCCACGAAGAATATCTTCACCGGCCACTGCTGGCAAGGCAATTGAACAGGCAGAGAATCGAAGCAATTATGGTTCAGTTGATCTGCGAGGTGGGGCTGGTAGTCCCGCCCCTTATGAAGATGCAGAGATTGTTCGGAGACATCTGGTCAAGCCAGAAAATGGCAGCGGAAGGTTGGGAAGGCCGTTAAATGGAAGCCATGAGGCAGGACAGGGTCTGGATGACGACGAATTCTCAAGCTTAAGATTGCAAGGTGGAGATATCACCAGACCTATCTACAGATGGACAGAAGAGCATGGCGCGAGTTCTGGCAGACAAAACAGGAGAAGTCAAAGCTTTCATGTCACGAGGCCAGAGCCAGACAGCGAAGTGCTGGATATCTCGAACATCAAAATTCCTGGGGGATTTCGAAGAAATTTCATTCGAATGGCAGCTGATAGTCCCGAGCCTTCAAATAGGGTGTCCTATGGAGGTACGGATGCAGGAGGCCGCGCTCCAGCCCCAGCAGCACAAAATCGCCCGCCACCAAAACTGTTGACCAACAATTTCCTGGAATTCTTGACGATATATGGGCACTTTGCGGGAGAAGAATTGGAGGAAGATGACGAAGTGCTGGAACCGGATGAGTATTTCTCCTCTGATGCCTGGGATGCTCGAGGCTACGAGGATGAAGAAAGCGATCGCGAGCCTGGTGAAGGCAGCGCCCTAATCACTCCCAGAACGCCGGGTGGCCGAAAACGAAAGCATAAAGAACGCGGTACTGGAAACAACACAAGCTTTGGCGCTGTTCTCCTTCTTCTGAAATCGTTCGTGGGTACCGGTGTACTGTTTCTTCCGCGGGCTTTTCTCAATGGTGGCATGCTTTTCTCTACTCTGGTTCTGCTTGGGGTCGCTCTGCTAAGTTTCCACTGCTTTATTCTGCTCGTCAACACGCGGCTGAAGATCGACGGATCCTTTGGTGATATCGGTGGGATTTTGTATGGAAGATGGATGCGGACACTGATACTGTCTTCGATCGTCCTCAGCCAGATTGGCTTTGTCTCAGCATACATTGTCTTCACATCTGAGAATCTACAAGCGTTCATTCTTGCCGTATCCAAGTGCAGAACGTATATCAACATCAAGTGGATGGTGCTGATGCAGCTCGTCATATTCCTTCCACTGAGCTTGATCCGAGACATCAGCAAACTGGGATTCACCGCCCTCATTGCAGATGTCTTCATCATGCTCGGCCTCATCTACCTGTACTATTACGATATCGCCACCATCGTTGACCAAGGCGGGATCTCAGATGTTACCTCTTTCAACCCAGCAACCTGGACCCTGTTTATCGGCACCGCCATCTTCACTTTCGAAGGCGTGGGTCTGATCATTCCTATCCAAGAGTCGATGAAACAACCCCGGACATTCCCTTTTGTCCTCGCCCTCGTCATGGTCATCATCACTATCCTCTTCACATCCATGGGCGCTCTCTCCTACGCCGCGTATGGCTCCGCCACCAAAACAGTTGTAATCCTCAACCTACCGCAAGACGACAGATTCGTCAACGCGGTGCAGTTCCTCTACAGCCTGGCCATCCTCCTCAGTACACCATTACAGCTCTTCCCCGCCATCCGGATCATGGAGAACGAACTCTTCACCCGCAGCGGGAAATACAACCGCTGGATCAAGTGGAAAAAGAACGTCTTCCGCTTCGTGCTCGTCATGCTCTGCGCCATGGTCGCCTGGGTTGGGGCGGGGGATCTGGATAAATTCGTCGCGTTGGTGGGCAGCTTTGCTTGCGTGCCGCTCGTTTATGTGTATCCGGTAGGCAAAACCCCCCCTCTCCCCCTCCTGCAATCTCATCCGCATCCCTTCCCCACTGCAGTGATAGTGATAGTGCTGACGTATGGTTTCTTTTCTTCTTGATTCCAGCCACTCCTCCACGTCAAAGCCGTCGCCCGCACCCACTGGCAAAAGACAGCCGACTACGCCCTCTTCTGCTTCGGCATCGTCGGCTGCATCTACACCACCACCCTCACCATCACGCAGTGGGTCGGCAATTCGACTCTGAAGAGCCCGGATAGGTATTGCGATGTTTAGGTCGAAGGTAGAAGGGGAGAAGCGTCGTTTGGTTGCGGCCTTTGTATAAATTGTCTCGTCCTGTTGGTGTTAGTGGCGTTCAAGACAGAGAGAGGAGAGAATGCATAGAAGGGGCGCGTCAAGCGGCATTGAGACGGCGTTTGGGCCCTGTGATTCGTTCTTAGGTTAGATGAATATTCTTTTCAGCAGTAGTAGCAGCAGCAGCAACAGAAGGAGGTGGTGGTGGTACTTGCTAGAGTTGGAGATGCTCTGTCCTTGGGCGAGGCACCGCTGGAGAGAGAGAGAGAGAGAGAAAGAGAGAGAGAAAGAGAGAGAGAGAGGTGGTAGTACGAGTATGAGAAGAGCTTGTGATTTAATGATAATACATGAACATAGCGGATCTATTATTGATGGAGAAGAAGAAAGAGGTACATCTATCTGCTTGCCGTACGTAGCACCATCAGCCCTCAGCAATTCCTAATCCTGACCAAGTAGAGTCACATCACTCGGCATCAGCACATCCTTCTCAATCTGTCCCCTCCCGTCCCTTTCCCATTAGGTAACCCCCTCTCAACTCCCGAAACCGCTGCGCATATTCCTCCCTCCACCTCACCACCATCCCGACATCGACATCGCACCCGCCACAGACCACGACGACGACCCTGCTCTGCGGACCCAACCCCTTGACCACCTCCCTCAGCTTATCTTCATGACACAGCGCAACACAGACCCCGCAGGCCGGCTCCACCAGCAACCTCTCCTCATCCGCCAACCTGCAGACCCCCATCACCGCCTCCGCGTCGTCAAGAACCACGCTCTTCACGTTCGGCCTCTGCGCGTACTGGAAGGCCTGGTCCGCGACGCGGATCGCGCCGAGGGACTTGGCGATGCTCGTGATCCCGGGGAGGGTGATTAGCTCTCCGGCCTGGAGAGATTGGGCGAGAGAGTCCGCGCCGTCTGTTTCGACGGCTAGGACGGGGACGTGAGACCATGCTTCATCTTGGGCTTGGTCGAGGCCGAGCATGATGCCGGCGAAGAGACCGCCGCCTCCGACGCTGAGGATGATGGCGTCCGGAGGTTGGTTGTCCGATAGTTGGTGTTGGAGCTCGGAGATTATGGTTGAGGCGCCGGCCCAGACGGCCGGGTGGTCAAAGGGTGGGATGTAGATGCCCTCTTCTTCTGCTTCTTCGGTTTTGGCTTGGGGATGGTTGAGGATGTGGTTGCGGAGATGAGCGTCAGCGTAGTGCCAGCTTTCGCCGTGTTGGATCACGGACGTGGCCCCAGCGGCTTGGAGTTTGGCGATCATGGATGGTTTGGTGGTCATGGGGACTACGACAGAGGCTTTGTATCCTAGTGATCGTGCGGCGATGACGCATGCGAGTCCTGCATTGCCGCCGGAGGAAGAGTAGAAGTGTAGGGGTTTGTGGGAGGAGCTTTGGGCGGAGGCATGTTTGATATGCTCTAGGATGAGGTTGCCCATGCCGCGGGATTTGAAGGAGCCGGCGGGCTGGAGAAGCTCGAGTTTGAGAAAGATACGGCAATTGGCTGAGAGGGAGAGAGCGGTCGACTCAACGAGTGGTGTCTCAATCCATGGTTTGTTTGGGATGGGTGGCACGTAGGAGCCCATGGTCATGGTCAGGGTGATTTGGAACAGTGGAAGGACACACTTCCATACTTTCCACTCTGCTTGATCCTTTTGCAGGCTCTATATAGCCTGGACCATTGGCGTTGCAACGTAATGAATTGGTAATGAGGTTGCAGGCAAAGTTGTTGAATGCGACAGGGCGTGTGCGGGGGGGAGGGTGGAGGAGGAGGTGATTTGGAGAAAGATATGCCTTGTGCCTGACTAAAATGCTGGCCAGCAGACACCGCTCCCAATATAGTAACTCCCTCTTGCAGCTGCAAGGGCTACTAGCAAGGGTCTGGAGACGCACCCCTGGTCTCACGCTTCACAGCTCCGATGTGAGCGGAGGGAAAAGCGACGTGTCGGCCCCTGCCCCGAGATCAGCTTTGGGAATTCCATAGCTGAGATCTCTCCCGAGTCTTGCATGCCCATAATTTCTACTCGTTTCGTCCACTCCGAGCATGTCGAGCAGCCGCTCCATCTTTGAAGGCATAAAAGGTTGCAACAAGATACCGCAGATCCTCAATGACTCAGCAGCATAGTAGATGATGATTTTGACATCTCGTTGAGCCTTTTCATTTGGGTCATTGACAATTCGCCAGACTGCATTATGCGTGATGAATTTGTTAGTCTGGACTATGTCAGCACGTTGAGCATACCGCAACCCCCGCTGAGCTTACCAATGCCAATACATCCATAATGTGGTGCAGAGCTTCACGGGGATTCAAAGTCATGAACTGATGTTGGACTTGCGCCTGTAGCTTGGCTAAACGTGTACGATGATCTTTCCCCAGAGGTTCCGCTTCAAGATCCTGACCGGCTCCATAGCGAACGCATTCGTGGACACTCCACCGTTTCCCCCGCATGATCCGACTGGCCAGATTGCCGATCCCTCCTTGCAAAAGCTTCTTATACCGTTCGATAATATAGGCATTGTCGTAATCAGTATCATCAGCTATTCCACCATCATAGGCCATGTAGAATCTCACGGTGTCAACCTCGAACCGGTCGATGGCGAAAAAGGGATTGACGACGTTGCCGGTGGACTTGGACATCTTCGCATGGTTCATGGTCCAGTGTGCATGTGTCAAAATCTGTTTTGGAAGGGGAAGGTTGAGCGCCATCAGGAATGCTGGCCAATAGATGCAGTGGAACTTTGTGATATCTTTACCAATGACTTGGACATCAGGAGGCCATTCTGTTCCACTACCTGTTCTATCAGCAAAAGGGTAGCCTGCTTGGGTAAGGTAATTGACTAAAGCATCAAGCCATACATAGATAGTTTGAGAGTCATCATTCGGCACCCTGATGCCCCATGTGAGCCTTTCTGCAGGCCGGGAGATGGACAAGTCTTCCAGCCCTTTCTTGACCTCCTGAATAACGTGATTCATCCTGGTGGCAGGAACGACAAATGCTGGATTGTCGTCATAGAGCCTCAATAGCCGATAGCGAAAGGCAGATAGCTTGAAATGGTAATTCGTTTCTGAAGTCCATTCAACCTCCCGTCCAGTCTCCTTCGACACCATGATTTTTCTGCCAGTGGCAGGATCCCTGATCAAGTGCACTGCGGAGGGAGGAAAGAATGTCTCGTCGCTGACGGAGTACCATCCCTCGTGTTTGGACTCATATATATACCCTCGGTGGCTCAATTCCCGCCAGAAGTGCTGGACGGCTTCTTTGTGGTCTGGGTCGGTGGTGCGAATGAATCGGTCGTAGCTGATGTTCGCCTTTCGCGCCAATCGATCGAACTGTAGCATGGTTTGATCGCAGAATAGCTTGGTGTCCGTTTTGGCCTTCTGCGCCGCTCTTTGAACCTTCATGCCATGCTCGTCCGTACCAGTCAACATCACCGCGGATCGATCACCGCGTAGAAGTGCCCATCGTTTCAGTATATCCGCAAGAACGAAAGTGTAGAGGTGGCCAACGTGAGGGGCTAGCAGATTGAGTCAGGATCTGTTACCAGGGCAGAAGAAAATCCCTCACCAGCATTAACGTAGAATATGGGAGTGGTAACGTAGTACGGCTTCGGCTTTTGCTTTGAAGGATTTGGCGAGGCGGACTGACAGCATCGTCTCCACGTCCGACTGCCTTTGCTAGCTCTGGAAAGCTGAAAGAACACTCGAGCTTGCCTTTCAAGTATGCTCATCGCCCTTGGAACGAACCGTGTAAATGGAGATGATCTTCGACTCCACTGGCAAGCAAAGAGCTCCAAATTTTTGGAGATGGATTGGGTGGTCCAAGCTCCGTTTCCAAGGTCTGATCGTCCAAACGAAGGGCATATGTATTGACATACATAACCACATTACATACTTTCCGCAATTTCCGCAATTTCCGCATCACACCTTGCGACCACATAAGTGTCTTGCGCAGATAACAAGATGACGCCTGGCATTGCACCGGATGATGTGTTAGTGAAGATCTCCACAGAAGGTCAGAGTGCTTATACATGAGATGTACTACGCTAATTCCAGCAGCTTCGACTGCTTTTGTGAGTGACTATTATCATGCCTTGCAGTCTCGTCGGAACACCATTGCTAGCTTCTACATTCCCCCGGCGTCCATGCAAGGTGGTAAGCCAATACCGACCATCGTCATGAACGGCAATATACTGCAGAATGGCGGAGCTGTCCAGGAAATGTTTGAGAATCAAATGCCTCCAACTCGCTACGATACCCAGTCGATCGACTGCCACGTCCTAAACCCTCAATATGCGCCAGAGGGCGTTTCCCACTCAAGATCTGCAGCAAGCACCATGACCATTCTCGTTATCATCAGTGGCGCTGTGCGCTTCAGTGAAGACAGGAACGATCCAGAAAGACAGTTTAGTGAGACGTTGGTTCTGGTCCCAAATCAGGATCGAGGGCCCCGGGGACAAAGACCGAAAGACTTTCTAATACAGAGCCAGAATTTCAGGGTGGTTGTATGAACAATGTACAGGAAGGACACCGATTAGACCAACACCGACGTCAGGTCGTATTTTCATGGCCTCGCCGCAGGCTTCATGTTTGCTTTGACGCGTTCCAAGAGATCGTCTTTCGATGCTTTGCCACTAGGCAGGAGACCTCGCTGAGCTTCAGGTCAGCCAGAGTCCGACAAACCTCATCCTCATACTAACAGCTTCTAGCCATCTCCTCAGCTCTGACTCAGTCCATGTATCTGGGTCTGCAGAGATGTCAATTTGTCATTGGAGGGAAATGCTGCATTCTCGAAACTTACCACCCTTGGGATCCTTTTCTGCTGGGAACATGTCTCCACCCCAAATGCCCCACATCGAAACTGCGGTCACAATACCTGCAAACCCTAGGAACAGATTCTGCAAGGAGAAATCAGACAAGCATCCAATAGCATGGTGTTCTAGCCTACCCTAGATTGCATTGCTCTGTCCAGTGGAGTGGGCATAATGACAAGTCAACCTAAGGCGCTTGACGGTTTAGATAACGTTCTGGGAAAGTAGACTGTGTTGTTCAAAGAATGCACGACTTAAGGAATCGTGTCTATCAATCACTCGACTACTATGAATCTGCTGGAGAATTGATGCCAGCTGTGTCCTATGCAAGTTCCCTGCTTCTCCGCATACGTACCACCTACCACCTACGTAGTGCCTAAGCAGCAGCAAATAAGGTCCAAGTTGACGCTAAGGGCTTCCGTCACGCTACGCCCGATCCGACCGCACATAGAGAAAGTTGACAGCAGCTTTGATGGGAAATTTAGTCTGTGACTTACGCTGTGATATATTCCACCTGACCAGCTGCAATTCACATTTTGTCTCTCCCTCTCACATTGCAACCGCCCACCATGCCTTCCGAAATCAAAGACATCAAGCAGTTCATTGAGATCTCAAGACGTAAAGACGCAACCTGTATGCCCCCCACCAATTCTTTCATCCGTACCTCCGCAACCTGGTACACTATCCATACCAAGTCCAGTTCATCTTTTCTCCACCGAGAATACACGTTGAAAAATCACTGATTCGGGTTTTCTAGCCGCCCGCGTAAAGAAATCCTCCAAGACCTCCGACATCAAGTTCAAGATCCGGTGTCACCGCTTCCTATACACACTGGTGCTAAAAGATTCGGACAAGGCGGATAAGTTGAAGCAGAGTTTACCTCCTAGTATGTCTCCAACGACTTTTCCAATACACCTATGTGCCTTTATTGGTTTGCGGATCGTTTGGGTCCTGCGAAGAGGAATATACAGGACTGGGAACCATAGCTGACTAGGAGTTTTGGTGCGGTGCAGGCCTGAATATTTCGGAAGTGGGGAAGAAGAATAAGAAGGCGAAGAAGACGTGAGGAGGAATGGGGTTGGGCTAAGGAAAATGGGACGGTGGTCTGAGCCATGGACGTGAACGTGAACGAAACCAAGACCGGAAGATGGACCTGGTATGAGTGCAATCATGGGTACGGGTACGGTGAATTTTCTGCGATACAGGCAGGAGCTGCATGTCATCTGCAGTGGGATTCTCGGCCTTGTGTTGATGTATTCGTCTTTTAAAGCAAGCACTATCACGCAGTTTCGAGGCTGACCAATACGCCCAATAATCGACAGCTCGCGAAACCTTCCTCCTGGATGCAATGTACCCTTGTAGGTCAAAAGAAGTGCTGAACGACCCGTGAAGTTTAAGAGCGCATATATTGTAACGGTGCTGTACAACAAACAAGGCCAGAGTTCGACCAGCCTTCTCACTTGACTCTAAGCAATGTCCCACCATCATCGCTTTGGTCCAACCGGAGGATTGTACACAATCTGCCTTGTCTTCACGGTACTCCACTTGTACCTCTTCACCCACACACTAAGGGCGAAGAGCAGGGCACCAATTGTCAGTACTTTCATGCCCATCTTCTTCCTGTTGTCCATTTCCGGCTCAGCGGCCCAGTTTAGGAATTCCACAACATCCTTCGCCATCTGACTGGCAGTCGCAGGGGTACCATCTTCGTATTCGACAAGCCCATCGTAAAGTACGCGAGCCATAGCAATGCCGGTTCCTGGGAAGTAAGGGTTGAAGTTCAAGCCACTTTGGACAGTGGCGCCAGCAGGCGGTTCTTCGGGATAACCCGTCAGCAGACTGAAGATGTAATTGCATCCACCGTGTCTGGCTTTGACCATGAGTGACAAGTCAGGCGGGAGAGCACCATTGTTGGCGGCGCGAGCTGCTTCATCGTTCTTGTAAGGCGACGGAATATAGTCAGAAAGTTTTCCAGGTCGCTTCTCAATTTCACCCTCGTCATTCGGCTCCGTATCGTATTCGTTCTCTTCGGCCAAAGCTTTCATCTCGTCAACGGTCGCAATTGTACCGACGAGCGACCGATATGGAATTCGCTTCAGAGAGTGACAAGACGAGCAGACCTCGCGATAGACTTGAAAGCCTCGACGTAAACTAGGATGAGTTGGCTGGTGCCTGCTATGCCACAATGGATATGTACTCACGCTTGATGGTCAAAGGTTTTGACCCATCGATAGTGTTCCCAGGGATACTGAGTTGGATGTAGTCTGCAACATGTCCATCAGCCCATTGATGGCCAGCCGAATATTGAGCAGGACAGAAGCTGACCCTTCTTCTTGTGGTGTCATAGCAAATGCCTCTCGGCCATATAAGTGATAGTACCATGCAACTGATCCAATAGCCACAACAGTGGCTGCACTTGCTGTAAGAGTAGTGTAAAATGGGGAGCTCGTAGCTTCGGTAGATGGAGAGGACGAAGATGCAGCACGCTAAGAGTCCGAGGTTAGCATTCAACTCATCCAAGCCAGCAGCTTTCCCAATCCTTAGTTGGGATCATCATACAGTGGTTGTCTTCCGCAAAGTCTGGCGCGCAACGACCCTGGCCGGCATAGTGCGAAGGGCAGGCATTGCTAACATCTTGCCTAGGAGCTGTACTCAGCTAGGAAAAGATGCAGCAACGTATGTCGGAGGAGCGGAGAGTCTTGTCTGGTTCGATTATTTGCAGCTTGTGTCTGAAGTGTTTGGAAGTCGCTTTGATGAACTTAGCAATCCTCCCGCCAGACGTTGATTGGCGAGAGCTGAGGCTCGAATTGGTTACATCTTATTGGCAGACTCGGAGAAATGGAAGCTTGGCATGTGGCTTGGCATGTGGCTTCACAAAGCGTCATCTTCCACTTCCCTCTCAAAATAAGTTTTGAAAGAAGCAGTTTTGGACCCACGTCGATACACACCCACAATCAAGTACTGTGCCTCTGTGGTGTAACTATGGACTGGGTACATACTTTCGAGGAAGAAAAGCACAATCCATGGCTTGACCAAAGAAGATCGCCCAGGGATCTGTGGATTCAGACTGCAATATCTGGGGCGCTTGGTGCAAGCGCATTTCTTGCATTCTGTGTCAGTCTATTGCCGTTATTAGAGAGGCCCAGCTGACTTGCGGCAGATCCTTCGTCCGAGATGGAGCGAGCTCTATGCTGCACGGAAGCGGCAAAAGGATGCAGCAGCGCAACTCCCAGAACTTCCAAAGTCAATGTTCGGGTGGATACCAGTTCTTTACCGCATCACGAATGAAGAAACGCTTGCCTCTGCAGGGCTTGACGCATACGCCGTGAGTACGATGCAAAATGGCGCAATGCAATGATTAATCTTGCTCAGTTTCTCAGCTTCTTTTCCTTCGCCTCGAAATTCCTCTCCATTACGCTATTCTTTGCGCTCGTGGTAATCTATCCCATCAACCGGAATTTCCTGAACAGTGATGGCTTTGGAAGATATCCGCACAGAAATGAAACGTACCCGAATGGCACACACGGGCAGGTCAAGATCTTTAAAGAGGATTTGGGAATGTACCCAGAGCTACCGGAAGGATTTCCGTGGGTGTATGTGACTTTCGTCTATCTCTTCTCCGCTCTGGCCATCTATCTGCTCGTCAAGGAAACACAGAAGGTTATTCATGTTCGTCAAGGCTACCTCGGTTCGCAGTCGACCGTCACCGACCGAACATTGCGACTCTCCGGTATCCCCGTAGAACTACGCTCAGAGGAGAAGATCAAACAATTCATTGAGGATCTTCAGATTGGGAAAGTAGACAGCGTAATGATTTGCCGAAATTGGAAGGAGTTGGATAACCTAATCACTCAACGTATGACATGCTTGCGACGGCTTGAAGAAGCTTGGACAGTTCATCTGGGCTACCGACGTGTCGAAAGAAACATCGCAACCTTGCCTATGGTTCAGCCTCCACCTCCGGGTCCAGCCGCCAATGGGAATGACGAAGAACAAGTCGGGTTGCTGTCCGGGTCCGAGTTTGAACATGCCCACGTGGCTCCCTACAAACGTGACAGACCCCAAACCAAGATCAGATATGGGCCTTTCAAAATACAGAGCAGAAAAATTGATGCAATTGACTACTATGAGGAGAAGCTGCAGAAGCTTGACAAGACCATTGAAGAAGCCCGGAAGAAAGAATATCCAGCTACGCCTTTGGCCTTTGTGACCATGGAATCGACGGCTGCTTGTCAAATGGCAGTTCAAGCAAGCTTAGACCCGAATCCTGGCCAGCTTCTGGCAAGTTTGGCTCCTCCACCAGCGGATGTGGTATGGCAAAACACATACCTCTCCCGATATAGCCGAATGTTCCGGGCCTGGATTATCATGGCTATCGTTGGAGTGTTGACCGTTTTCTGGATCTTCATCATTGTCCCATTCGCAGGGCTACTGGAGCTCGAGACTATTCGAAGCTACTTTCCAGCATTGGCAAACGTGCTAGAAGAACATAAAGTGTTGAAGACTCTGGTTTCCACCTCCCTACCAACATTGGTCTTGTCGCTCCTCAGCATCACCGTTCCATACCTGTATGATTGGCTCTCCAGCATGCAAGGCATGACCTCTGCCGGCGACGTCGAATTGTCTCTTATCTCGAAGAACTTCCTTTTCACCTTCTTCAACCTCTTCATTATCTTCACCGTTTTTGGCACCGCAGCTACCTTCAGTAAATTCCAAGACAATCTTCGGGACCTCCTGAGGGATACAAGCACGTTGGCTTATACCATTGCCAACTCCCTTGAGGGTCTGACACTCTTCTATGTCGATTTGATCATCCTCCAAGGTATTGGTCTTTTCCCATTTCGCCTGTTAGAATTTGGGGCAGTTGCCATGTATCCGGTATGGCTCATTGGGGCGAAAACACCTCGAGACTACGCAGAGCTGGTCCAGCCTCCAGTCTTCAACTACGGATATTTTGTGCCTCAAACTATCCTTGTATTCATCATATGTACTGTTTACAGTGTTCTCGATGGATCCTGGCTCGTGCTTGTATCAGGGCTCTTGTTCTTCCTGATCGGACATTTTGTATACAAATACCAGCTTCTTTACGCCATGGATCATCGGCAGCATTCTACCGGTCGTGCCTGGCCAATGATATGTAATAGAGTCTTCGTTGGCCTAGCTCTGTTTCAGATTGCGATGAGTGGATGGCTGGCATTGAGGCAAGCATTCATCTGCGCCGTGGTCATTGCGCCCTTATTTGTGGGAACTATCTGGTACATCATCTACTTCCAAAGGACTTTCGACCCTTTGATGAAGTTCATTGCTCTAAGGAGCATTGGGCGGGATGATCTGATCAGTCTTCCCACACCACCAGAGACACGGTGGGATAGAGACACGGACTGGGGTCGTACTGTTGACACTGACCCAGAGACTGGCCTGCGGTATATAAATCCAAGCTTGGTGCAACCACTCGAGAAAATATGGATCAACAATCCCACCGCAAACGGCGGTGGTGCTGGACAGCATTCAGATTGAAGTTGGTAGCACTTACAGTCTTCCTTTCACTGCATAGCGATGTGGGTTTTGATGTTCTAGCATGGTCATACAAGGTCTCTCAGGAGTATGCAATTTTGTACAAGATTGTAATCTATGCGAATGCCCTGTTCTCCGCGAGCACGGTGGGTGCTTCTACCTTGTACCATCGCTCCTCCCTTGATACCTGACATGTACACTGGATCCTCTCTACGTTGACATTTTCCATGCATGTACACAACACCATTGGATCGTACTCATTTCGTTCTTTGACGTTTGTATGTTGTATTGCTCATCAGCTGTGTTCCCCAGTATTCACCATCCTTCCAACGTCCTAGCTCAGTATCTGGCGGCGCTGCTGACCAGACAGAGTTGGCATCAACACGTCGACTACAATTCTTATTTCTCACGGCGTTGCTACGCTCATACCAAGTCGCATGGATTCTTCTGAAACTCTCACTACGCCAACTTCTGCACGACTGCCTCTCGAGCTTCTGCAACAGATATACAATCTCCTATCACCACTAGATTTCGACGCTGCTCGCCACACTTGCAGATTGTGGCTCTTTGCAAGCCTCGACAAGACTCTCCTTACCTCGCAGCTAATCCTTGGAGGATGGCAAGCAGCAGCCGAGCAAGACATCCAGGAAGCCTCTGATCACTTTCGTAAAAGAAGGCGTCAAAATACTGGGGATGCCACAAGCATTTCTACCTCCCCTTCTGTCAGTCAACCTGTGAGCGTGGAGTGGGTCTTGTCCAAGCGACTTGCGGCAGAAACAAGACTTTGCCCGAGCTGGAGTGGCATCTGGCCTTCCAGTTGGAGCAGTGTTACAAAGGAACTAGATCGCCAGGTGCCTGTCCATGGCATACAAATTCCAATCACCAAAGCTCCATCCGTTCGGGGCGCCAATCCCTCATCTCCACCACTCATCTGCACGGTTTCGGGATGCGGTAAATTCGTCTTGTTGGCGCAGGACCGCGTGGTCTTCATCTATAGTCTACGGAGCTTCAAGGCTGGAGTCAGACCGCTGACCAGTATCTTCTGCCATCGACGTATAGTGAACATGAGCATGGACACCAGTTGTGGGAGATATGCGGTGGGAATCCTCCTCGAAGGCAGAACTGGAGTGCTGTGCGAGGTGGACATAGAGAAACCAGGTCCACCGATCGTGAACCGCATTCATCCGTCCATGAGCTTGAGTGACTTCAGAAACTTTGACATCCGTACGACATCTCGTTCTCACCCTCGGTCTTCTGATCCAGATCAAGTGGATTTCGATTTATCCTCGCCGACCCGATCTCGAGTACATCCGCGAGCGGAGGCCTATCGGCGAAGAGGTCATGCACTTGGACGCCCAGGTGAAGTGGCATTTGTCAGAGGTACCTCTTTGACGCTGACGGATTCCAACTCCCATGCTGGGATAGGACAAGAGTTCAATCCTCCAGCACCTAACGCTTCCTTCCACCAATTCTTCCCAGAACGAAATGGTGGTGAGCGTACGAACGCATCTCTGTCTCAACACTATCCTTTTAACAACTTTGATCCGATTACGGGCACATCGGTCTCGATTGAGCTTGGGGCGAGAAAGATTTACAAGAATCTTTGCAGCATTCATGATCCTCCAAAGAGTGTTGCAATCTGTCCTCAGCGGCAGTGTGTCGCCTTTGGATGCAAGACTGGAGTCGAACTTCATTGGATTGATGCTTTAAGAGGCAGCACCCTCAGCAGGTACTTGACTGTTAACAACTCATTCCTGCACCAGCTGACGTGAAATCATGTAGATGGTTTCCTCTCGCTGCCCCGAGCGATTATCTTTACTTCGTTCCACCCCGAGATGGTGAGCAGAGAACTTCGACTACGAAACTTCGGCTCATCTCCAGCGCTGCTGGACCAGAAGAGTTCGTGGACGCGGATCACTACCGTGCTGTGCCGCTCAGCGACGGGCACATCCTTTTCACTGAACCGGAAAGCGGGTATCTCTTCCTGGGAAGCGACAAGCCAGGAGGTCCTACGAAGCTGCAACGGAAAGTCGTCTGCCTTCCACCCGAGGGACATCCATCTGGTAGAGCGCCAGACTGTTACGCCGCTGGGCGTGAAATGCGATGGGGAGTCAGGATCGTGGTAGCTTACGGACCAAGGATCATGTTATATAACCTGCCGCCAGATGGGTTCCAGAGAGCAAGGCCCACAACTCCAGGGTTTCAGGTGGCGCAGAGTGATCTTGCCATGGATGTTGCAGTGGATGATAGTCACCGCGAGGCAAAGCGGCTAGAAGGGGTCCTCATACATGATGTTGGTGCTCAGGGCGAGGTTGTGCAGGATATTTCGGTGGATACTCATCTTGGACGACTCAACGTGTGGCTATTCTTACGCAGCGGGGAGGACAAAGGAAAGGTGGAGAAGATGAGGATGCATGTTGGATGGTCCGCTTCCCTAGTCAAGCCTGTCTCTTTATTCTTAGGCTAGTCTTAGATGTCGTCGAGGCAATCACCTTCTCTGGTCGTTCTGGATGCTCTGAAATCTTCAATGGGCATGGATTCGAGGAGACAGCACAATGGTGCCGTCTTCAGTCTGCAGAGATCACACAGTTAGATCATGTCTGCAGAGGAAGAACACCATCCTGATGCTCACACAAGGAGTTCAGGTCCCACTTTGCCTTCGTGAAGCAGTGCCGAGGCAGACCAATGCCAGAGGAACTCTATTCGAACTCTATCTCCATCAACACATCGATGGATCCACGTCGCCACGAGAAGGTTGAGTCTGCCGCCTGGCTCCGGTCAGGGTAGCGGGATCCCTCACGCCAGAGGAAGTAAGTACCAGGCGGAGGTGGAAGAGCCTAAATCCTCAACTACTACTCCGTACCCAGCACCCTGAACAGTGAATCGGCCATCCAGCACGAAGTGGAGGCCTCACCTTCAAGTTGTGCCATGTGTGAGATGGTCTTGGAGAGGAGGTTTGTCGCCTAATATTGGCACAGAGTTTTGCTGACCAGTTGTGTTGGGAAGGTACAAGTATTCACTCTCTTCTCGCTTCCATTCGTACCTTCTACCCTCGTCCTCTTTGAATACTCCTCCAGGTCATTGACACCCCCCAATACTTCACTCCACTTGGCTATCTTCTCTTGTTCAATTCAATTCATTGATCATGTTCTTTGCATTCTACATCATGCTCATCACTCTCGCCATCTCTCCTCTCGTACTGTGTCAAAACGCGACAAGATGCCACAGCGATGCGTGTCTGAGATCTTTCAAACGAAATCATCACCAAGCGCAACGATACTGTGCAGATCATCCCAACCCATGGCGGATGAGTCCCGCACCTCGCTGGGCCAACGAATGTCATAGTTTGGGTCGCAACAATAACACGAGGCAGCGTCTAGCTTCTGTCTGTTCCTGCTTGCACAAGCCAAAGGCCACCGGTGAGCCTGTTTACACTGCAAAAGCCTCTCCGAGCATGAAAATGAGCACCACTCAGAGCACCACCGTACTTGCCCCATCTATCGAAGCAGATGCAAGCATCGCCGCTTATATCACATCGGGAGCTTCGATGTCCGATGAAGCTGTCGCTACCTCGACTTACGTCTTCGAGGACCCCCCAATTGTCGACGAGGATAAGATCAGTCGCACGAACTGATCTGCCTATCATCCTTCTCTACCGAGCCATGAGCCTGTCTGCCATGCGCTGCCGCATCAACAGTCGTGAATCTCCGTGAAGTCGCTCGAACCGCAATCACTATTCATCAGACACCAGACAGTCTCACTTGCCTATCGCTATTCCCTTTGACAAGCCTTACTTCTACAAAAATACCATTGAGCTAGCGCCAGCTTATTATCATCTTCAGCACATTGACACCGTATATTAGCTCACCACTCCCAATACGCTTCTTGATTTCAAACATTCGCATCTCTAACAGACCACGAAACTTCTTCATCAAAACCGGCCTAGCAGTCGTCTCAACTTTGAGCCGTTGTGCCTCAGCTGACTTTGCGGAAAGTGTCGAATTCGCTTCTCTGTCAATAGCTATCCGTCTCGCGATGCGCAAAGCAAGCCAGCACTTTCATCGCAGGACCGATGAATACTCGATGGAAACAACTTTGAAATGGTTAGGAGCAGCACCTTGCACAGGAGGACTTCATTTAGCTTGGTGGCAGTTTGGCTGTACGCGAATTCATACTCAGCTGGATGCTTTCGTTTATTTCTCTCCTGGTCCCAGATAGCATTACTGTCGCCGAATAGGACACCTCTTGTACTTCGAGATCCTAGTCAGGTGACCATCATCGTTGACGGGGGAAGGTAACAAGCAGGGGACCCATGTACCAAGCAGCCTTCCACCAAGATTGTAAATACACAGCTCCCTTCTCCTCAAAACTCGATTCTGTCCCCAGTTCCGTGATGCCAATGCTGCCAGGTTATTCTATCTCCGCTCTGCAAAAATCGTGATCCGATATGTTGTCCTTCTTCCCGACTTCATAACCCTGTGCCCACGTAATCCGTCCGTTCCTCACTGGCCCGCTGTCTCTACTCAGACCCAGCTGTCTGTAAGCCAGCTTCAAAGGGAGAATCCTAGTAGCTCCTCCCCTTTCATGTAGAGAAGATGTACAGTCCGCCTCCTCGGACCTCATCTGATGTTCGAGACCCGCTTTCCCATCTCCCATCTACCCGCCCCATCCTCTCACGCCTCGTCCCGGTTGTAGAAGCGGCAGAGCAGGGTCTATTCCATCCCATTCTTGCATCCTGTCCTATTTTACTGATAATGTATCCATATTTGCATTCAAGAGATAGAAGAAGAGGTGTGGAGAATAGAATGGGAGAATAAAGAGATAAGCGGAACACAATTGACGGGAAGTGGTTGATAGGATAGGAGATAAGAGATGGGTAGAGATGAGTTGGGACAGTAGTTAGGTAAGGAATATGAGGATGTATATGGAAGGAACGGGGAGGAGAGGAGGTGGGATGGGATGGATGAGAAGATCAGAGAGGGTAGGGGAGGAGGAGGGGAGAGGAGATGGAACGAGATGAAAAACAGAGTTCAGGAAAGGTAGAGAGTAGAAATCAGGGTTAACTAAGTTACAACAGAGCCGTTTAACTCGATTCCGGACACCAAATCAGGTCGGATATCGAGGGAGAGTGCCTTTATCCCCCCGTACCCGATGCCTTCATTGGCGTCAGTCGCCAGTCGGCAGGGTGTAACCCTCAGACAGGCTATGGTTGTCCACAGAAACTGTTTCAGCGAGCACTCGATATCCATCAAGAAGAAATAAGTGACCTTGTAAGCGTAAAGAAGCTCCTCTAGTATCAGAGAAAGTTCTTCTCCAAAGCCGTGCTTTTGTGAGCTGTTTACGCAGAACGTTGTGACGACATCAATTGATAAAGATCAACGATAGTGACAGAGCGACATTTTTAAGATCTGCGTAAGAATCGTGAGGACTTCATTTGGACTCCATGTTCCCACACCTTTCATTAGGCTGGTATAGTACAGAAAATGATTTGGGGCTTTCCTTTCCGTACTTTGTGGAAGATATCTCGCTCTCATCCATCTCCCAGATAGGTAGGTTGAATTTGAAAACCATTTTCCCATGAGGACGGTGGCGCAATTCAATAACACCGCTTATCGCTCGATGGTGCGTTATGGCGAAACTGAGCCCAGAGCTGCGCCTGTCTTTTAGCTTCTGGAGATTGGTCGGCCTGAATCGACTCGACTATTTCATCCAGAAGCTTGTAAGATTGATCAGAAACGCCAGATGCGACGCCAGACTTCAACAAGACCTCCAGGATCTGGGACGAGTCACTCTCATCATACATTTTTAGCGCGTAGTATCGCATAAGCGCTGCTTTTAGTAGTACATAGGCATCATTCTCTTCTATTGCGGTGTCCTGCGACGTTATTGAATACTGCAGAGACAGGGGCAAATTAGTGACGATGTAGATTATGAGAAGCTGGATTCGAGGACGCAGGCCCCCGCGTCGTGGACTTTTAAAAATAAACCATCGAAATATAGGAGCCTCCAATTCTCGCAGGCTGTCCTGTACAAAGTGGGCTATAGTTCCAAATAGTATGTTGTCTTGTTGCTTCTCTGGTAATTCGAATATAACTGGGTCGAGGTATCGCGCAACGCATATTCCTTCCTCAAGTTCCGCCTTATATGCGTAATATAGAAGATTGCCAGTTACAACCCGTTGCTCACCGATGTCTACATCCAACAAAGATGGAATAGCACTGATTAAGTATCGAAATAGCAGGATATTGACGCTGTGTTGAGACCTATCGCTGATACCTTCGCGAATAATGAGGTCACCTTGGCCATTCCTCATGAATTCTTTTACTGTCTGGTGGATGTACTGCACGCTTCTTTTTGGAGGGCCCGTAGCTTCCAAGAGCCCGGCAGATCGACTATACAAGCGACGCTCCATTTGACTCTCTGACAGTGTTTGCAAATCCGTATATATTCCCTTATTGGTCGTTACGAATAGTGCCGCGGATAGAAAATGATACAGTGAAAATGGCCGGGGACAGTGCGTTGCGATCTGGAACATCACGTAGGCCTCATATCTCATGGTTGAAAGCAAAGATGGCGAAGTCCGGGAAACACGGCGAATAGCTCTTGTGTATAGTTCCTTCAGCTCAGTCGGGGTCTCGGAAAGTAAGGACTGCAGCTCCTCAATACTATCTCCCTCGCACAAACCATCGATTAGTTCATCGACAACGAGCCTCACCCATAAGAACACCCCCTGCGCTTTTTGAATGAGATCTTCACCAAGTGTCTTAAGCTTCTGTTTGCCTTCTTTAGTCAATTCCCCCCTCATCTCTGTCTGTAGCCTCCCTTCTGCATAAAGACCTATGTCGTCTGTAGTATGATCCTCAATTGCAAATCCTGGGCATCCTTGGAGGCCATCCACAAAGACATTATCAGGGCGACCAGAAACGCATAATCGCATCCGAAAAAGGGGATTGCTTGTCAGCCGTGCCAAGCGAGTTAAAGTAGAAAGCAGTTCCCTGTGTTTCCCATCATGCTCGTCCAAAGCGTCAACGAAGAGGCACAAGTTCACATCGACTGTTGACCTGACTCCGATTAACTCCAAGGCCGCCTCGAGCTGGCTAATGCTCCATGATATGACAGCGTCCGCGGAAACTCCTGTTAGTGATTGATTCTCTTCCAGTTGCTTAAAAACAGGATACACTACTCCGAATAGGTCTCTTCGGTCCAGAAGAATCTGGTATAAAATCTCACGGAGGAAGCTAACGGCAGTTTTTTGTGCGCTTGTTCCACGATCGTGAAAGAAGTAGCCTGCAACAATCCAAGACTTCAGATGATACTTTTCCAGTAACTCACGCGTCAAGGGATGAGTCATGATGAACTTCATTGCAGTAGATTTTCCAGATCCAGGTTTCCCTCTCAGCCAAAACATGGAACTGCGCGTCTTCCCCTGAAGCCAGTCTGTTAACCCGAGTCGATCATGAAAAAGCCATTTATAAGTCTTTTCATATGCAGGCTCAACATTTTGAAATCGTACTCTAGCCTCCGAGTAATTCAGGGATCGCAGACAAGCCTGATATTGTTCGTCGAAAACCAAATGATCAGGGACTTCCGGAGCATTTCCATCCAGATGAACTCGCAATTTACATGGGGGTTGTGCTCCAACAATGTCTTCCACCCATCGGCCTAATACTGCTACAACTCTTTGAAATTTGACATCTTCTAGGCAAGAGAATTTAGCCATGTCTCTGTGATTGGCGTGAAGACTTCCGCGCGTCTCATGAAGGTAGCCAATAGTGGCGGAGGATGAATCAACGATCATCATTCCCTTCGTATCAAGCTCTTCCCGGAAAGAATGTACTTTGACATTTCCAGTTGCGAGGATTTGTCCGAAGCTTCTTGATATCCGTTCTAAAATCTCTGACTTAGGCTCCAGTCCGCGAAGCACCTGAACATTTGGGGTTTTGAAAGCAAGCTTTGACAGCTCAAAGGCTATCTTGCCTAAGGAAGCAGTCTTTGAGCCATGGTGAGGGGTTCCCAGGAACAAAACACCAACTGTCGCAGGCAGTATTTCGTTGAAGAATGTTGTCTCGTTTCTTGATAGGCTCAAAGCATCTTTAACAACGATTCCACCCAGGCTATGGGCAATGAAAATGATAGGTACCTCTTTCTCCAAGGGTGCGCTTCTAACCATGGCTAAATCCGACAATAATGTCTCAGAATGATGAAATATGGAGGCTTTGGATGTCGAAGATAGTAATTGGTCGATTTGGACGTCGTAGCCCCATGTCAGAATGCGTGCTTGAGGAAAGCTCTTGGGAAGAAGATCACGTGGCCAGAACACTTCACGAAACAGTTTTTTAGGCAGAGTCCGCGCCTTCTTGCGAGGTGGGTCTTCAATAGCTTCGTCTATATTATTGATAATGTTTCCGTCGTTGCGATTTGTCTCGCGTAGATCCCACGGGATGTTGGTTGACCACGTGTTCTTAGGATGTCCGAACAGGCCGTGCACTAGAACGATGCTGTTTCTGGTGTTAGTACCAATGCTAGTGAAGCTTTAAATGGAGACAAAGTATTTCGAGCAATGAAACGGGATGCTGCATACTCAAAATCATGGCAGGCGCCATTAGTTGGTTGGTAAACGATTGATAGTCCAATACGTTGCACAGACATGTCGACTCGGACCGAACTAACAAGAGCGCTTGATGTTGACGATCAAACTATAGGAGAACAGACTATGGTTATTTTTCAACATTCAGGATCATTGATCTAAAATTGATGCTGAATTTGGGCCAACCGATGGACATTAGCAGCAGCTTTGATGAAGTAGCTCAGTGGCTGACTACTACAAGGGGGGCCTGAAGTATTGTTAGCTCAGCGCTAGTATTTTTGCCTGTAAACCATCTCTGTACAGAGCCGCTATGTTCAAAGAAGCTAGTTATGATTATTTGACTCGTCAGTATGGATGCAAACAGAACAAGCTTTAAGTTGACGAATCATAGCACGTTGCAGCTGTAATAAGAACTAGCTGCTACTAGCTCCAGACTAACAATACTTCAGGCCCCTCCCGTAGTAAGTGTGCACAGCCTCAAGACACATCGCGGCATGCGATTAGGGCTCAGAACAAAGTTTTGGCACAGATGTCTGCGATCGACACGATCATGGTCAGCGGCAGCTTCGATACGCACATTCTCTTAGTTTGACTGCGATAGTGCATGCGCTCCACAGATCTATGGGAAGATTTCTAACATATCGACGAAGCCGCAACCTCCAGTCTTAACCGTCTAATCACGATTACCAGGCTAAGTTCGTCCAGAACGCAAGGCATATCGATTCTTTACCGGTGAAGCCTTGACTTTGTTATTTGAGATAGAATCTCGTCCTCAAAAAGCCTACATTTCTGTTTCCTCATCATGGCAAGTCAATTCTCGGACTTTTTCGAAACCCAGAGGCCAGTCCTGATGTACCGAATCCGACATCAGCACGATTGAATCATATCTGGCTGGTCAATTGACCGTCACAGAGACCATGCAGCAGTTAGAAACAACATATCAGCAACCAACAAGCATCTTGCACCGCAGGAGAAGAAGCATGGCCGCGTTGTCGGCATGCTGAACTATCTTGCAGTGAACTTTCCAGAATTGCACCCTGCCCTGACCGATCTCCGTAAGCCATCTACTCGAACGAGGACAAAATAGGCTATGGTGGGGAGCTGCGAGGTCAGCATGATTAGGAAACCCACGACTAAAGAACTGTGTTGACACAATTTGATTGATCGCAAAACTCTGGCTGACTCTGCAGCTGGGCGCGGACTTATATTGCGTCCCTATGAGGCCAATCAGAAAGCTACTTGCACCTAAGTCATCGTCATAAGGCTGTGCAGGAGTGACTGAAATGTCCTTCGGACAGAAAAATGCATGGACTAATTTAAATCATGCACAGATATACTAGGATATGAGGTCGTCCGGCTCTTACGACCAATGGAAGTGATTATCTCTGAATCAAAACAAGTTGTGCATGTCAGGGAATCAGTTTCTGTTGATCGGCCTCTTAGATAGAGTGGAGAAGCACGTTGTTCTATCTATGAAGGAGTTGACAGCGTAGATGCGTACAGAATTCTCTGTATGATAAAGCGAAACTTGCTCTCTGAAATTGCGTTCAAAACGGATCAATGAAACACTGAGTATTCAAAGTATTCAAAACACGTTACAGCTAAGCTACATTTAGGATGCTAATACAGCAATCTTAAAGTCCTTAATCCCGCAGAATCCACCAATTTTCTGCGTATTTTGTCTTGATTCTGCCAAGTCTCTTGAACCCGCAGAATCCACACTTCGCTCGCCAGCGTTCCGTGCTCATTCTATATTACTACAAGACCTACACCTACGCTCAAGGTAGGGTATACCATCGTATGTAAAGAGTAGCCACCGCTCTGGGTAGTTAATCAGAGATCATCTTGTTCTTGGCACGTCTTCCAGTTGGAGGCAGCCACCATCGTGCGCTTTTGATGCCTTTTTTGTACGTTTTTCGCCTATTTCGCCCATCGGAGGCCGTGCCATCTATGACAGACAGGGGTCGAGATATACCCCGAAACCTGAACTGAAGGGCACGAAACTTGGCTCTCAGAATCCGGTCCCAATGGGGAGTTTAGGGCAGAATACAGTCGATGCCCAGGGTGGCTCAGGGCTGCTCAGGCTGGGAACAGCATTGCACTGCCACAGAGTGTAAGATTCGGTATGGATATCATGGTATTCTGTATTCGAAACTGACTGGGAATACATATGAATTTGAACTCAATTGGTAGTGTCTTCCTCCAATAACGTCCAACAAATATATTATGAAGTGCTCAGCGAAAAAGTCGTGAATAACCGCATGAAGTATCACACAACTTCTGTGTGATAGGTGAAAGTTAACCCCGTCTTCCAAACACATCAAATCATGTATCCCAATCAATGTTTCATCATTGGTCTTTGGGATCCGTGGCATCCTGGCCTGGATTTGCCTCCTCATAATTCAAATATTTGACCAGCCTGTAATATGCAGCTGCGAGGAGAGCTCCTAGTATGGGACCAAGCCAGTAGATCCAGTGATGGCCAGGAAAGGAGCGAGCGGCGACAGAAGGACCAAACGAGCGTGCAGGATTGAGGGAGCCACCAGTGAAGTATACTCCTGTAAATGACAATGAGTGTTAAGATAAAAGAACCTGGGTAAGGAAGACGTCAACTTACCACTCAATTCGGCAACGAAAAGACTCAGGCCAATTCCCACAGGAGCAAGGAAGGTAGCCTGATGTTTCTCAGCCGCAAGCATCAGGATAGTGAAAACGAGCAGGGCGGTGAGGAACATCTCTATAAACAATCCTCTTGCAATGCTGACACCAGGACTTAGCCTCGTAATAGTGGTCGCGACGTCTCCAGGAAACATGCACTGAACGAGCGCTGCCGCCACCATGCACCCCAGGAGCTGAGCTGGGATCAAGAAAAGACCTCTCATCCAAGGAAGCGTACCAGCCACAACCATTCCAACCACAACAGCAGGATTAAACAACCCACCACTTATTCGGTAAAAGGCCCAAGCGTTGACGGTTAAAGAAAATCCGAAGGCAAGGGCGATGAAGAGAAGGGTCTGTGGAGTCTGTAAACCTCCTGCATCTGGATTGCTCATGGATGTGACCTGAGCAGCAGACAAGGCGAACCAGAGAAACATGATGGTACCGACAAATTCTCCTGACATGGCAACAATATGGCCACGGATATCCTCCCATCGGCCGCCTTGGGATTTGTAGTCAAAAGGTGAGGGTTGATGCTGGAGATTATGACCAGGAGGGCCGCGGTTACTCTTCCTGCCATCTGTGTGGGCACCACGACGTTGGAACGTGGACAGAAGGCCACCGCTGCTCCCGCCAGCACCACCATGACCGGTGTTTCGCTGATGGTGAGAACTCTGATGTGGTGCATGGCTGCTGGTGGGTGGCTGGTAAGTTGAGGTGTTTTGAGAGTCTCCGGGGGCTTGTTGTGCTTGGATTGAGTCGTGGGTGGGATTGTAATTCTGCTGCTGCTGGCTCGGATTCAATGTCTGATATGCTCCAGCAGCTGAAGTGGCCTGATAGTATGGATCCTGAGAATTTCTAGGAGTGTTCTCGTGGCTTATGCGGTGTTGATAATTGCCAGTTTGGGCTTCGGGATCATCCTGACGACCTGAGCGGCGACGTGAATGATGTCGCTCGACAGAAGGCGGTGGAAATGTTGATGGCATGATAGCGATGGTGAGTTATATGATAGCAAGGAGAGAAATCCACATTCGTTTAGTGCAGACTCGAGTAACACGATATGGTACCAGAGAAATGGTACAGGTATAGTCAATGCAGGAGGCTACTAAGTATGGCTGGCATTGAGCAGAAAAACAGTGCTGACTATCTAGTTGGGATTGAACAGCAGGAATGGAATACTTTTTAGTTTTAAAGTACTTACATCATTCCGGCACAGTGACGATGTTGGGTGGGTGGAAAGGCTGGGTGAGTCGGGGCTCCGAGCGCAAAGAATTGCAAATACAATGATAAGATTTGGGGAGATGACGCCCATTCAACGCCCTGTTAGACGCCATGGCAATTTAACCTGGGTTAGCAAGGAGAGCGTTTAGCATTGCCGAAGACTCAGAGTACACTTGTAGCCGGCTGTCTCTTTTTCATATCAAGTACCCGAGTAAGTGGCAATGGTGGTTGAGGCGGCGTAATGGGGCCAAACTCTATGCTTACGTATCATACCAATTGAGTCTAGTGACATGCTCGCTAAGAGAGACGCCAGCTGATCACTAACCACTCAGCAATCACGCGCCACACATGCTGGCAGCCACAGTTCGCCCTAACGCCAGATCGTGAAATTGCTGAAATCCGCTTCTTCATCCCCAATCAACGTCAAGAATCGCCTGGTGCCGTGCACCACCTCGCCACATCCTTCCTGATGCTAACCAACGATGTGTTTCAGTAAGAAATGAAGGGCAGCACCATGATTGGGAGACCGGGTTGGATACCTGCTTTCGGCACCGCGCCGCCCTTCCGGAAGGACAGACGATCCTGCGAATTTCAAAGGAACCCAATCTAGCGCTTTGCCTCTGCATCGTGGCCCGCCAGATGCGCCCTTTCCTTGGCTTCCGCTTCTGACATGTCCTCGGGCGGTTTTGCTGACGCAAATGGATTATGCGAATGGTGGTGATGGCCCGCATGGTCTTTGTCCTTTTTCTTGTCGCTTGACGCTTCCTTCTTCTTTTCTTGCTTCTTGGCCGCTTCCGCCATGAGCTGCTCAAAAGCCATGTAGTCGCCTTCTTCATCCGGGTCACGTTCAGCCTATCATTGGGTTAGCTAGATTCCGTGTCTCGGTTGAGCACTCCAAAGACGCACCTTCTGATAAATTGTCCCGCTCAGTATCAAAGCATGTGCCCTTTCAGCCCTCTTCTCCACTTTTACCGTCTTATCATTCAAGATCTTGTCGCAAACGTCTCTCAATACGCCTTGGATTTCATATTTACTTCCCTTCCATGCTGCAGCAAGGATCTTTCCGGTGACTCGCTTCTCGTACTCGGCCTTTTTCTCATCTGTCCAGTCCTCGCCCCCTTTCTCTTCCATTTTGGCCATTTCTTCCATGGTCAACTGTGCATCAATGGCGGTGGAAATGGTGTTCCAGGTTTCTTTGGCAAGCGTGGTCTTATCCTTGAGTCTGCTAAAGAAGCCAGATATGCCAAGGAATTTCTGCGACTTGAGGAAAGAGCTTGCCTTTTGTATATAAGTGGTACCAATTGCGTGAAGAATCTCAAGACCAAAGGATTCCATTTTCAAGTTCTCGACTTCGAGCCTAGTCTTCTCCTCGAACGCTTTCGTCACATCTGGCCCTTTGTCCGTCTCTGTCCACACACTGATACGGTCAATCAATTTTTTGGCCAAAGTGTCGACTCGCTCGTCTCGGATCCTCCTTCGTTCTTTTTCATACGCATCCAAACGCTCCCGCTGTTCTTTGGTCAGACCGCCCTTCTTCTTCTCCTTCTTTCGGAGTTCTTTCTCTTCGGCTGTCAATCCAGCGGCATCCATACGAGCATCTTCCTCAGATTTGTCCATTATGGCTTGTTGGCCATGGTATCTTCGGGGTGTACTGGTTCCAGAGCTGGCTTGTTCGGGAGTTCTACCCCCTGTGGGCCGTGGTGGTAGATGAGGGGGCGTACTTGATGGTGCAGCTGTAGAAGCTTCGGCAGTAGCATCGGAAGCGTATGGTGGTGGAGGTTGTGCAGTTGATGGTGTAGTGGAGTTTGCCCTGGCTTCTTTTTCCTTGTCATCGTGTACCTTCAACTTCTCGTCTGCCTGGGCAGCTAGTTCTTCTTCCTGCATCTGTTCCATGGTAATATCCATAGTATGGGTCAAGTCTTTCATCAAGGAAATCTCGCCGATCAGATCAACAAAAGCATCGCCCCCAAATATCATGCTGAAGAACTCGGCTGGGTCCTCAAAGCCAGCACTCGGCATAGCTTTCTCCTTGCCGAATCTGTCATACTGTGATCGTAATTCCTTGTTCGACAGGACTTGATATGCTTCACCGATGGCTTGGAAGCGAGCGTGTGCTGACTCGTCGCCAGGGTTCTTGTCTAGGCAGTGTTAGCATGTAAATGAAAAGAAATCGACTTTCTTCCCGTAACAGACCTGGATGGGTGGTGATGGCAAGCTTGCGATACGCCTTCTTTATTTCCAACTCCGAGGCATTCGTGGGTACTCCAAGGGCATCGTAATATGTTGTGTCTACTACCTTCGCCATGACGGGCGGATCTACCCACCGTGACCGCAGTTCAGGATGGGATGTTCAAATCGTTGTCGAGGTCGGAACTGAATCAGATTTATGTGTAGGCCGGATATGCTACGTCTGGAGAGTTTGGATTTGACTGAGCAGTTTTCAAGTGAGGGCGACGTCAAAGGTCGCATTTAGGCAGACTGAGACATTGAAATCATATTTGCACTGATGCTCTCTGCAAGTGTCCGTATTCTGGATTTTAATCCTTGACGCAAGAGCACGCGGCAATGAGATTCCCCCCTAAACCCCCTTTACCCCCCCTAGTATGGATCCTGAGAATTTCTAGGAGTGTTCTCGCACCCCCCCCGGAGCCATGGCTGCGGCCTAGCTTGCGCCCCTGAACCTTCGCCCTCGTGGAACTTTTTCTTTACAGGATGCGGAGAGAGCTGATCCGTGAACATGCCACGAGTCCAGGATAAGCACAACCATGACTTGAAACAGTTCAGCCATATTAAAAGTCAATCGATGCCCTTCAACCGGAGTTCCAACTCTCTGGACCAGGAATATCCGGCATTATGGTCAAAGTCACCGATATCCTCTACTACGTGATCAATCCTCAGGAATTGCGATCAATCATCCAATGGTATGTTGCATTACTGATTGCCTACTCTACTGCTCTAATCTTACCAAGGAAGGTATGGCATCAGCCCGTACATGAGCGCGAAGAGGATAAGGAGTCAGTCTCCTCCCGAATATGCTTCGATTTTTTGGACAAGACCAGCCGCAGTTTCAGCGCGGTGATTCAAGAATTACATCCAGAACTACTCCTCCCAGTCTGTTTGTTCTACCTGACACTTCGAGGTCTCGACACCATCGAGGATGATACCTCTATTCCTGCCGAGACGAAGACACCCTTGTTGAGAGATTTCCATGATAGATTAGAGGAAGATGGCTGGTGTTTTACTGGTAATAGACCGGAGGAAAAGGACCGGGAGTTGCTTGTTCAATTCAAACATGTTGTCACAGAGTTCAAGAAGATCAAGCCTGCTTATCGGGATATCATCAAGGATATGACGGACAAAATGGGGAATGGTATGGCAGATTACATCAACAATGCTGAGTTCAACGAGGTGGGCGTGGACAAGATTGAAGATTATGAATTATACTGTCACTACGTTGCAGGACTTGTTGGTGAAGGTTTAACACGCCTGTTCGTCGAGAGTGGTTACGGTAACCCAGCGCTACTCCAAAAGCCACATCTTCACGAATCAATGGGCCGTTTCCTCCAAAAGACAAACATCATCCGGGACATCAAAGAAGACTTTGACGACAAGCGGATATTCTGGCCCCGAGAGATATGGTCAAAGCATGTGGACAAATTCGAGGATCTCCTCAAGCCAGAGTATAGAGATGCCGCGTTGAATTGCAGCTCTGAGATGGTGCTCAATGCACTCAACAACGCGGATGAATGTCTTTTTTACCTTGCTGGTTTGAAAGAACAGAGTGTATTCAACTTCTGCGCAATTCCCCAATCCATGGCCATTGCAACTCTGGCATTATGTTTCCGAAACCCCAAGATGTTCGAACGAAACATCAAAATCACCAAAGGTCAAGCATGCCAAATAATGGTGGCATCAACCCAAAACCTGAGACTGGTCTGTGAAGTCTTCCGCGACCATGTCCGACTGATTCATAAGAAGAATGTTCCGCAAGACCCCAGCTTTCTCAAGATCAGCATCGCTTGTGGCAAGATAGAGCAATTCATCGAGTCGATATTCCCTTCACAAAGACCGGAAGATGTCATCCGATCGAAGCCAGGTGATCCCAAGACGCTCAAGGCGTTGGAGAAGGAAACACAAGACAAGGAGGCAAGGCACGATATGTTGATGATGATGATGGCTATGGGGACCATGCTTCTTGTTGTGTCAGGCCTTATGGTACGTTTCCGACACCACCCCCATCAAGTCCCCATCTTCTTTGACACAATGATGTAGTTCGGTCTCGCATGGCTCTTGGGAGCTCGATTCGATCTCGCATTCGCAGGTGTCAAAAAAGGCATGCAAGATATCATGGCCGGTAATTGGCGTCCACCTCCGGGTAGCTCTGGGGCCGAAAAGCTAGCCAAGCAGTTCGACCACGACGAGATTTGAGGGTGATGAATGAGGTAATGGAGCTTGTATGGCAGTGGTATGTAAGTCAAGGGACCACCAATTGCACAATACTTTCCCCCAGTTTGGAGATGCCGATGGCAATGTTGATGTTCTCAATGCTCTTCTTTCTTTCCAAATATTGGTTGATGGAACGGAGAAATGGAATGTAAATGCCTTTCAACAATTCCATTCCTTTGACGTTCTACCACGGCGAAGATTTTGAGATGACCCTTCACGCTCTTGCTCTACCTGCCCAAAATTCCTCGAGCGACTGGATATCACGTCTTCCTATTTTACCACTTCATATCCTTTTCCATCTCCAAACTCAACAGTCTGGCAGCTAGCACGGCAAAATGTTACTCTCAATACCGGTATTCTACAATTTAATACACGCGTTCTGTTCTCCAATTTCAAATGACTATCAGATCCCGTTTCTAATTTGCCCTCTCCCCCTCGAGAAGGAAGGAGGAAAAGAGGCGAGACCCAGAAATACGAAAGCACGGATGTCAAATTACAATCCAGCTCCACCTCCATTCCCTCAGCAGGGAGTAGATACATTGGCTGCCCGATTGTGCCGAAGAAGTGCTGATATCAGTCCCTCCTTTTTCGGGAAGGAGAGTGCTCATTGGTTTCTCAGAAAAGGAAACCTGTCTGTCGCTGGCTACTGTCTTTGATTCCGTTTGCGGGATAGAGATGCAAGTGTGGCGCGGCGACCTGGTATGAGCACACATTTCACATGTATGAAGAGAAACACGAACACAGGTCTGTGGATAAGTTAGAGAGGAGCGGGTTGTGGTGTAGCTGGAAATCGAGGAGGAGAGTAGAGTAGAGCTAGTTAGGTGGTAGACAGCTTAGGATCTAGGGCTAGTGAAATAAATAATGTGGTTGTGCAGGCCTTGCTTTGATAGTCGGGCTTCGGGATTTGATTTGGCTACCCTTAGGATTGTGCGACGATGAGAGGTTCGCTTCAAAATAGGACAGCAATGTACAAAGGTCCTCTATTCGGAGCCCTAGCCCGCCGGCTAGGCATCTCTTATAGGTCGTCAGGAAATGCTGACTTGGCTGTGCGCGCGTAGCTGTATGTGTCCTCGCGCAAAAATCGAAATCGTGAATGGATTCTCTTCTCTGTTATCTCAAGGTGGGCCAGCCGTTGCGGTCTCCCGGTCTATCCCTCCTTCTCCCTCTTCCCTCTCTGTGGGGCCCAATACAGGACTTGAATGTGCCCAGCCAACCGAAGTCACCCTTCCAAGCCATTGCTCCATACTCATTGAGATACATGATCTTGTGCCCGTGGATCCCGAAACCGGAACGGGAGAATTGCTGAAAGCCAGGACGCCTTCTGGTGAATGTAAAGAAACTCCAGGACGATGCCGGTTCCATACAGAGGCTGTTTCTAGAGTAGGCACGGTGAAATGGCGTCCGATATCTGTGCAACGGATATCCACACCGCTCGATATGCGATACCATCATACATCCCTTACAATTGGTCTGAGTATGTAGTCTTCCTCTGTAAAGATTCAAGCAATATTGCCCGCCATGCCCATAAAGATAGCTTGGACTGCTAACTGCAGAGACCAGAGCCCGACCTTCTTGATCCGGCGCATACGAGCTTGATCATCAGTGACATCGCGAGCGAAGGCTTCATAAGTCTGGAAGTGCTACAAGTCAGTCGGCGAATTGTAACGGAAGCGAATGGAATTAAATCGTTCCCTTGTGACTTACCTCTGCACTTAGATCTTCCATCAAACCGCTATCGAACAAACTCCAACTACCATCAAAGTCGCTTGCTCGTTTCACGACCCGGCAGTTAATGGGAATGAAAGTCCGTCGAGAATTGATGTATCCGACAATAGGTCGAATCAAGGCATTGTTTACATAGCTGAGATCTCTAGTGAAGAGTGGAACCGCGGCCCTAACATCGTTCAGGTGGATCCTCAAGTCCATGACGAGAAAGCGTTTATCATCCTCTGTTTCTTGATCCGTCTCATTGAACGCGGACGGCTGTCGCTTTTTCTCGGTCAGGGCGGCCTCCATTCTCTCGTAGAAATCACTCATGACTTTGAGGACGCTTTCGTCGCTATCGGCTGGGAACATGATGTCTGCTACGATGTCGACGTTTCCTTCATGGATCCATGAAAATGGGCCTTGCACACCACGGTTGAGATGGTCGATATTCAAGCTGTCGACGCGAATGCGAGAATACTTTTTCCAAGGATTATTTTCATGATGGGTATCGTGCGTTGTTGCGATGTGAGAGTGGTTCTGGTGTGGATGGATGGTGAATAAGGAATTATCATAAGCGCCGTGCATTTGATTGGCAGAGAGGATATCGTAGAAAAGCCATCGTTTGCGCAGTTGAGGGAGGTCAGCGGAGAAAATGCTCACCGTGAAGGGTCGAAAGCCTTTGGGCTGATGAAGCGTAACCAGAACATCTTCCAATTTGAAAGAATCTATCTCAAAATCTCCAGGATTATGCTCATGTCTGTACGATTTTGGATCAATATATTCGCCTGTCCAATGAACATTAGTTCTATCGACAACCCCACGCATGCCTTTAACTTCGACATTCTGCAAAATTCCTTTTGAATTGAACCATTTCGCGAACGATAACGTCACGAGCACTTCGTTGATGGAAAGGTCAAACTGGGTGTAATTTGTGTCCTCGTTGGGATCAGCATTGGCCGCTGCGGCTGCAATTGCTGCGCTTTCTCGAGTTCCCTTACTTACTCCAGCTCCATCAATCTGGCCTGGTCTCCTTGAGACGAAGACGTTCTCGAACTTGATGACACCACTTCGCCATTCGGGCACAATAGCCGACTCGAAGACCACATTGATACCGGTGGACTTGGTAAGATAATTTCCCACCCATCGAGCTAGCGTCTCCTGTGCAAAGACGGTATTGATGGCAAGGATGGCCAGGGAGAAGAATGTAGTGGTACCAATTACTATCCAGAGGAGATGTCCAACAAGTATCCAGGATATGAAGCCAGTGATCTCATCAATATTGAATGGACGTACGCTGCGTATCGAGAACCACTTGAATCGTATCTTCAGTCGTGACCAAAATCCCGTTGCTGCCGAAAGTAGTTCTTCCTTTGTCGGTCTGTGAAAGTGTGGCATGTGCGGCATATGTATACGATCGATAAGATGCGGGTGGTTGTTGGGAGCTGCCGATGCGTCAGGAGGTATGAATGAAGCTTTCTGGCCTGTCTCCTTTCCCCCACCCTGCGGGCTGCTTTTGTCTTTCCTGTCAGCCTGCTGCTGAGACGCGTTGCTGAAGTGTCTCAGCCCAGGAGGTCGGATCCCCTCACCGGTTGTCTGGACAGACGACCAGGGCTGTGATGATCCTGAGGCAGGAAGTGCTGCCCATAAAATCCGGGACGCATCCTGTGGTGATTTTTTGGTAGGCGAGCGTGCTTCTGCTAGGCGAGGAACTTTCGCTTGACGCTTCGACAGCGATGGACAACTCAAAGGTAGTGGAGCTTCCGTATGGCGAAACTCATCCCGAATAGGAACATCTTTGCACTCTCTCAAAATCTGGGGTGGACGGTAATACCTCAAGATTTGAGGATCAAAGGATGCTGGTGGTCTTTGTGTGACTCGAGTTATCCGGGGAGGTATTGTAAAGTATTTTTGGATATTGAGCAGAACCCGTCCAGTGACAGGACTCGTCATGTTCGATATAGCATGGTGATGGGAATCGTGTGGGCTCAATGGCGCCTTAAAATGGTGCGGAGAAACAAATGATGTTCCTTTGTCGCGATGACGGATGATTTTCCCAAGCAAGATTTTGGAGCTCATGCATCATGTATGTACTACGGGGGAGGGCATAGATATTGTTAGGCTGACGCTAGTAAGCTTGCTCCGAAACAGCTGTTTTACAGATTATGTAATGGTCTCGATATCTCTATTTCTTTCACAAAAGAACCTCAAAAAATTTGACTGGAGAAGCGCAAACACATTTTTGCACTCATATAATCTATCTAAACTTCTCTTAAGAGTGATTCTCAGCTGGTCAGCTTTATTATTACATAAATATAGTGATACAGAGATCGCCAAGGAGTCTGATCAAAGCCAATCAGAATGTGTGGCGCTGTATCATAACCAGTCGCTACTAACACCAACCTAACAATATTTATGCCCCTTTCCCAGAAGTACTAATATCTGCACTCTTTTTTTGTTCAATTAGCAGCTGACATCTTGGTTGGGAAAAGATTGTAGTTTCCATTTTCACGAATCCAAAAAATGTTGGCGACCCTAGTCCTTAGACATACGAGACAATGGCTACTTTCACTAAGCCCGTCTAAAGGACTGAGGCAAGCCAGATCCTTCGCTTTGTGATGGGGGCAAAGCAGATGTATGCTGCTTTCTTTCTCGTTTTGGGCATCAGAAATCTCGCAATTCCACATTGAACCTTTACATGAGCGACTGATATCACCCTTTTTGCTAGACATCGTGGGGTGTATATACGGCTTTATCGTATTCTGCTATACTACTGGACAGAAATTTGCTATGGAAAAGTTACAACTCGAGGCTGTTGAAGCATCCTCTGGGTCAGGCTTCCAGCAAACTCTCAACGTTCCGTTGGTCCCGACCTCCCCATCATCTCGCACAAATCCTTGTCCGAGCAAGGAGAAGCCTACGTGGCCAAAGAGTTCCATGACCAAAGTCCGTGGTTGTCGGCCTTCTCAGCACTCCAAAGCCAACTCGAATTGGTTTTGCTGGAAATCGCCTCGGCCATAACAAGCATTTTTGTTATTGCCGCTCTGGTTGCTATTCTTTGCGTGTATAATGGTCACGCGGCGCCATCATGGCTGTATGGGATTACAGTAAGCAACTTCATAAGCTTCATTTTACGTGCCACTAGACTCTTAAATGACAGGCCAATGCGCTCGTATCTATCCTAGTGACTGCAGCGAAGAGCATGCTGCTGCTTGCTGTCGCTGAAAGCTTCAGCCAGTACAAATGGCTCTACTTTCGTGAACACAAAGCCACTTGCAAATCTGCAAATGTTCGACGCCACCAGTAGGGTCTATTGGGAGCCCTCCAGCTACCATTCATGTTCGGCGTGTAGTTAGTCCCTTCACCAAATATTCATGTGCTCTGCTGATGATTTCTTTAGATTTCTTACTCTGGTCAGCTGCGTTATCATCGTGATCTGTTTGACGCTTGATCTAAAAGCGCAGCTAGTCCTCACTTATCAGATGATGCTTATGTCTTCTCACGAGGCTTGGATTAGACAAGCGCAGACTTACAGAGGAGGATTAAATGACACTTGTTAGCAGATCCGTTCATTGATTCTCTATTCCCTTGGATAAGCTGACATCGTCAAGCTATCTTAACTATGAACGCAATACTCGCAGTTGTCTATAGTGAATTGCTTGCACCAAATACCATACAATCACTTACAACTGTCTGTGTCACCAACAATTGCACGTTCCCAGCCTTCACTTCGCCGGGATTCTGTAGCGAAAGTTGCAATATTACAGAAGCTATGATTCGAACCTGTACGATTACCAGTACGTCTACCTGCAACTACAAACTTCCGAATGAGTTTGTAAGTTTAGGCGAACGACTCACTTCCATACCAATTCAGGAAAAACTTCCTCTGGCCAGCCAATTCGCCACAACCTTCCCGATCGTGCAATAAAAGCCTTAGGTAACCTATTACATCCTTTAGGGCTCTAGAGCCGAATCCTACCCCAGAAGTGCTGCTTCAACATGTCACTTTCAGCGCCTTGTTCTCCTGTATTCAAAGTTATAACGTTAGCGTCATAGCGGACAGGACATCTTTTTTCTGTTTTAACGACCTGGCGAAGCACTAGTGACAATGATTACGTGAAAATTGAAGCATTGAATGACACTTACGTTCTGATATTCACCGTTCTATGAAAAACCTTTCCGATCCCCTTCAGATCAGAAATGACCACCCAAATCTCCAGGTTCGGTCTGACAATTCAACAAACTTGAACGACCCCTCGACTGCTTTACCTTACCTTCCAAAATTGCCCCGTTCCTCAGTACCCAGTGTATCCTTAGTGGTATTATCATTACAGCACCTACGTCGGCCCCTACAGCATTGCAAGGCGCTTCCACAAGTTTCCTTTCTATATACCCAAGATTATTAGTCCTCCAGGTGGAATCCCTGCACAATTGAGATACACTACAGTAATTAAATTGGATCTTCAATACAAATTAATTACGTCTTTGTTGCGTAGAACATATCTAGATTTTCTCAACAATGAGTAAAGCTTGGCGGACGCGTCCCTCCTCTCCTCCTTTCTTAGTTCTCAACACCAAGTTATCAATCCATATCTACTACCTATTTCGGTACTGATACGGTCACAACAGTACAGAGGGCTGTTAGGATCCCAGGGGAGTGCAAGGGCAATAGAACAGTATAAGGGTGGATGGAATGACTTATTGAGCGCAAAGAACTAGAAGAGAGAAGAGAGATCCAAATACCAAGAGGCCTTTGTGCCATAAAAGAACGTAGAACCTTCTCAGTAGCTGCCAAACAAGGCAGCTTGTCAAACAAGAGAATGATCTACTAGAGTCCTCCTGGCCCTCACAACGAGTACCCTGCTTGGCGGTTATAATAAGGGCCTGGTCTTGTACCCTTGGAATGGCCAGAACTGCCTGTACCGTACCACGGTACCATTGGTACGGTTGGTACGGTTGGGCTGTTTCCGAACGCTGGTCCTATGCGTGATCTCAGCTTTCTTCTTTATAATCTCGGTTATCCTGCAGACGAGCACGTAAAGCAGACTTGTTTGAAATCCTCCGTAGTGGCGTATATGTCCCACGGACTGGATCGGACGAGGGTGGAGGAGAGGAGCACAGGACAGGTCACGGAGATGGAGAGTGCAGCTGCGAAGGTGAAGATTAGGCTTGCGAGGCATGGGGAGTTGAGTTGGAGGTTGCTTAAGGTTCGGAGGAGGGTAAAAGGGATACTACTTAGTACATAAGGGGAAGTAAATGACCATGATAGCAGCTATGAGTTTCTGGTAAGATGATAACACACGTGGGACTCTACTCGATTACGATCCGTGAGCTTACACTTTACCTGTAACGAAGCCAAGAGGTGCCTTTTGAATCCCACTGCGTTGGTCACGATACGGAACACTGAGATGTTGAACCAAAAGGACCGCGGCCACAATTGGCCACTAACCAGTTATTTGTCTGACATATCTCTATTCAAGGCACAACTTTGAAACAGCGCCCGCACTGATCCAAGCTTCCGTAGTAGTTGCCAATCGCCTACAACGCGAATGCCCCCAAGCTTCAATCCTGAGAGTACCAGTACCGCCCCAACTAGGAAAATGCTGGACCGAGAAAGGCATTAGTAACAGACGGGTTGGCAAGCCTTGATGAGCGAAACAATGTGACTTAACGCCGAGAACACCCATACCTCAGTATTATGGATGTTTGACAGGAGTCGTTATTTTCGACCTCACATTCACAAGTAGCGCCACCGTTCAATCCTCTCAGTTCCCTCAATTATACCAATGAGGCAACGTACTACTTTCTGCAATGACAGCAATATACTCTCTACATTTTCACGGCATTGAACTGTCCATACTACTTTCAATGGGAGCGTAGTATCCAATTTATGATAGGAGTAGCAAGCTCAATCCTTTTGAGCCAATCAAGGTGATCATTGGGACTTGAAGACTAAATACCTGTTGTAAAAATCCCCACACTCACTTACGAGTACTTATCAAACACGGCGGCGCTGTTGTGTGGACGAGTCAGACCAAAATCCAGTGTGCGTCAACCAACAACTTCACGCCTATCTCCAGCGTGAACAGACTGAAGAAGACAGCGTCTTCCCTGTCGGACATCCATAACCCTGCTGAAAATTGGTGGAGACCTCACGATGCCTGCGCCTACAGCCCTTCAGCGGCGGCCAGAGGAACTTATACAAGACATTGCAGAGACGGTACCTCTACCAGAAGATGACGACCTGCTCATAACAACAAACTCGTTCACTTCGCTCCCCACCGAGAACCCTACTTCACCATCATCAAATCCCTTACCATCCGCCAACCCGCCCACAACCGACACAGAAATGACCACCATCGACCCAGAAGGCCGACCCCTCTTCCCCGCCTCCACCGACACCCCAACCATCCACCGGATCCAACAACGCAAAATCCCCATCCCACCGCACCGCATGACACCGCTCAGATCCTCCTGGCCCAAGATCTACCCACCCCTAGTCGAGCACCTGAACCTGCAAGTACGCATGAACACCAAATCGCGCGCCGTCGAGCTCCGTACCTCGCGACACACCACGCACGCCGACGCGCTGCAAAAAGGCGAAGACTTCCTCAAAGCCTTCACCCTCGGCTTCGACGTCGACGACGCCATCGCCCTGCTCCGTCTCGACGATCTCTACATCGAGACCTTTGAGATCAAGGATGTCAAAACGCTTCAGGGCGAGCACCTAGGGAGGGCGATTGGCCGCATAGCGGGCAAGGACGGAAAGACCAAGTTTGCGATCGAGAATACGTCGCGCACGCGGGTGGTGTTGGCGGATAGTAAGATTCATATTCTGGGTGGGTTTGGGAATATCAGGATTGCGAGGGAGGCGATTGTTAGTTTGATTTTGGGGAAGCCACCTGGGAAGGTGTACGGCAATTTAAGGGGAGTGGCCGGGAGGATGAAGGAGAGATTTTAATTGAAGATTGTGCTTCACACGGAACATGAAAAGCTGGTTGTAGGGAGTGAGATTATACGTAGTAGAGGCATAGCACTGGCGCTTGGATTGTGATGATGCGAGAGGAGCAATGATGCATAGATCTACAGGGGATGATACCAAGTCCGAATTGTCGGGCAGAACAGACTCTATTCGACGCCTGCTAAACCGCTAGAAAACATGCTTTACCATGTCCCAATTCTCCTGCTCAATCCCTCTTTAACGGCTCAAATATCTCCTGAACACCCTCCTTGGTAATGATCATCATCTGCAGCCCATCACCAACCTCAATGTGTCTCTCCACCGCGCTCGTAAAAGCATCCCTAACCAGCCCTTGCACCGTATCCTGACTCAAATCCGTCAATTGACGTTGCTGCAGCGCATGGCCCTCCCCGCTTCCCGGTACATGCTGATTCTTGTAATTGACCTGATTGTCCAAGAACGGCATGATAAGGCTCGCCGCCGCGCCCGCCGCCCTGCACTGCTCCCGCTCATAGCTCCCCACAGGATCGTACGAGTACAGCGCCCCTTTGCCATCCTCGTCCATGCCCCCCAAAATCGCATGCACGTAGTACGGGAAGAAACGCTTCGAATAGAGAATCGTGCTCAGCCTCTGCGCGCACGCTTTCACAGACATCGCCTTGCCGTGCTGGTATCGGTACATCTTCACGATTGTGTCGAGGCGTTCTTTCAGGGCGTTGCCGTCGGCGGCGAAGCCTACTACGGACAGGACGATGCGCGAGGATGGGTCATCGGCTCCTATGCGAAAGACTTTTGGTGCGTGTCGGGTATTGATGTTGTAGCCGGAGGTGGAGCGAGTGTCGCCGGCGAGGATGGCGAAGGTTGAGCCTGTTATGCCAAGGGTAGATCCGCCGTTGTCGGTGTAGCTGTGGCAGAGAAGTTTAGTTGAGAGCTATATGAGTAACGCGGAACAGAAATCGAGGTTGAGGTTGAGGTTTGTGCTTACGGATAGAAGGCATGCTGTCTTGGACCGGATGAGTGAGAGGTAGGGTTTGGAATTGACTTTGAGAATGAGTAGCCAAGTGCATCTGAGTGAGCCGCTGTATCGCTCATGAGAGAAGCCATGGTGAGATGAGAGGTCGGAGGTTATTTATGAGTCCAACGCAGGGTAGAAGGTGTTAAAGGTCAAGTTGAACAGAAATGCATCATTGAAGTCGAAGCTTGATGCAACGCGTGCCAGATTTGGAGCCTGAGCATTTTGCCAAGCCAACATCTTTAGCCGGTCGAGCGGTCGAGCATGACCTGAGGCCTTCAAAGTTACTCACACCACCGTCGAGTCCGAGGCGTGATTGTTGCTGTCAGTCGGTGCCTTCGAAACTGACTAGACTTTGCAGGATGAGTGCGCTTGTTGGCTACGAGACTAGCAGCGAAGAAGAAGAAGAAGAAGAAGAAGAAGAAACAGCTACCGCTGCTCCCAAGGCAGCTTCTACAGTAGAAACGTCTGCTGCGCCGACTAGCACGACCATTGAGAGCAATCTTTCAAATGGTACGGACGTGAATACTTCAGCGGCCCGTGTCTCTGAACCGGCTACTGTTGGACCCCTTCTTGGACCGAGTGCTCCTCTAAATGGTGACATGATCAATGCAGAATCACCGACACAGGCATTCGAGGATATGTCGGAGCGTGATACTATTCGACATCTGACTCAAGCTTCTATACCTATGACCTCGATACCTCCTTCACCGCCTGGCTCGCCTGATCCAGCAGCGAATGCAAAGTTCGCTCGCTTCCTAGGATTGAAGGCTAAAGGTGTGCATTTCAATGAAGACCTCGCCAAGAAATCAAGTTTTCTCAATCCTGCCTTGCTGGCTGCCATGATGGCTCGTGCCGGTATCGACGAGGCAGATCAATACAACACTTCTCTGCCGCTCGACCTGTGGAGTCCAAAGGGTTTCCCGGAGTGGGCTTACAAGGAGGAACTTCATAAGGCTCAGCAGGCAATCAGGGACAAGGAAGTGGCAGAAAAGAAGGCTTTGTCTGCTGCTGGCAAACGCGCGATTGAATTTGCCCCGTCCGGTGGGAACTCTGGTGATTCCAGCAGCAGATCCACCCCCAGCTACCAGAAGAAGCGAAGAAGACCTTGAACATGCACAGCGTTATCGGGGTGCAGGAAAAGGGTCTTGTTCAAATCTGTCTTTTTCTCGCCCAAGGACCAGGAAATTGGATGATGAGTTGGAGCAAAACGCTCATGCACCGTTTAATATCGTGATGCAGGAGAAATTTCGCTCCGGCAGGTGACTAAGATAACGGGTAAGTCAACTGGTAGATAAGCAGCATGTCAAGCAGGCAGAAGAGCCGTTGAGGCCGAAGACAATATGCAGACGGAACCGCAAAGCATCAGTTGACATGTCCTCTTAGGAATGGCACAGTGCAGGCGTAAATTACATTCACATCAATCGAACAAGCATGCTGCATTCACTTGCCAAAGTCAAGAGGTCTTCCATCTCCAAGCATCAAATTTAACCGGAATTCGCACGCATTCTCGGCGGTAGGCCCGCCTGTAATATTTGTCGCAAACGAACACCAACGTCTACTGAGCCCATTCCCATCAAAACAACGTAGCTAGAGGAAAAGATGCCGGATACAGACAAGCTCAGGAATGAAACATCATCTACAGGCTTCTTGCTCTTCTGACTCGATCAGGCATTCACTGAAACCTTCATGGATCCCAGTGTGTGCATAACTAGCAGGACCCCTCAATCGAATCAGAGCACGGATTGCTGCGGACAAAGTTGATAAGCGCGGGTGATGGGATCTGGTCTGACGCCAACTGACTGGTTCTACGCAGTCATTGGTTTCTTTTGGTAGAGCTGGGAGAGTGGGTCGAGGTGGTAAGGGGGGTAACTGGCCCCCTTTGAGGGTACCTGCAGCTGCAAGTTATTGGTTTGGGGTCTCAACTCCAGAAGTCTGATCTGCACCCAGGAGTGATTTAACTATGGTGGGTTTAACTTTTACGGTTATGCGCCAGAACTGATGTCCCTGCAAGCTGCACGGTGGAAAGTGTTCGAGGACTATCTAAGCTTGTCACTAGCCCATGATGCTTTTGGTGCGGAGGGCATCATCCCTCTCACCTGTAGTGACTCCAGTCAAAAAGGTAGGATGCGAAGGTGGAGAGATGATGGAGAATCTGATAGATGGCTCAATCGTTGTACCAGCTGCGCTGACACTGTTCCACCTTTGAATCCGAATCTGATGTGTGGAGGGCCCATAAAATTAAATTCCTTAACTAGACCCTTATTATTATGTCAGCCGTGGCGCTTCTATTCCCCATCAATACGGAGCATAGGCCCAAGGAAGCAGTCTTTCCGCAGATGAAGGCCCAGCATATCTTGGGTCATCCTGATCAAATACTAGCATATGGCTTTAAACGCTAGACGTAGGTTAAAGTGGTGGTCATGAACAATGGACATGTAGGTGTTGTGGGTCAGGGAGCGGAGGGACCTCGGGAGCTACCTCGTACTCTGATCTGCCTGACAAAGCCTCCAAGGCGTCGATTGCAACCTTGTGGAGGATTTCGCTCGCTCAGATGTCTGCTGTTACTATGCACGACTGCCAGCCCTATTTAACCTCAACAGTGGTGAATGCACGGAATCTCTGAGCAACGTACCCTGAAGTTGAGCAGTTACATCCGACTGTTATGAGCCCGAAGCGCTCAGCTCACCTGCAGCTGCATCTTGATATAGCCACCGACAGGGATACGACAAAAGGCTCTCAAGCAGGATCAGGCGTCAGAGACCATTTTGCTCCTTTTAACGGGGAGCGTACGACTTCAGATACCAGACAGCCGCTGTCTTTGATGCGATCAAACACCGCTCTTACACCCGCCAAGCACGTCGTCGCCTGAGCGCCGTTTCATCACCGTCAGGCACTTTGGCCCCAATGGAAAGAGGCGGGCGACCTCATGAAGTGCTTCATCTACCCAGACGTAATCCGACGCCATTGCAATCTCCATTGAGCAATACACTCATACCACGCGACTTCCTCAGCCAGCGCTCAGGGGCGCAAGACTTAGACATACCGGGAGCAGATACTACACCTAATAATCTGCCTCCTGGTCTCCCATCGACAGCGTCACCGGATGCCGGTCATTTCTCCCTCACTTTCCCCTTCGCGACCATGCCTTCGATAGCCAATCCACATTCACCCCGACCTCTTCATCACAAGGAGAACGGCGATCAGCTTCCGCAGGGACAACGAGAGCCCAATGCCAATAGCAGGAAGAGCGGATCTGCGAAGAAGGAGGGGTCTAAAAGAACACCAACTGAGGATTGTACCACTTTGAGGAAGGTCTCCAGCCCAGGCGTGCCCTGCAATGCTGTCAACCAACCTCACCCCTCTCCACCCGCTTCGCCCAGATCGACGAATTCCATGGAAAAGGAAGACCATAAGATCGACAGAGTGTCTCTTCCCAGAAACTCGTCGATAGAATCAGCACATTCTTCGACTTCTTCCTCAGCTGAGCACTCGCACAAATCCTCCAATGACACTACTCATACAGAATCCCCAGAGATTCAACATCTTATTTCCGCCGCAGGCTCCGCTGAGAACCTGATCTCACACCTTCTGAAAGACAAGCAGCACGCAGCGTCGCAAAACGCCCAATTGTGGAAATTGGTTGACAAGCAACGCTCATTGCTGATGGGGCTAAATCAGGACCTCGAACGTGCCATAAGAGATAAAGAAAAATATCGCAAGAAGTTGAAGGATTTACAGACGCAGGCTGCTGCGCCGCATTCGTCCGGACTGACTACACCAGAGCAGTCCCAAAATGTAGGTGGCAAGGTAAAAACTGGACAACAGGCTCCCACGAAGGAAGATAATACTTCACTAGCTCAGGCTCCAGTCTGCACTCCAAAGGACAGGGCCATCAACAGCCTCAACAGCTCTCCTTTAGATCTTACCATGATGCCATCACCACTTCACCTCCTTCAAGGTCAACAGAAGCTTCAAGTCACTGAGGCGATGGGAAAAAGTGAAGTCAAAGACAAGCAGCAAATGCCCACATTGGCCTCAATTCAAGTTTCGAACAAAGCCTCAGTCGCGCCCAATGACTATCAGTCATCGAGTGAAAGTCATCATCAACCAGTACAGGCGAGCTTTTTGAAGTCCCCGTCACCCACACAAGCACAGAGTACAAAACAAAATACGGACCCTACTTCAACCTCCATGGGTGCGAGCCCTGCGACAGAAAGAGCAGAAAAGAATCTTCATCCCACGAGGAAACCCCCACCGGCTCCACTGAATCTCAATCAAGCTAAGCCAAAGAACCATCTCCTGCAGGACTTTGCGTCTATTGATCATTTACATTCCGATCATGAGCCGTCACAGCACATACAAGAAGTTCCCCTTTCTCAGAGAGGGCGCCGCAAGACTAGAGAAGAGGATGACCGCGATCGTGAGATGGCAGCACAACAAGAAGAAGCTGCCCGGAGCCGCTCAAGTAAATCCAGTAAATCAGGGAAGAAAAAATCCAAGCAAGAATCGAACACTGAAGCACAAACGACAGTGGCTCCTGTTATACCGCCCAGTGTAACATCGCCGACTCCAAGGCAAGTTGCCATCCCACCTCCATCTGAGGCTGCACTCAATGGTCCATCCCTTCCAAGTTCCATCGCTGCGGTTCTATCACCGAATTCGCTCGGCGCTGCGCCGACTGCACCTGTTGTCGAACGTACACTCACTGTTCCTCCGATGAGCCCTGGCTTGCCCGTCAGCCCTCGACCGATCGACAGGCCGCCTGGGTCACCAATGCCTCGATTGCCTAGGGAGGGATCTGGTATCCCGTTATCTCCACCCCTGTCTCCAAGAGGTGCAGCGCCCATCCTCCCACTCTCTCCTCGATTTCCGGGATCCGCTATTCCACCGTCGGCTGCTCCCGTTGCAATTTCATCTCCGCCCCCTTCTCAGGAATCATTTTCCCAACCGAGCTCACCGAGGATTCAAGAACTGCCCCGTCCGACCGTGAACACAAGTGCTGCCAACGATAGAGTTGAAAGTAGAGAATCTCCTGTCAGCTCGTTCCATGGCGTACACATCGACCGAAGCTTGATGGATCCTGCTTTTCCAAAGCTGCTGTTGCCTCCAAGAGCGCTCTCGTCTATCATAGTAAGGGTTTCTTCGTCTCGGCTGCGCCCCAAAAGGCAAAGTTACCTTGTTCTCAAGTCGAACGATGAAGATCCTGTCTTCACTTTGTCCATCTTCTCGCGTTCGGAAGGCCGAGAGTTGTGGCGTGTGGAAAAGGTCATAATGGCTTTGCCACAACTGGATTCGCAGATGAAAAGTGTGTCGAAGTTCGCTACAAAATTGCCAGAACGAAAGCTCTTCAGTGGGCACTCTCCTGCGATAATCGATGCTCGTAGAACTGCGCTCAACCATTACATTGAAGAACTACTAGAGGCGGCAGTTGATGAACGATCCGCCCTTGTTGTCTGCCAGTTCTTGTCCAACGATGTTATTGAGGCCCGTGACGATGAGACCAGTCTTCTCACTCCATCGCAGCGCAATAAGCCGGTACTAGCTTTGGGAGCAGAAGGACGACCTGTGAAGGAAGGCTACCTCACCAAGCGGGGAAAGAACTTTGGCGGATGGAAGGTCAGATATTTCATACTCCATGGTGCTGAATTGAAATACTTTGAAGCACCAGGAGGAACTCATCTTGGTACCATCAAACTGCAAAATGCTCAGATCGGAAAGCAGACTCAATCGCCATCACCATCGCGGACAGACGATGACGTTGAAAATCAATATAGACACGCATTCCTGGTCCTCGAACCAAAGCGAAAAGACTCGTCAAGTTTGGTCAGGCATGTTCTATGTGCTGAGAGTGACGAAGAGAGGGATGAGTGGGTACTGGTTCTGATGCAGCATTGCGACAACCAGTCAGACGACGAAAAGAATAAGCAGCCAGTCTCGAGGCGTGCTGAGGACGGCAAGAATCACATCACAGGCTTTGAAGCCAAGGTCAAGCAGTATTCCGAAATTCAAAATGCAGCACCCCATGACGCCCAGACAACCGTACGGCCTACCACGGATGAACTTAAAGTAATAGGCTATGAGCAAGTGACTGCTGGCACGGCACCAACCATCGGTGTTCAGCACACCAAGCGTCGCCAAGAAACAACTCCCTCTCCTGCCAGCGGCTCCTCTGCCCCAAGTGTCGAAACCAGTTCTGCTCACGATCAGCAGGCGGCTTCCCAGTCTTCGAAATCTATCTCCGGACCAACCAACGGCGGTGTCATCCAAGATGCAGGATCATGGGGCAACAAACCTCCACCACAAACCAATGTTAAAGACAAAAAGCGCAGCATGTGGGGTTTCCGCCAGCGTGGTGGATCAGACAGCGTGCAGACTATCCAGCCACTTCCGAATTGTGGAGCGTTCAATCTTTCGCAAACCCAGTACGGACCTATCCGAGCAGTGTTTGGCCTGCCTCTGACAGAAGCTGTTGAGTTGTGTCCGCCTCGAGGAGTGAATGTGACCCTGCCTGCGGTGGTATACAGGTGCATAGAATATCTTCAGGCCAAGGATGCTGCAAGTGAGGAAGGGATTTTCCGGCTTAGTGGCTCCAACATCGTCATCAAGGCCCTCCGCGAGCGCTTCAATACCGAAGGAGACGTCAATTTCATTGCAGACGACCAGTATTACGACGTCCACGCTGTGGCCTCTCTATTCAAGTCATACCTACGAGAGCTACCCACCACTGTTCTCACCAAAGAACTGCACCTAGATTTCTTGCATGTTTTAGAGCTCGACGAGAAAAGCAAGAAGATTGCTGCGTTCAATGTTCTGGTTCACAGACTGCCTCAGGTTAATCTCGCATTGCTAAGAGCACTGTCTCAATATCTCATTCAGGTTGTTAACAATGCCGACAAGAACAAGATGAATGTCCGAAATATGGGTATCGTGTTCTCACCGACGCTCAACATTCCTGCTCCTGTTTTTTCCATGTTCCTGACAGACTTCGAGGCTATCTTTGGCAGCGAGCCTGCAGAAAGGGCGCCGGCACCTGCGCCAGAGCAAACCAAGACCATAGAGTTCTTAGTCCCGAATCAGCTGACCCCCGAGGACATCCGTTCGCCTCGCCATCAGATATTCACAGACCTGCCAACTCCTGCTTACAATCAGACTACATTTTCAGAAGGACCGCCTCCTGCTCAGTTCCCGATGCAGCAGCCCTCAATGAACTCGAATCCCCCCAACGCCAGCGTTGCACAGAATACTGGGTTTATTCCAATGCAACCCTCGTACGAGACGAAAACATATGTTCCTGATCCACAAGCGCTCACGCAGCCTCAACAGCGATATTCAATGGTACCTCCACTTGCTCAGCGAGCTGAGTACGGGTCGATGAATATGATGCTGGCTCCATCCAATGCTGCCACGCTGAAGGCTAAGAGACGAGAAAGCTCGATGCTGTTCATGGGCATGGGTCACCGGAAAAGCTCAGTTCCGAAACTGAGAGACGATTCTGGTATGTCATCTTTACCCTAATATTTATTTCACGTCCCCACTGACTGCTATTAGCAACTGGACTCGTGCCTAACAACAACTTTGAATAACATTTGCAACTTGAAGATGACTGAATTTCCTCTTTCGTCTTACCGACACATCTACTTCCACCATGTATTCCTTCATACAAGACACTGTGAAGAACGAGGCTGGTACGCTCAGTCACACGTGCCTACGCTCAAGCTTCATCAACTCTGGGGCCAGGTCGGGCGGGACCCGAGGAAGCCTTATCACCTTGCGCGCTGCTTTTCGAATCGATCGCTCAATACCCCTCTGTTTTCACCTCGATATTATGCAAGGAGTTTTGAACCCGCCCTGAGGGATTGTGTCAGGGTCTTTTGGCACGTGATAGATGAGTGCCAGATCACCACAGCAGAGGCTAGAAGGCGTGCTATGAAAAAATTGAAGGAACGGTGGAAGCAGAATCTCATGTTGGGAAGATGAGCTGTGTGAATTGATCACGACACTGTGGCATCTATCAGCAGCTTCTTGCATACATTGGAGTATCAAGGCAACAGTCAAGATATAGACTTATCCACCCAAGCCTAAAGTGTCACATATAGCATTCGTGATCCAGACAAGAATGCGTACAACCTAGCAGATATCAAGTGTCCCTGTAGAGCCTCTAATTACCGGGAATATGACTTTGGGGTCCAAAGGTCCAAAAATGCTTCGGCTAACTACTAAGTTAGCTTAGTAGTCCGACTCCACCACCACCACCACCACCTCCACCCTCCACCTCCAACTACACGCCGCAGGAAACCCTGCGCGCGTTTCCTCTATTGCACCAATTTCCCGCTTGTGTCCACTGCATCAGAAGTCAGATTGCAGAACCTTCAACCCTACACTCACTTTGGCTTTGGGGTTCATAACAGCAGCGATTTACTGAGCTGTCGGTCATCGTCCACCCTCACACACTTAACCCTGCATACAGGGTAAAATCGTCAATGAGCTGGCAGCATCTAATCTTAACATATGTCCACCAACACGCCCACTTTCTGGAAGCCGAGACAAGAATCTGCCTCCCGATGGTAGACCACTGCGTTACATCCTAGAAACTATCACTCCATCACCAATATGCTGCATCGCACTCCGATTAGCGACTCCAAAGACGTTATCGGTGTGATACCTGCAAATCACGTTCGCAAAATCAGTCGATCCGATGCTAATCCTATCAATAAGCCTAGGACGCATCACGCTCCTTCAACTACCGAAATGACTTTCGAAGATCAGAGTAACGTTACCTCAACGACACAAAAGCTGAGTGTCAGAATCAGAGCTGCATGCTACGCGCAAGATAATGGTGGCTCGAAAACATTGGAGAGGGATGTTGTGCGTCTCAAATCTAGCGGAGGCAGGATGAGTTGCCAAAGACACAAGAAGGGACTTGAAGATCTACCCCTCGAGATTCAGGGCCTCATATTAGACTATTTGTTTGGCGACATACACTCGGTGACCTCTGCGGCAACCTCTTTGCAATCTGGCGTCAACCGTCTATCATCAGCAATGAGACATCCGAGACGGAAAGCATTGACAGACGTGGCACTTGTATCACCCACATGGCGTGAACTGGTGCAGGAAAGGATTTACCGACATAGTAAGTTCCACTGACAAGACCTAGCAGACCCGTGAAATAACCGCCTCGCCAGTCAAGATCAAAGGAAATCGCACTGGTCTAGCAGAGTCCACGGAATGGTTCTCCGAGAATTTTCAGCTGACAAAACATGTTCGTCATATTGAGTTCTGGGTGCCTGTATGGGCAGACAAACCCCCTGATTATGAGAAAAGCCGAATTATGGATGCTTCCATCGGCGCTGCACCAACGCTGTCTCTCACCTGGCAACATGATCATGACCCTAGCCTATCAAATTCCGCTGCTCTAGACATCTACGACCAATCCAGCCAACTGATATGTCATACGGCTGATGACCAATATCCTTTTACCTACTCATTCAGCAATGGTTCGACTTCGGCAACTCTCTCTGAGATCTTCTCGCACATTGCCTGCTTTTTCTCGCAAGCACGGATCTTCACCTTGGAGGGAGGCCATTGCAAGAAATCGAACATGATCCGTCAATTTCCCGCAGCTTTGTTTCCAACTCCAGGGCGCAGACTGGATCTGCTGCCAAATATCAGGACGTTCTCTATGAGAGGTGCTTGGAACATCATGCGGGAGTATGATCATTGGAAGGTGATTGAGATGGCTTTACCTGGACTTCACGAGTGGCATTGCAGCTATGCCAAACCCAGAGCTGAAGCCTACAGTACGATCAATCTGATCTTAAGCCAACTACCGACCAAACTCAGGCATGTGAATATCAGTCTTGATGGCTTCTACTGCAAGGACGGTGTAGAGGGAAATGCAACCCTGGGTTCTTCTCCCCAAACCAAGTCTGCAACCCACCACCTATGTGAGAGACTAGGCAGAATCGCACCCCAATTGGAAAGCCTGAACTTCACAGGTAGGATCTGCGACTGCTTCTTCCGCACTGCAACGGAAGTTGCTCTCACGAGAAAAGAAGCAAGCCAGCTACGTGCTGTGGATATCGTGGTCAAATCCTGCTGTCGCCCTGTCCTCGTCAAGAAGAAGCAAAATCCTAGCGCTGAAGAGGACAAAGAAGGGCCACTCATCGATACCGAAGACGAGGCCGATGACAACGAAGAAGGTACAAAAGAAGACGATGACATAGCAGTCGTTCCGGCAGTATCTCCCACTATCTCCTCTTCTACCAACAAGAACGTCCTCACTCCTCCAACCGCCGAAACACCCACCTCATCACTCAATCCCACCCCCACCCCAAGCCCTCAAAACCAACACCTCTACATCTCCACCATAACCGGGTCAATCACCCATCTCCCCTTCATCCTCTCCTTCGAACGCCTCATCCTCTCCGCCGTCAAATCCCTAGACCTCTCCTCCTTCCCATCTTTATCCCGTATCCGCATCCGCTTCATCGATCTCGATTCTGCTTGTCCGCTGCTGAATCCGTATTTCATGTTCGATGATGGGTCGTCGTCATCATCTTCTGGTGGGGGAGGAGGGAGGTGTAGTGGAGTGTGGAACGAGGAGATCTTGGAGGCGTTGAGGTTGAGCCGGCCGGGGACGAGGTGGTTGGAGGATCTGGGCGAGATTGGGGATGGGGATGTGGATGGGGACGGAGAGGGGGAGGAGGAGATCCGTGCTGAGAAGGAAAGCGGCTCGAGGCGCCAGCTTGGTGGAGGTGGAGGTGCGGGTGCCGTTGCCGTTGCCGTTGGAGTTGGCGTGATCAGAAAGAAACCCAGAGCAATCAGATCGAGCGCTTACCGCGTCTTGGCCGCGGATGCAAGATGAATGGGTCGCTCTCTATGGTCTACCTCTCTCTTTCTTTGCCATCCGTGCCTTGGTCAAATTGGGAAATATAGAACAGTTAAGACGATTGTTTATCTTCTTGGGCCGTTGAAGAGCCAGCGGGGACACGAAGTCCTTGCTTGCTTGTTTGCTTGTTTGGCGACTCCGTCAGGCCACCTTTGCTAGGCACTGGCAGTTCCAATGCAAGGCTGGGCTTGACCCAACATGTTGCTAAAGAGCAATGGACAGTGAAGGATGATTGGACGGCGATAGAGTCGGCGGAGACGATCCCCTGGAATAGGAAAGACTCATGAACAGGCTCGCAGACTGCTCTGACGGCGGATATGACACCCTGTGTACTGATATTTACCAAATCTGAAATGCATACAGAGGCCGTCCGGAGGTCATGCAGATTAGAAGCACCAACACTGCTACCTACACAGCCACAGCAAACAATGAAGCGATCTAGTAGCATGCGAAGCAATATATGTTCTTGGACGAACAGACAAGAAGCACAGAGACGCTTGTGTGATACTCCTCCAGATAGGAATCCACGGAACAGCATGGGGCGGCATAGTAGGGATTAACCAGCAATGCCTCTGACTAGGTGAGAAAACTATATTATTTCAGACGCTATTTTCTTCAAATGACGCTCAAATTATGGCTAAATTGTGGTCATTTGAACCTCCTGACCATGCTTAAAATAATACAACGTCTGCTAAAGGGTTAAGGACCGATGCGACCAATACCACGTCATTTTCAGAGCCCTTCTCCTGCTAAGTTAAGTGCCCCCCCCCCCAAAAAGGCTTCTGGGCAGGGCTAAACATCAACACCCTCTCACCCTCTCACTCTCACTGCATCTCTCACCTTTCCCTGCACGACTGATTCTGTTCACACTTCCGCTACTATTTTTGGACGATCGGAATCTTGGCGGCAGCCAGACCCAGGCGGCGATATCTGTGCCATCAATCCGATGAAAAGCTTCAAATGAGGAGCTCCCAAAAAGCCATCCGGAACTGACCCTGAAGTAGTATCCACCAAAAGTGATGCATGATAGCGTGATGTCTCCGGTAAGAGAGAGTGTGTGTGTGGAAGAAGCACTCGTTCGCGGTTTGAATTCTCTTTCACCGAGCACAAACCAACGAAGGAGCTCGATCACGCAATTTAGCGTCACGATTGCTGTATGCCAGCGGTGAGATGACTGCGTAGCACTGCCATATCGCTCTGACTTGTATTTATTTGGTCGGTTGTGCTTGTTCAAAGAGTCTACAGATCTCTAAAACCATCTGACCAATCTAACATATCTAGCCAGTAGCAAGAGACGTGGAGGATATTATCCATCGGGACAGAATGTCCGCGGCTGTATTGACTACCAATCAAGACCTGTCAAAGAGAGGGATCTCTACCTACGATGATCGTGATACCTTTCTCTCACGCCGAATAATCGCATCGCCGTATCTCGAAGAAAGTCATCTCCTCGATTTGACCACATTGGATGATCAGAGTCGTCTGCTAGCATTGGCCTTGAGTGATCTTACAACAGCGACAAGGGATTATGCTATCGCTGCATATGAAAAGGCAATTGACCTGGAAGGTCTCATGTCATCATTGAGAACGTTGGTGATAGCCGAAGGGTCCAGATGGACAGAGCAAAGCTTCTACGTGGTTGAATTTCGGTCCACACTTAAAGCAGGAATCGATCGGGATCTTCTTTTCACGCTCGACCAGAAATCTCACGAGGAGGCGACCCAAAGCGGAGGACTGCTGAAGTACTGGTATGGAGAGCCGGATGCTGAGCGAAGGAATCTAGCAACCTGTAGAATGATCATGATCCATCCGCTCTCGAATAACGTGCTGACCTGACCCAGGCTTCTGGAGGAACAAAGACGACGCCATCAAAGGTGGATCGGGGCCCTGGCACAAGAAGGCGCGAGCCATAGTACCGCAAATATATCAGCATATCAAGGTCACCGGTCTTTTGCTGACGATCAAAGATGACGTGTTGGGGTGGACTCTCGAGACCGCTGTCTGAAGCGAGGCGAGCTGGTGTCTGGCACCGACGACTTGCATCTGATCAGGGTCTTCGAGCCAGCGATGTGGGCCGAGGGGGTGGCTGCTGTTGCGGCGTCGAGCCAGGCAATCTGGCGGTCTTCCTTACTCGGGAAGCTGTGCCCTTCTTTTTCAAAAATAGATCGCATCCAGGCTCAAATAGACTAGCCTAGAGATTGATAGATCCGTCATTTCGAAGACAGTGTATCGTTTCTTCTTTTGGCCGTCCCAGCGCCTGCCACATTGCTAGGTAGACTCTCCAGCATGCATAGCTATTCGTCTGCCATGGCTTGGCTTCATAGCTCGCCAACGGCCCGCATTCTGCTAACTGGTTCGTATCAGATGCGGCCGAGTGAAGAATACTACGTAGGCGGTGACTAATACTGTACGGATTAGTTAGAGGGGACAATAGACTATGGACAGCGGTGCCATGACCCTCAACCCTCCATCATCACAATTTCTAACTCTCAATCCCCCCACAACCATACTTGTATCGCACCTCGGCTCAGCACTGGGAGTGGTGATCATGTAGCGAGTCTCTTCTCATGCATTATTCTCTAGTGAATGGCTTTAGTGTTTGGGAAGGTGACCTGGGCGATCAGCTTGGTGAAAGGCTCTATGGATGGAATAACTGAGCTTTATGTGATGGACTTCCGGTGGTGGTCCACAGGTAAGATATTCTGGAAGGTATCCTTACTTGACTGAGGTTTGACAAGGGGACCTTACTATCCCATCCTTTGATGTGCGCGATCAATCACATAGCAGAAAAATCGTGGGATGCTGCCACAGGCCATAAGTTGTTGGATGACTATCAAAGCCTAGAATCACTGATTCTATACTTGATGAACGATGTCTATCAGTACTGGTGTTTCGAGGGAATCTCTCACAATTGATCGCTTTCTGCTCTAATCCGTCCCTAGACTGCCTTTCCGTTCTTCTACATCGCCGATAGGGGAACCTCTTATCATCAAGTCATTGAAGATATCGCGGGTCATATATTACCTTGAAATCACACCACATGGGAAGTTTAATTAGCAGCCTTTTCGAACACTGCATCATCCAGTGTCTGGTTCCACACGCTAATCTTTGATCTTTGCGGTCTCCTTCTCGCTGACCGACAGCCGTTCGACAACCATCTGCGTCAGTTGTGCTACGGTCGTTCCATTCTCCAGGAGGGTCTGAAACGGCAAATCGATATTGAGAGTATGGAACAGCAACATGCGGAACTCGGCTGCTAGCATTGAGTCCATACCAAATTCACTTAGGCCTGTCTGCGCCCCTAACTGCTCCGGTTGCAGTAAAAGAAGGTGACGAAGCCTGTGCCCTAAGACTTCTTGTACGGCATCTGACAGCGCCTCTAACGGTGCAGTCCCCTCCTGATGGTCTCGTGCAGCTAGCGCATCAGTAATAGATCTGGGTATTGGGCTGTGGCCGTTACCCCTCTTACCAGCGGGATTGGCCGCCACACTGCTAAGGGCATTCGCAAGAATGCCGCAGCGTGGATCATATAACATGTGATTATCCATCTCGAAGCCTTGTTTCCACAGTTGCTGGAGACCTTGGGACTCCAGGCCGGTAAGGATATGGCCCTCGATGTAGTAGTCTCTCCGCATTGTAGCTCGGTCTTGTTCTGATTCGCTAGGGTCATGTCGATAATACGAAGGAGCTCTTGTTCGGTCAAGGGACGCAGGCCTTTGCGAAGCAACAGAGCCTCGATCTCAGGATGCTCGTGTAAGTATCCTACTTCACTCACCATGCCAATGCCCAATGCTGTGGCCTTGAGCCCAAGACTTCGTCTGTAGCGGGCAAAGGCGTCCTGAAAAGCGTTGGCTGCAAAGTAATTGCTTTCTGTCGCAGTCGCTGCCGTCCCCGAAACAGAGCTCGTCATAAGGAAGAAATCAAGCGAAGACTCCCGCGTACTAAGCGCGTTGTGCAAGTGCCAAGTGCCCCAGACTTTGGGACGAATGCTCGCGTGCCAGCTTTCCCCAGACATTGGAGCGAATAGCGCTTCCTGTATATAATATTAGCATACGTTCTTGAGGTCTCATTATTATGAACGCTCACATCTAGGCCCAGGGCCGCATGAATCACTCCGCCGACAGGTTCCTGAATTCGGGCGACAGCATTGTCAACGTCAGTCTTCTGACAAACATCGCCCTTAATAACCGTCACTTCCCCTCCTGCCTGCTCCAAATCTTCAACGAGTTCCATCGCCTCAGGTCTTTCTCACACCCGAGCGGCTGAGGAAATAAAACTTGCGAGCACCGAGCTCAAGCATCCACTTCGACAAACTCCTACCGATGCCCCCTAGACAGCCAACCATAAGATAGGCTTTTTTCAGGATCGAATTGGTACTGGTACTTCAGACTGAGCACCTGAACCAGCACCTATTAGAAGCATGAAGCGGTGCTTATGTAATGCTACATACCGGTATCTGGCACTCTAGGTTCTCAAGAGATATCGCGACTTTCCCAATATGGTTGCTTTGTTGTAAGTATCGATATGCTTCCGTCACCTTGGACACATCAAACAGTTTGAGCGGAGCCGAAGGAGTGATTTTTCCTTCGCGCAGAAGATTCAAACTTTCTTGCAACAGCCTGAAGATAGTCAGTGACAATTTGTTCTCTCTCTGCTATCCGGTCTTACCTCTGAAACTTTCGGTGGTAAACTTCGTTTGTCGAATAGTACAGTGAGTTTAAATCAAAAGCGCTGAAAGTAACACAGTCCCTGAAATTTTCCATATCCAAATGACCGAACTCAAGAGCATCTTGCTTCCCTACTACCACAAATCTGCCGAACTCTGCGCAGACTTTCCAACTATTGTGAAGAAGCGGTCCGGTCAAGCTGTTGAAAACGACATCGACGCCTCGGCCAGCTGTTCTATCCAGAAGATCATCAAGGAAGGATGATTGATTTGAGTCGAAGATATGATCCTTCTTTAGCCCTAATTGGTTAACCAAGAAATCTCTCTTCGAGTCCGATCCGACCGTAGCAAAGGTTTCAGCGCTGAGATATTTCGCCACTTGGATCGCCGCGATACCAGAGCCACTAGCCGCAGAATGAACGAGAACAGTCTCTCTCTCCTGCAATGCTGCTCTGTCGCGGAGTCCGTATAGTGCCGATGAGTAAACCTGGGGTACGGTTGATAGAGTGCTCAAGTCTTCATCTTCAAGTAGCTTACAGCACGCCCACTCCGGGACTTTTTCGAAGGTGCTGAAGTTGTTTGAAGCCATTACGACAACACTATCTCCCTCCGCAAACTCGGAGGTAGATGACCCGACTCCCATTACGACACCAGTAAATTCCAACGCGCAGGTAGAGTTGTTAGTATCAATTGTTCCAGTAAGAGCATGAATGTCCTGAACATTCGTTAGCCACTTGAGAAGTTCCAAGGTCGAGCCCTTTTTACCTTCTCGTTCAAGCCCACGCATTTCACTTGAATCTCAAGAAATCCAGGCTCCAGATTGGGCGTCCCTTTTGCCTGCTCCACGAAATGGAGGGTGTCCAGCTGACCCGGTGCTCTAAGTGACAAGCGGCAAGTGCCGGTTTGACCCAACGGCGTAACGACTGTCTCCAACTTTTCCTTCTTATTGAATGACTCATTCAAGAATCTCTCTGGTAAGACTCTGCTACAGAAAAGGATCCCTTTGTGCTGCAGATATTCGACATCAGAGTGCGACTCCTGCAATATTTCACGCAAAACGAGTCCAATATTGACACAACTAGCTTGCAAGTCAGATTCCGGGTCCTGAATATCGAGATCGAGCACGGCAAATTTAAGATTAGGTTGTTCAAGGCTGAGTGCTCTAGCGAGCCCTAACACGAGAGACCTGAAAGGATCTCGCGCTTTCAATGTCCCCCCTCCTGTAATCCAGAGAAGATTCGCTGCGTTGTTGGTAATGCACTTGACTCGGGTAAGATCGTCTGCACTTATCTGGGACAACAGCGGACGGTTGAACTCGACTGTCGAAATCACTGTCGATTTCTGCGGGATCTGATGAGTGTCTAGTTTATCAAACGAAATTCGTTGTACTCTGACGGCTCCGTTGAAGGCTTGGCTCAAATGCATCGCCAATCTGCTGTTGAGAGAAGCTTCATCACCGCGTTCAACCTGCAATATACTGTGAACGATTTTTCCGAAGAGACAATGAGCATGCACATACAATAATGATGTCAGTCATAGTAATTGCAGCTGATTCATTAGGAGACAGAGCTCGAGCAACGACAGTGGCGCATCCAGATCCATTTGATGGCGATGAAACGGTACGGAACGGGTCTGATGGAAGCATTGTGGCTACGTCTTCCGACCCGTTGAACACCAGGTAGCCCTCAGTTGCTAGATAAGATGATACCCAAGAAAGGATATTGGACATGTCGGCTTTCACAATTCGCTTTTAAGAGCGTCAGCCACGTATTATCATGTAAGTAGGCTGTTAGAGGGAATAGAAACCATCTTTTCTTACCTTTTTGAGAAGAACAGTGTCAAATTTGGAGGTTTCGAGCATCTTCCGGCGATTGCTATCCTCGTCTTCAATGGAATTTTGGATCTCACGTCCTTGTAAATTTCCATGCTGATCAATCAATGCTTGCGTATAGGACTTGAATTTTGACAACCCATCGAAAGTCTGGAAGCTTAGAATGCTCTTAGTTATAGCGTTGTCGCCGTCTCCGATCTCTAATATCCGCATCGACGGATACTTATGCGTCACAAGGTCAAGTCCGCCACTTAGTCGACCGACTTCAATACTCGGCAGCTGAAGTGATTCTGAGATGAAGCCTGCGAAGCTTTCGAGATATGCTGTAAATTGGGTGCTGCTAAACGTCTGCTTTGTTATGTCCGGCCTCCAGCACACCCGAAGCATTGGTTGTCGTCGATCTTCGGGGCTCGTAGACGCCAGCGCCTTAAAGCCTGGAACCAAGACGAGACGGACTTCATCCATTAGAAGTTGAGGTTGACTAGCCGAAGAAAGCATCTCAATTTGCGCATTCGTCGCTGCGATGCTCGTGTTCTCGACAACTGCACGGATAGTGCAGGGTTCTCCAGCTGGTGGAAGATTTGAAGGATACAACTGCATGTTGCCAATTGCAACAGGGGCTTGGCTTCGATAGTTCTCCAACAATCCTCGAGCTTGGGCGATGGCATCAGTCTGCAAAAGGGCATCCAGGGTGATGGGGTGGATAAGATATGACGACTGTCGCAATTTGCCCTCACGTCCACCATTCTGAAATGCAGTCGTGGATAAAGTTTGGGGGAGTTTTTGCAGCTGATTGTTCTTAATTTCCTTCAAAGACTGGAAGCAAGGTCCAAAAACGTTTCCTTCTCTGGCGAGCTTGTCATACCAGACACGGACTGGCTGAGGCCGCATCGGACAATCAGTTCTGAATCGACTTTTCCTCTTGGTAGGGGTCGGGATGATGCCAATTGTCCCTGTGGCGTGAATGAAAGACCGGTTATTGTTGAAGGAGCTAATTTCGAAGTCCCACCATTGTGAGGATGTTGTCATTGCATAACGACCTTTTACGTCAAGCCTAGTGAAGACTTCGACCCCGTCTGACTTCTCCGTGAGGTTCAGGACCTGCACGAATCTAACATGTCATAAACACACTACAGAAGGGGTAGAGTGGTCCAATGGATTCGTCTGGGCCAATGCCTCCATGGCCATGGTCAGGTATCCTGCCGCTGGGAAGACGATACTGTCACCTAGTTTGTGATCTTGTAGCCAAGGAGAGTCTTCAAGTCTTAAGACATTTCGCCATGTAGGACACTGAGGAGGGCCACCTGGCATTATTGAGCCCAAGAGATCATGGCGAGGGTATCGGCGGTTGCGCATATCGGAGCTGGCTCGAGGTTCAAAACAGGAAAGGGGGCCGTAAGCCCACCGGTACTTGGGCAAGTCAACAAGAACCTGGAACTGTTTTTCTTTTTCAAGATCAGTGGAATTAAGCTGATTAATTTTGTCGAAGTGAATCTTGAGATTGTGGAGATACAGCTGTCCAGCCATATGAAGTAACGTCGTCACAGGGTTCTTTGCTCGTGAAAGTGCAGACAAATATGACCCGGGTAAATCATTGGCCGTCAATTGGGCCCTAATTTGTTTGATGGGAAGCTCCAAGGTAGAATGGGGACCGATTTCAATGATGTGATGCGGATGACGCGAGAGGAGCCGAGTCATTGCCCCAAGGAAAAGCACGGGAGATTCCAGGTTCGTACGCCAATAACGGGCTCTATTGGTTGACTTAGCTGAGGCCTCGCCTTCCGTGACAGTCGAAACCATAGAGACCGATGAATCTGGCCGATAAGGGCTAGATCTGCTCCCGATACCAGCAGTGGACAACAGCCTTTCATACTCATCCCCAAGGAAGCTCATATGTGAGGAATTATACGCCTTATTGTCTGTTCTGAGTTTCCGAGTAAATATACCCTCCTGTTGAAGGGCTGCAAGAAACCCTTCTATAGCATTAGCGTCCCCACTAACGGTGATGCTTTGTGGAGAGTTGACGCACGCAATTCGAAGCACGTTTTCGAAGTGATGTTCGAAAAGCTTTTGAACTCCATCTTCACAACTTAGACCGACGGTTATCATTGCTCCAGGCAACTCGCTATTGGAACCAACGTAGCCTCGATAGTAAGCAATGACAATCCCCTCGTCCGCGGAGATGTGTCCAGCAGACACAGCGGCAGCTATTTCTCCAGAGGAATGTCCAATAACTGAATCTGGCATGATGTCCCAATCCGCCATAACTCCACGAGCGCAATCTGAACAGCTGTGCAGACAGGCTGCGACAGAGATGCACGATGTATCTGGCTTGTTTCTGCAGATTTCCAGAGAACATCTTCCAGCTTCCACTCTGGGCGATGTTGCAGTTCGGAAAGCTGAGCGTCCATGCGACGAATTGATTGGAGAAATTGGGAAACTCATCCAACAGCTCGCATCCCATTCTAGGCCATTGACTCCCTTTTCCGGTGGAGACGAAAGACAGAGGAAGTGGAATGCCTCTAGATCCACCTGAAAGCTGGACCAGCTTGTCGATCTGTAGGTCAACGGCAAAGGATGCCTCTCGAGCGAGTAGAAACCCGCGTGTGGAGAAGTGGGTTCTCCGACACCCCAAGGTGTAAGCGAGGTCTCCGAGTTGATTAGGCGAGATCACAAGAACAGCAAGATCTTGTATGCGATACCGAAGTGAGTCAATATTATGAGCAAAAACAGGAAGAAGGAAGGTTTTTGTTGAGGCGTCGTCTTGCAGTACTGGGACCACCTGGCTCTCTGCAAGAAGGTAAGCTCTCGCACTCTCCAGTATAACATGAGCATTAGCGCCACCATAGCCAAAGGAGTTCAAGCCAACTCGTGGGTATGTCTCTCTGAAAGCTTCGGGTTGGGTAACGATCCTGAGATTGCGAGCCTCAAGCGCTAGGCTAGGATTGACATTTTGTATACCGATTGTACCTGGCATTGTTCCTTTTTCGAGTGCCAGAGTAAGTTTAAACAGACTCGTCATGCCACTGACCGCTCCACTGTGACCGAGGTTGGTCTCGACCGACCCGGTTTTGATTGCGGCTCCGGACCGCTTACAGAACACCCTAGACAGAGCTTCTACCTCGATAGGATCGCCCACAGGCGTGCCTGTTCCATGTGGCTGTGTAAATTTTCATTAACATCACCGCATCGTATAGAAGTTGGTGGTTCGACCCACTTCGACATATTCCGTCAAATCGAAGGACAGGCCCGCCCTGGCATAGGCTTGCGAATTACAGCCTCCTGGCCATCAGCGCTGGGCACCGTAATTCCAGTCGTCTTCGCATTACTTGATGGGTCCACGTTAGCAGACGACTTGCCAGAACAAGCCAAGGTACCTAACGACAATTTAAACATACCTATTTACAGCTATCCCGCGGATGATAGAGCGGATGGGATCCCCCTCTGCAAGTGCCTTGCTCAGCTTCTTAAGATAAAGAGCGCCGACTCCCTCCGCACGACCATATCCATCAGCTGATGAATCAAATGTGTGGCATGTTGAGGTTGGAGACAGAATGCCTGCCTTGCCGGCACCGAGACGCACGTCGGGCGATTGAATCAAATTCGAGGCGGCAACAATGGCGGAATCGCATTCATTTGCACCTAGAGCGGTGCAAGCGACATTAAGTGCATAGATTGCGGACGAGCATGCTGTTCTAGGACGTAGCTTGGGCCCTTAAGGTTGAAGACGTGGCTGATGCGATTCGCAAGGATAGTGTTACCTAAACCAGTCGCGGTGTACCGGTGGAAGGCGTCTACGTCTCTACATTGCATCGTATAATAGTCGGAAACGAATTTGCCAACATATCAGCCTGTATTTGAACCGAAAAGATCCTGGAGTGATACGCCGATATTTTCAAAGCTTTCGAAATCAAGCTCCAGGAGCTTACGCTGCTGGAGGTCCATATACTTAGCCTCCACATTGTTGATACCAAAGAAGGTGTTGTCAAACAGTCGCGGGTCCTCGGTGAGAAAGTAGCCGCCCATAGAGTTGATGCTTCCGGGTCGATCCGCATCCGGATGGTACAAAGCATCAGCGTTGAAACGTGATGGGGGAGTGTCACAGTGACCGGACTTCCCTGCTAGGAGAAGGTCCCAAAGCTTCGAAGTGTCTGTCGAGCTCCCTGGAAGACGAAGCCCTACGGGTTTAATAAGCTTAGGAAGTCCAATTTCGGAAGGGGCATCTACCCATTCCTATGATAGCAATTGGCTCCTTTCCTGCTTGGGGGTATCCATTGACACCGTTGGTGCCGTTGGTGCCGTTGGTGCCGTTGATACCACTTGTGCCATTTATGCCGTTCGTGGATGGACTTGGCTGTGTTTCAGCACCCTGATGCTCGAGAATATTAGTAAATTGATCTGTCGGTCGTAGTATTGCATCATGCTAGTTGTCCTGCAACACTCCTTTGCCCTACCGAACCGCTTCTCTGCAGGTGTGTATAACACCCAGTATGTATCCCTGTATGAATACATGACTTCAGGTTGCAGAGAGCGGGCAGGTGTTCAAGTGGCGATAAAACAAGGATGCCACTGTGGGAGAGTGGTCGTTGTAAAGCGTGACTTGGCTGAGGAGCGGGAGGAAATCCCTGGCGCGCTGCATGGCCAACCAATAAATATGTCAAGGAAAATTTGGGAAACTCACTCCTCAATCTGAATTATGATTATGAATGGTGCCGCCGTATATATCATTGACCGATCCATGGGCTAGCATGGCGAAAAGCCACTGGGAGTAACAACGAACCCAAATACGAACACAGATCTCGTGGACCAATCAAATTATGTATCTGACTTATGCTGCATTCAAGCACCATTAGAGAACGGGCAAACAGCTTTTTTAAAGAAGTCCCAACAAGAGGAACCAACACATCATTCCTTCACAAACCCCGATTCACTCTGTTTCAAGATAGTGTTTGTTTCATGGGCTAATCGGAATCCAAGGCCGGTGTTCGCCTAACTACCTACTCCTACTACTACTCCTACTACTCCTCCTACTACTTCTACTACTACTCCCACTAACGTACAGAACCACTTAGCGGGCCACCCCACTTACCGGGCCAATTTCTGCACACCAACGCGCAGGCATCCTCATATTTCGAACAGCTATAGCTCCACCAATATAGCTCCAAATGGACTCGCATAAGGAGCATTTGATTCAGAATGCGTCAAATAACGTTGATCTAGGGCTATTTAGCTCAATTCGCAAGGCTGCAGAGTATTACAACGTGCCGAAATCAACAGTGGCCTATCGACGCGCTGGACGACCCTCTCGAGCCGAAACTGATCGCATTTCTCAACGCCTTTCGAAACAGGAGGAAAAAGTGCTTATTCAATGCTTCAGAGACCTACAGAGGCAGCATCTATGCCCGAATTATGCTCAAATTCGTCGAATGGTCACCAAATTGCTACAGAGCAAGGGGGATAAGATTCAATTAGGCAAGCACTGCGTGGAGCGTTTAATAGCTCGCCATCCAGAGCTTAAAACGCGGCGAAATCGACTAATGGATATTAAATGACTCATGGCCCTTGATTCTAGCGTTATTAAACGCTTTTTCGCCGAATTTGAGTAGCTTCGCAGCCAATATGCAGTTAAGCCGCAAGATATCTATAACATGAATGAAACAAGGTTTCAGATAACTAGGGCAAATAGCGTCGAAATACGTTGTTTTTGACCCTGCTATGGGTCGGCTAGTGTCAGCGGAAGACGGAGTTCTCCGACCACCGCAACTGTTCGCCACGCGCTATTGCTCAGAAACGCATACACTCACAAATGCTGCAGTTAGCATTGCAACGCTGATTTATGATCTCCTTCTAGGTGATTCTATAGCTTGCCTCTTCTATGCGTATATATAGCGGTCATCCTACTCCTTAGGAGTTGAGATAGCAAGTCAATTAATCCATTCCATCTACTTTCTCTTGCTTACTAATCTAATCTGCACTGCTTCATGGCATACTTCTAACAGCTAGTGGCTCTGGCATTAGATAATACTTAATAGGTCTCTATTATTAAGTAGATAAATACAGAAAAGGCTATTAAGCCTTATCTTATTTTTACTGGCAAGAATCCTGAGCATTATATGTTTCTAGAGCATAAGGAGCTCTCTAACGTTATATAGGCTTTTTCTCTTAAGGGATGGACTTGTTAGGATGTGACCCCAGCCTGGTACCAAGGAGGACCCTTGGTACCGATCAGAACCAATCTGGTAACTCCCGATCCGAGCAACTGCCGTTATCTTTATTTGCTTGTTCTAAGTATTTCAAACCTTTATACTTTATTAAATAAAATCTTTTCTTTAAAATTTTTCGTATATTTTTATTTTTAAAAAATGAATTTAGATATTTTTTTTTTAAGATATACATATAATTAGACCTTTGTCTATTATACGTATAGAGAGTAATTATTACCTTGTTGTTGGTATGTTTAAACTCTCCATTGCTTACATATGTTTTATGTGCAGAAAGTCTCCTAAATCTTTGCAATAATTTTTTTCTTCTTACCTTACGCTCTACATTAGAGTTATATAAAATTAAATAACCTTTACAAGAGGGCCAGCGTTCTATCTCGTGTTGAACAGAAGGCTGCCACTGTACACTTGCTTACACAGCTCTTCGCATGCGTATTGCTTGCGAACCCTATGCTTAGCTATTCAAATTAGAATCTATCTATCTTATCGAAGTCTCTCTACTGCCCGCCTGTCCCCTGGGTAGCCCTCTGACAGGACTGACGAAGAGCTAGCTATTGATTAGCTGCGGCGGATATTCGTCCTAATTACGTCAAAACAAGGCAAGCATATCATCCTAATATTTGATAGCCAAAAGAGTCATATAACTGGCGAATTTCAGTACTACTGCCTTGAACACAACATCCACCCTCTCTATTTACCCGCCTACGCTACCCACAAGCTTCAACCTCTTGACGTGGGTCCATTTTCGCCACTTTCAAGCGCGTATAGCCGTGTAGTTGAAGAATACGCTCTAACCGGCATAGTAGCACTCAATCAAAGTATTTTTATGATACTTTATATACAAGCTCGTCAGGAGGCATTTACTAAGCGAAATATTCGCGCAGGATAAAGAAGAGCTGGTATTTAGCTAGTAAATAAGCAAAAATTGCTAAAGGATTCTGAAATTTAAAATTTTGGCTATATAACGCCTAAGTATTAATCTGCGTCTATTAAAAAGGGTTCTAACCATCTTTATAATACTCTGAAGAAGCTAGATGAAATTCGAGAGCTTCAAGCGCAAATTGAGGCCAAAGTTACTCCTTGAACTCAACGTGCCATACGCAAGCTAAGTCACGCAGCTATTCAAGAGCATGCTGGCGCACAGTTGCTTCAAAATGAGCTCAACAATTTACGTAAGCAATCTCATCAACAAGAGGTCAAAAAGCGCTCAAAACGCATGATAAAAGAGAGGGTACAGCGTTCGTGGAACCTTGAGGAGGTCAGGGCTGCCAAAGAGGGCAGGGCGCCCTTTAGAGTGCAAATTACGCACCGTTCGGAGGATACGCTGCGCATCAGAATTCTCTCAGATAGGCTCGAATAGGAAGTATCGTCAGCTTTATCTTTTGGCCCAATTGAGTAATGGTAATGTGACCTATGGAGTGGTAAAGTACTGCGTAAAGTGTGTGCAAATTGGCCCGGTAAGTGGGGTGGCCCGCCAAGTGGTGGTGTACGTTACTACTCCTACTACTCCTCCTACTACTACTCCTCTTACTCCTCCTCCTCCTCCTCCTCTTACTCCTCCTCCTCCTCCTCCTCCTCCTCCTCCTCCTACTCCTACTCCTACTACTACTACTACTACTACTACTACTACTACTACTACTACTACTACTACTACTACTACTACTACTACTACTACTACTACTACTACTACTACTACTACTACTACTACTACTACTACTACTACTACTACTACTACTACTACTACTACTACTACTACTACTACTACTACTACTACTACTACTACTACTACTACTACTACTACTACTACTACTACTACTACTACTACTACTACTACTACTACTACTACTACTACTACTACTACTACTACTACTACTACTACTACCTCCTACTATTCATTTCCTACCACGTAGGCCTCTAGTCCCCGGACTAGCCACCGTATTAATAAGCTCTGCCTTGCTCTAGCTGCGTTTCAGTTCCGCCTTCTTCCTCATAGGTGTACTATAAGCCTCGAAGGGGCCAGACTCTATGTATGAATCAGAAATTTTTTACCCTGATTGTGTGCAACAGTCAGCTTGAGAAGCTCAGCTCAAGAAGCTCAGCTCAAGAAAAGCTGACTCCAGCCAGGGCATTATCAGCAGGAATAAGGGGTCCGTATCGTGAGATCAGGGCTGAAGCGGGCTTTAGGGAGGAATGAGACTTGGAGGCTAAGGGCCTCGCATTTCTGTATCGAGATTCCACTATTTGGAAGGATCACCTGGTGGCAGACCTATAAGGGGATTATATGGAACGACCAGCCAACCTGTCTAGGCTGACTTCATGTATCATCAGGGGGTGACTGTATGACGGTTGAAGCCTAAGAGGTAAATCTCCAACATCGTTACCACACATGGGTCCCTGGCCCTACTGCGGGGCGCCTGAAGTACTGTTAGTCTGGTGCTAGGAGCAGCTAGTTTGGATTACGTACATACTGCGATTGGATTGGTCATCGTAAAGCTTGATTAGTATTCCTCCGATGAGTCGTATAATCTAACTTCTTTTTGATATAGCTGCTCTGGATGGAATGCAGCCCCAGCGCCAAGGCCCCACAACGTACGAGCATAACTTGAATAGTAATCGATGCCGCCGCAGACTGGTCCCAGTGCAGCGTTAAACTTTACCGAGAAATTGATGTACAGTTTGCCATGGATTTTGATCCGCCTCGAGGGCTTTGACAAGGCACTCATGCCTTTATTAACCTCATCTGGACAGATAGTCTCAGCCGATGCGAGGAGGTCCGGTTGGCTACTTCGGCGCGACTGAATGGTGTTCTTTTAATCTACTATATAACGTATCTGAAACCCCACGCGAGTCCAAGATATTCCAAGATTCGAGACTCTTTCCGCTGACGATGCTAAGTTAGCTCAAGTGAGATCCACTTCAATTAGTCCCACGTGGTTCACCTCCACCTTCTGTTCCTCGGCCTGCAATCCTCTGTTCGATCTCGTAATTAATTGGTCCCTTTCCTTCTGCTTTGTATATCATTTCCACTCGCTCCTCTCCAAACTAGCTAATATGGTGCCGCAAGGCGGGCGCAGTTATCAGAGCTGCTATCAGCATGGACTTCAGAAGCATGTTCCAGAATCCCGAAAATCAATGGTCCAGCAATACTCAGGTCTTCTTTCCGAACGATCCGCAATTTGCCAGTTCAACCGAAAGATGGAACGCTTATGAGCGACCGACGTACAAGGCCGCAGTTCGTCCGGGGAGTGCGGAAGATGTGCAGAAGATCGTAAGTACTGCTCCCCAATAAGCATTTATGAGGTGTTCTTCATCAGCGTCTAGATTCAAAACTCTAGAGCTCATCAATCATGTTCTGCAGCGGCTGACGATAGAAAGATCAAACTCGCCGCTTCCAACGAATTCCCATTTCTTGTGACTAGTGGAAACCATGGCTACAGCGCTACCTTTGGCACATTAGACGACGGCCTTGCTATTGACATGAGAAATTTCAACTCTGTAACTATCAACGCGGCAGCTAACACCATGACCATTGGCGGAGGCACCATCTTCAATCAAATTTACGACCCTCTGTACAACGCGGGAAAAGAGATCCGTGAGTTTGCATAAACAATCTAGATATTACGCCACCGGCGATGGTGTCCTACCATTAAGGAAGACTGCTGATTTGTATGTCTGCAGAGTCCGGCGCTGTCTCTACTGTCGGAGTTCTCGGCATCACTCTAGGTGGCGGTATCGGTCGGTATCAAGGTATCCATGGTCTACTTCTTGACGCATTGCAATCGGTCCGCATGGTGACAGCCAAGGGTGACCTCATCACCGTCTCGTCAGCGTCAAACTCTGACCTCTTCTGGGGCCTGCGAGGTGCTGGCATGAATTTCGGAGCTATAACTGAGGCGACATACCGCGTGAGCGACTTGACCAATGGAGGGCAGGTCAGGAACGCAGACCTTATTTTCCCAGTGAGTGCCGCACCCGAGTTCTTCAAAGCTCTTCCAAGTTTCAAAGCGAAACAGCCGAAGGAAATGGCGTGCATTGCGGTGGTCATTTGCGACAATGCTTCTGGTGAGGTGAGTGGATCCTGATTCCTCGTACAGCCACACGCTAGTATCTCATGAGACAAAAAGGCACAAATCCTCGTCAACTTCACTTTCCCAGGCCCAGAAGATGAGTTTATGAAGTTGATTCAGCCATTCCTGGACCTCAATCCTGGCACCCAGGTCATCAACACATTACCGTGGAACGAACTGGTGACGAAATCCGGTTTTGGAATCGACGCATTGCTCGGTGTCAAGGGACAACCGCATAGCATCTTCGGCGCCAACCTGAAAAATATTGACTCGTCGAAATGGGTTGAGATATTCAACAGGATGAATAGCTTCTATGCTTCGACACCAGCCGCCCGAACTAGCACCATCGCACTCGAGGTTTTCTCGACTGAGGCCGTCGCTGCAGTACCTGATGATGCCACTGCTTACCCATGGCGCGATGCTCAGGCTTACGTGTAAGTCCAATTAGACCTATCTCTTGCTCCCCAGACCATTTTGTTTACCGTTGAATGTCATCTCTGAGTTACATTCAATGCTTTTCTGCCTTCTGACGCGCGAGATCTTGCTTTACAGCATGTTTCAGATGGGTTGGACCGATCCCAGCGCCACCGACGCTGCCACCGCCCTCGCCATCGAGCTGCGTAACATGGTGGTATCCACTTCTGGCTATAGTGGTCTCACGACATATGTCAGTTACGCACACGGCGAAGAAACCCTGGAGCAAAAGTACGGTGCCAACAAGCTGCCCCGTCTCCAAGCACTGAAGAAGAAATGGGACCCCAAAAATGTATTTGCGTACAACAATGCCATTGTCCCGTCTACGTAATAGGAGTCATCGAGTAGCTTGGACCGACAAGGAATATAGAGCACATAGATAAAGAGAAAATCTCGGAGCCAAGGCATGCGTTGGTTTTTTCGGAGCGGCAGGTGGCCATCGGACCGAGATAAGTGATATTGCCAGGAGTCACGTGGTGGAACTCTTAGTGGCAAATGCACTGAAGCAGAGCTCGGCGCCGTACGGAGTAGTGATTAAGCAGCATTTCTTCGAGTATATTCTAGAATTGCAACAACGCTGTCGTGGCTGCAAGTGGCATGAAACGAGTGAATTTCATTCTGTTCTAGAACAGCCTGCCTATTCCAGAGACTGAAAGGCGACAAGGGCGGTGTACCCTGAGAGGATATTGCCAAGCGAAAAAGGGCTGCATTGTGCATTAGACCTACATGGTCTACGTAGTACCTAGTGTCCGGAGAAATTCAGTCATGATCACGAAGGCAACTTGGTCATGGCTTGGACAAGGGGGAGTTAGAAGCGAGCAGCAGGATCACCTCCCTGCGACTTACCCCGTATCCGCGCGCAGCGTGGCCGCCACCGTAACGCTCTTTTTACATACTAGTCGGCGTCCCGATACGGGCTGGGAAGGGTACGCCCCACCCGCTGACAAGCCAACTAGCCCCCGCCCTTCCCGTCCGAACTTATCCCCTCCGTCCCTGGGTGTGCCTATTAGCGTACTTGGCGTAAAATAAGGTTTTTGAGCCGCATTTGATCGCCATAGCTTTCCGCAGCTGGTTTTTAAAATGAATTTTCAACCACCTCCAATGCTACGACCACGTCGAGATACACAAATTCCACTGAGATACAGAGATAACTCACCTCCGCAATTACTACAAAACAACAACCAGCGAAAAAGATGCAGAATTGACCCAAAAAAAGTTGATCGAAATAATGTCGATCAAGCCTTGGCAGTGATAGCACCTGCGCCAGAATGCGCAAATGAACCACCAACACTCATTTCAACAGAACTCCCTCATTTTGAGGCTAATTACGTTCAAAATCGAATTGGAGCTTCTTGATATACAGGTTTATCGGAATTGGGCTTTTTTAAGCTCTTTTTTAGCGATTTCGTGGTAGAAATTCTCTCTAAAGAGACTAATTCATACGCTGAATCGTGGGGGCGGGTGAGGGGGGGGGGGTGGGGGGCTGTGCTGTCTAAATGTTACTAGGTACCTACTATACTAGCAGAAATACATATATTTCTAGGCATAAATCTCTATTTTGGCTTATACCTATTAATAGTACGAACGGACTATTAGAAAATTCACAATCTTAGTCAATTTATAAGTCGAGATTAATTCGAACTTATTCATTATTATTTTAGCATAAATAATGCTCCTCCTGCTCTAAACGCACCCTAGTTCTATCGAATTTAATATATAGCTAACCTTATTTGAACTGCCTATCAAGATGCCTATTATCCCTTTTCTTATATCGTTATTAATAAAGCTATAGTCGTCTTTGTAGGCTATTCAAGAGATATAATTAAGCTAAAGAACAAGCCTATTAATACTGGCTACAAACTGTAGTGTATTAATGATCATGGCTATATTTAGAGCTGGCTATTTCATTCTTGAATAGAGGGCGTTAAAACGCTTAAAAAGGATAGAAAAACAAGCTAGCCGCGCCTGTACTTCGTAGGTAAAATGTATATAGAGGATTTAGCACCTATATTTGCGCTTGTTTTACGTCTTGTAGAATAACTTTTAAAACAGCTCAAATTCTGTATCTATTTAGATAATCTGTTTCTAAATCTGCTTGTTACACAGTGCCTTTTAGCTTTAGGGGTCTATTGCATAAGTATAATACGTAAAAAGATTAATAGATTTCCTTTATATCTTTAGAGCTATTTTGAGAAAAATGAGCTATTATAGGACTTTATTATAGCAGAGGTCATTAATAATAATACTCTCTGCTTTGTCTAGCAGAATAATAAGGCTGTCAGTATTATTTCGACTGCTTATAGCCTTTACAGGGCTAAGGATAAGATTTAACGTACGTAAAGATGCCTAAAAATAATATCTAAAAATTAACGAATTCTATTACTTGTTTTTAATAGTTAATTATTTAAAAAGCTTTTTATTCTAATAATTATTAATGACTATAACTATTATATAAAGGGCATAAATTAAGCTAATTAATTATATACAGGCTTTATATACTATAGAAAGCAGAATTATTAAATATAGTAGCCCTTATTTTTCTTCTTTATTAATATTGCTTATATTAATACTTATTTATTATGGAAATAAAGTAATAATGTACAGAATTATAATAGCTATAGGATCTTTATAAGCGCTTTATATAGCTAATTACTATATTTAAATAATTTAAAGAAGAAGGAGCAAAAAGAAAAGAAGAAAGAACAATCTTATTCTTAACCTATAATAGTATTTCAGCGCCACTATAAACCTATATAACTCAAACAACATAGCCGGTGCGAATGAGGAAAGCGTCATTCATCAGGCTGTTTGCGTAAACAGTCAAATAAACGCAAATTTGGAACCGATATTACAGAATTAACTACCAACAGCGCCAACGAGGATATTTTAGGAGGCTCCTTCACTCATCAAAGATGCAGTAAATGCCAGATTTGGCTCTGTATCAAAGGAGACTGCTGGCAACAGTATCACAGTGTTACAGCACGTGAACACACTAGGCACCGACAGGCCTTGGAGGCTGCACGGACCCTGTGTGAGGAGACCCTGGAACTAACCAAGCCCAAGGGGCTTGGCGAAAGGACACGCTCATGCGGAGACAACCTTGAGCAAGGTGTTCGTGAGGAGGGACTGATGAGCAACGCTCACGAGCGCTCATGAGTGAGCAGCCATGAGCACGAATCTCTTAGCCTATATAAGCACGCTCATTTCCCAGATAGTTTCATAGTCTTCGTAGTCAACTCATGTTATCAACTTACACCTAAGTTCAAGACATACTTGTATCTGTTACTGCACCCCCTGTTCTACCCAACCAACCACTTGGACCCAGCTTCCAGTTGAGACTTGTCTTAGCTAGTTGAGCCCTAACACACAGCTCAATTGAGGCCAATAGCTAGATAGAACAGTCTCAATTCGCCGAAAATAGACGTTTGTTGACGTTTTTGGACCCCTCATAATGATCGACAGCGCTAATAGGCACAAACTACACCCCTGTTCAGGGACGGAGGGGATATAAACGTGTTCTGGTTATCTGGTTGATGGTCAACCACCATCCAGTCATACTCAACCTCAATTCAACATGCGTGTCTTAACGCAACTGGTAGTTGGGAGATGAGGAAACAAAGTGTTGGATATGGCGCAAGGTGAGCCAGGATGAAAGGATCCTCAGGTAGGATTGCCCCGGTCCGCCTTAGGGGCTTGGTAGGGTAGGATTGGAGAAGATCCATTGCTAAATCCATCAGTCGATCCATCAGTGAGGTGGACAGTCCTTTGATTTCCTTTTCGAAAAAGCGGTCCCACAACAGGTCTTGTCTCCGTCTCAGTGCCTGAGGTATTGTGACCAGAGATGAGAAGAGAGGGGCGTGGGAATTCGGCTAAACCATCCCCATCTCTCTGAAGACTGTGATTCTGCGGTGAGGGCCGCCAAATCGGTCGCCCGCACCTCGGGCTATTATCTGCCAACGTTGCCAAAATCACTTGAACGGGTAGATTGTGAGATAAGTATGTAAGCGCGAGTGGAGCGAGGTATGGATAGCAGTGAGATCATAGAAGTCATATATTCAACTACAACGAAGCGATATCATCGCTACTGTACTTGAGGACGTCACGAACCCCCAGATTCATGCAAATTTCTTGCTTGTATGTATTTGAATTGTAACCTTGGAAACGTCTCCAAATCCCATATAACTATTCTCTTCGACGATTCTCAAAGCACTTCCACCAGCCCACGACGCGAGTGATTATCCCACGCTTCCGGTGATCCGCCACTGCCATTGTTTCCCGAGCCTACACTGGTGTTAAACTTCGAGCTGGTACGAGACTCATCTTCCATCTCGAAATCGTGGTGGACAGTGATCGACTTGGTGCCCTGCTCAGTGGACTTCTGGTACCCACTGCGAGATGCGTACCGATTGCTGTACGAGCTTGAGCCCGTCCCTTTTGCGGGCAGTGCCTTCTGTCGGACGTATTTGCCCCACAGCGGCTTCATGGCCGGGATAGAACCGCACACAATTGTGAGGAAGATCTCGACTCCGGCCCACACACACAGGTAGTAGGTCTCCCAGGTAAGGTCTGAACGCTCTGTTAGAGAGGCCATATGGCTGACTTTAATAAAGGCAGAGATTCCGGCAAAGGTACTCAGGCCAAGGGCGACCGTCAGGGCGACCTTTTTTTTGGTATCCATCTGGAGATACCAGATGAAGGTACAGGGAAGAAGGGCAAAGAGTACGTCAGTGAAACCGTTGTAAGTCGCAACGAAGATGTTGAAGCGCGTTTGCACCCTCGGATCCCAACACTGTGTAGTGGCTCTAAGTTGGGTTTCCCAGAGTGCCTTTGGGTTCTTGCACTGGAAGAACGTGAAGAAGGTGGCGAGGATGCCGAATATTATCGTTGTTATCATCATGAACCAGACGATCCGTTTTCGCCAGACTTCGCTGGTTGTTCCTAGAATACGAAGTATCGTCAATCCAACTGCAAGCTTTCCAAGCCCGTTCGAAACAATGGCTAGTGCCTGTGCGATGTAATTCATTCTAATAACATAGGTCGCCTGCGACGCGGAGAGGTGGACGAGATGGCGGAAGCCACCATTTAGACCAAAGATAACACAGTCAATTATATACCCCGTCCAGACTATCTGAAGCGCCATTAGCATTCATGGCTTTCCTCGCGAGAAAGATTTGTGACCAACGACACAACGTACCCAACAAGCGAACATAAGAATATCGTCGGCGCCAATGTTACGGATAGCGACGCGCGCCCACGCTCTCAAAGCAATAGAAATTGTAGTTGCCGCCCAAAACGCTATGATGTGGACCGGATGTCACGTGATATATATAGCGCTGCAACAAACGCTACTGGATTCTGCGCGTCTTCGATGAATTGCTGGTTATCAAACGGTGGCGTATTGTGCGACGTTTTGAATGCGTTTTATCACAGATTTGTTCGCGTTTCGCCTCGAATTAACATGTATTTTTAGTATTGACGTTTCGCGCTATTTCGCATGGATTGGCAGTTTGATATAGCAATTTGGTATGTATAAATAGGCTCTCCTTGCGCGGTCAATTAATATAGAACTGTCAGAAGTATGCAGCAAATAGCGTACGGAGATACTAAGCAGTATCAAGGGAGAGAGGGTTCAATTGAATTGATTGAGTTGCTCTCTCAACTCCTGAGGAGCAGGATGACCGCTATATATACGCATGGAAGAGGCAAGCTATAGAATCACCTAGAAGGAGATCATAAACCAGCGTTGCAATGCTAACTGCAATATTTATGAGTTTATGCGTTTCTGAGTAATAGCGCATGGCGAACAGTTGCGGTGGTCGGAGAACTCCGCCTTCCGCTGACAAGAACAACTTGCTATTCAGATTCTATTCTCCTAATTAGTCAGCAACGTTCGACATATGAAAATTGCGGCGGACGAGTGTCCTCTGTCCACGTCCGGCGGTAGAGGCGAGGAGGGCTGTTGATGTGCCATGATCGGCAACAATGAAGGATTTTGACTTATGAGCACTAGAGCAGAAGAAAGAGTCGCGAACGCCAGATATGATTCAATGAGGAGAGAAAATGGAGGACTTGACGACAGGATTATTAAGGATGCATGAGTTGCATTTCCCTGAGCTCCAGCCTTTTTCAGCGGGAACGTCAGATTGGCCCACCGGTAACTAGGGTTGGTGAAGCCGACTTGTGACTTGATGAGGTTTAATTGCTGTCAAATGTCGAATATGGTTAGCTCCAGCGACCGGCATAAGGTCTCATTCTGGGCACTCCTCCCAGCGGATTCTACTGTAGTAGTGGAAAAATTGGTTACACAATCCTCGTAGAACTTGAATTCTCAATAAGTTACAACTATGTACCTGGGACGGTTGAGTTGCTCATGCAGCCAAGAAGGCTCTATCAGCTGGAGCCAATCTCTCATCCTCGCTAATATCCCTGAGCGATGATCCTTGATCACCGAGTTGAGCCATGATTGATGACATGTCCTATCGCACTAGCAGAGACAAGTCAACAGCACAGATATTTAGATACCAGACAGAAAAGTACCATTCTCATTACTAGGTTGAGGATTAGTAGTAATTGTAACATAAACCAACTAAGTTCACTAGCTCATCCAATGCCATGGACCAGTTAAGTGTGTCTGAGCGGCTTAGGGGGAATCGCCCAAGGGTCGAAACACACTATGTTGTGCATCAAGATCCTTCAACGTGCGCTAAGTGTAAATTCGATCTTTTTTTGATTGGTCAGTGCCAGCCACTAGACTAGCCACATTAGGTTAATTCTCGTAACCTTGACCTTAAGTCTCTTAACCTACTAGTATAAAATAAGCCAGTTTATCATTACTACGTTAGCTGAATCGCCACCACTAATATGACCTTCAAAAGGGTTAAGGTCGAACTGTGAGCTTCTCATTGGTGGACATGATAAGTTTATATCTGCCGTGCGGCTGTCAGCTAATGATAAATTGGCTTATGCTACGCCAGAGAGGTGGATAATAATGTTCTCTTGGCACCCGCTCCGTTGACCAATCAAAGAAAGATCGAATTTACGACAGAGTGGTGGATAGCTAGCTCTTTCGATGCTAGTGTAATGTCAATAACGTAGGACTATGTAGGTAGCCGTGGCCCAATGGGTGGATCCCTCTGGGACCTTCCGGACCACCGGACCCACTTGCAGGGGGTTGCACCCCACTGTAAGCCCCGTGCGCAGCGCATGGCTCTCACCCATATGTTATGACCGCCGAGCCTTACGCACGGTATGAGGGCTAGGAGGACTCTGGTGGATTCTACGTCATTTCCTTATCCAGCAGCTTCCTTGTTTGGCAGCTGCCCTGTTTGATAGCTGCCTTGTTTGACAAGCTGTCAAGAAGGTTCTACGTTCTTCTATGGCACAAAGGCGTCTTGGTATCTAGATCTCTCTTCTCTCTAGATAGATTCTAGTTCTCTGCGCTCAATAAGTTATTCCATCCACCTCCTACTGTTCTATGGCCCTTGCACTCCCCTGGGATCCTAACACCATAACGCCCACATCAGATTCACGTTAAACGCCGTTCACTAGAGGATGCTAAAACATTCCTGTGTCATGCTCCGTCCGACATCTACGCGCTGGCTGTATATGGATATAGTAACCTCTTGCTTTGGGGCTGCATTCCGAGTCTGGATATTGCACTACCTCCTGCAGAGCAGAGCCGCGCAGCAAGAGGCACTTCTGCTCTATGCTCTCCACTTTCCCGCTCTTTCCACAGGACGTCACGTAAAAGGCAATAGGCCCTGCCCACACTCCCTCCCTACCCCTCCATCCCTTTCATCTCGCCTGTAAATGTTTCACATTCTCCTTTACCGTCTCCTCCAGCCCCGTCCAGCCCTCACCCGTCAACTTCCTGACCAACTCCTCACTCCGTGCATTATCCACCTCGCTAATATCCCTTCCCTCCCCTTCAGGATCACTCTCAAATTGCTTTTCCGGCTCAATCCTCCTCAGGATTTCCAAAATCTCTGTCTGGGAGAACGGTTTCGCGTAGCCTAGTAACCTCTCCCCCTCAACCGCGGGAAGTAGCAACGCAGCAACGTGAAGGCACGCAACGTCTTTAACATTGATGAAATGGCTTGGAGGAAGGTTACCCCAGTACCCTTTTTCCCCGGTATACAACCCTGTCACCAGGCTCGCCGTGCTTCCATCCTGGTTCTTCGGATCTAGGATCTCCCCTAACACCGTACTAGGCAAAACAAGGTTGATCTTAAAATGCGGGTTCCTCTCATCAACGAATTTCCTTATCGCACGCTCGGCTTCCACTTTACTAGCGGTGTAGGTGGTAAAATCGCGGTCGGGGGTGTATGGTGGAGGAGCCCAGGCTGCTTCGACGGCAGCATCGTTGAAGATGGTGTGGTTGATCGGGAAGACGGTATTGGGAATGGGAAGGGCGATGGCGACGGAAGAGGAGGTATAGACGACGCGTTGCACTGATGGGAAGGAGAGAGCGGCGGCGCCGGGATGACCTCGTTGGGGTCAGGGGAGAGGGAGGTTACGCCGACGGTGTGGATTATGCCGGTTACGTCTAGATTGTCGCGTTAGTTGCCGGTCAGGAAGGGTTAAAGGGTGAATTTGGTATGGGAGTGGAAAAAGCTACCTTTGAGGACCTCGGTGAAGGCTTCAGGCTTGGTGTAGTCCGAGATAGTGGTAAGTTCGAACTTGCCGCGGTCGTGACGCTTGTCGAAGAGTTCTTGCACCCAGCTGGCTTTGGCGGCATTACGCACGGTTCCTCTCACGCGGTAGCCTCGTTGGAGCAGTTGGTCAACGATGTGGCTGGCAATGAAGCCGTTGGCGCCGGTCACGAGGACAAGGGATCCTTGTGGGAGAATGAAGTCAGTGGAAGCCATTGTGGTTGTTGTGTATCCTAGAGTCGGGTTGCTGGGTGGCAGAGAGAGACTTGAAGTGAATTCATATATAATTGATGGACACTGCCCTTTCCGGATCTTCGCGGGCCAATATCGGTCGTCATTGGTCAGCATTGGGGAGCTGTCATGCTTGGCCGGTGGTGCAATCCTCTTGCTTACTAAAAGGGGAGAAGGCGTCATCAATGGTTCCGCCGTGCCGTCCGTGGTACAGTGATAGGCGTAGTTTCTGCAAACGTAATTGGCAGACCCAATACTGCGTGATAACACTACTGCTCTATCGGCTTCAAGCCTCCAGGCAGCAAATCATCTCTCACCCTGTATTTGACGATAACTATCCGAGCCTTCTCCTCTCCAAGCCTCTGTCTCGAGATTTCGTGAATTCTTTTAGACGCTTTTAGTGTCGCCTACATTTATGGACCGCGTTGTAGCCCTGCCGTACCGATACAGGGATGTGGAATGGCCTCCACCCATAAATGCAGGGGTGTCTACTCCGTAAACTGTCAATAAACATCCTATTTGAGCCAATTGAGGTTGTCTTATCTAGCATTTGATTCGAATTGAGTGGTGATATTGTATTTAGTATTCTCCTTCGATACAAAGTGTCATTCGGCATCTTGAGCGGTCATAATTGCTTTCTAACTTATTCAAAGTGCGTCCGACCATCAAAGCGTTATTAAAAACCATTGTTTCTTAGTTCGAATCACGATCCCCTCAACACGGTACGCAATTAGCTTCGGAGCGATCCGGGAGTAACGTAGTACAACGGTAGCATATTCATCCGTCCTTCCGTAGTTCCCAATCAAGCCTCTACATCCTTATCTGAGCTGTTAGCTTTAAGAGTCATCGGATACTGATGTTCACCTTCGTACTGGAAAAGGACGATAGAATGATTTTCCCGCCTTAACCAATGTACACTCCAACGAGTGGGGGTACCAGTACCATAGCCCAATCTGCCAACAACTACCGTCAGTCGAGCAATTACTTTTGGAAAACCTAAGAATCATGTTTCCTAGCCCATTCAGACACTATTCCATGAACAAGATGGACAACAGAAGAGCCCTTCCTACGACTCTTCCAGAGGCTTGCACAGAAGGAAGCGGCTATCAGATGGTCGCTGTCGTCATGGCCGTGGTTGCATCCTCCCCTCGTAGTTGAATGGACCGCCTGCTAGTTTCGAAGATTTTCTGGTGAAGCGGCACTGACAGAAAAGAGAAACACAACTCATAGAGCAGGGGACAAGGGATTTTTGGCGAGAAGGAGATGGTCAGACGATCAATTCCGGCACTTGGTCTTCACGTGTCATCCTGGAAATCTTGTCATATTGGGGAACCGGAACCATAGCGCTGGGCTTTTCTAATAGGGATTCCACCGTGTAACAGCCAAGGGTGGGCAAATACTACATACGATAAACAAGTAGAGGACGCTTATTTCGGGCTAGCAAACTCCATCAGGACTCTTGTCCGTTCGTTGACCAGGTTGTCGTCATGGACAGATACATGATAACAGCAATAGAATCTAATTGATCAGACATGATTACAAGAATATCTCCTACACCTCAACTCTGTACAAACTTTCATACAATGTAGCTTTCATTCGTTGGGTGGGACAAGACTCCGTATATCGTCCATGTATTCACCCAGCAGGATGTCTGTTTGCTGTCGGTCACTAGCAGTCGAACTAACACCGGTACGGGCATCCTGCCTCCTCCTCTTCATTTCTTCTCGAACCATCTCTTCGACTGTTTGTTCTCGGGGTATCTCTTCGACGTCACTCTCCTCGTCACTGTCGTCCTCCTCCACGCCACGCACACCCTCCTCTTTCAACGTTTTCTCTCGTGGATATATCGTGCCCACCTTATCCTTCCCCTTCTCCGGAGCAGGGCCTAAGCCGTGGTCCTCCGGTCCATGATCTGAAATGATGATTCCCAAGATCCAACAATTCACCGCGAAGAAGAGTAGGCTGCTTGACCACAATCCTGGCACGAAGCTGCTCTCGCCCAACATCTCTAGTTTATAGCCCTGCCAGAGCCATACCGCCTGTCCTGCAACCCATGCTCCTAGCACACCTAGCCCCAAAGCTGGATTTCGAATCAAGACCGAGTCAGGAAGGTAGATGGGAAGGAAGATGAGATACCAGAGGAAGTACTGTGATGTGCAAACCTTGTTAAATGTTACGAATGCGAAGGTTTGCGCAAGCATGGCGCGGGGAAAGGAGGACTTGGAGATGCTGACGGGAATGAGGAGGGTTGAAAGCAAGAGTTGAGGGATGAAGGCCAGGGATTCGAAGCGTAGGCTTGACAAATGGGCAGTGGTGACGATCTTGGCGGAAGAGAGGTATAGAAGTATGTTGTATGGACTAAAGTTGTGGCGGTGATCGATTCGAGTCAGGTGGTGCAGGTAGGTCTGCTGCATGAACGGTGTGCCATACAAAGCGAACATGCTGATATTTAGACCTGAAAAGGTAGCCAGAGATGTGAAAATGAACACTAATCGATCTTGGTTTAGAAACGTGGACAATGTACCAAGTATCGATGTATGGGTTTCCTCTTTGACTGCTGGCCTCGATGTGATTGGAGCTGGCGATTCTAGCGACCACAAAATGCTGACACCATAGATAAAGGGGTAGATCTTGAAATGCACAGCCAAACCCAGCAACACGCCAGAAAGTGCAATATGACGCATCTCCGTTGCCCAGAGCAGCGCCATAACCATGACACAGAGTAGACCTTCACTACTCCCTCGAGTGGAAATGGTAGCCACCATTGGATTGAGTAGCCAGATACTAGAGTATTTCAAAGCGCGCATCTGACTCGTGCCTGTTTTCTGTAATACGACGAAGATCATCCATCCTGCTAGAATGTCACTGACCGCGAACAACGCTTTCCCGAAACTGAACCAGATGTATTGTGGTTCCCACGTGGTTGGGAGTAGTATCCACGCCAACAAGGGTGTGTAGCGGTAAGTATCTCGCAGGTACGGGGAGTGACCATAAGAAACATAGCGAGCTGCGTCGGTAAAGACGCCATAGTCGATGTCGGTATATTTCAAAGGGCCATGGGCGTCCTGGTAGAGGCCGTAGAGGAGTAGGACGATGCGGAGGGAGAGGGCAGCCGAAAACAAGGAGGAAGGCGATGTGAGAAGGGATCGAGTGACTTTGGGAGGAGCAAGAAGGGAGAGGAGGTCCATGCCATAGGGAAGATATGTCGGCTGCTGGAATGGTTACTACCTAAGTAGGTGAAGAGCGACGAGTTCGCTGGTTAGTGGTGACCCCGAATAGTTCCGAGAATGGTTCGCAGGCTATTGTGGTCCAGGGCTTAATTTAAGCTTGCATTGGCGCTCATCGCTAGCTAAGGTGACATACTAGTATGTAACACGCAGTGAACTTCCTTTTGTTTCACTCCCCTCAAAAGCAGTTCCCTAATTGCCTTTGAATTTTGGTAACCTGGCAATCAAGAACGCAGATGGCGGGTGTGAAAAGATACAGAGATGGGCCAAAGCCGCAGGGCAGGACAGATGTGGACTCGCCTTACATACCCATGTTTGAGAATTTCCGTGCAGAGCTTGACGAGCACCATGATAGGCGGGAAAAGATCATCAAAGCCTCCAGAGACATTACGGCTTCTAGCAAGAAGATGTAAGAAGATATATTGTTGTATTCTGGGCACTCTGATTGATAAACCTAGTATCTTCGCTCTGCAGCGGTAAGGCCGCCGTTCAAAGTGTTGTTGGGAGCTAATTCCATTGCAAGAATACGCAACTTGGGTGAGAAGATTCCAACACCAATCATCAAAAGCAAAGAGTATTCACAGCATACATCTACCATTCATGAACGGTTCGTGTCGGTTGCGCCTGACCTGAAAGGGATCAATGCATATCGATACCAGCGTCAGATATCGCCTGGCATCCAAGAGTTTATGGAAGCTGTCCTTTTCCGGCATTATCTCGAAACCCAAAGCATTCTGTCGCCGTCAGAGGCTGCGAAGCTTATATCCGAGAACATTCTTCTCCCAGAGGATGACTACGTTCTGGGCCTCTTCGACATGACTGGTGAGCTGATGAAGTATGCGATAACGCAGATGGCCACAAATGGAGAGTTACCAGCTTCTAGAACAGGTGGGGGAGGCAACATTCTGACTGGGCTGCAAGATCTGAGAACGAACTTGGAGGCACTCGATGTAAGCGGCAGTTATGGTGTGGGTAGAAACATTGAGCAGAAGATGAGTACCACCAGAACGTCTGTAGAGAAGGTGGAGAATGCAGTGTACTCAATGACTGTTCGAGGCAAGGAGCGTCCTAAAGGCTGGAATCCAGGGATGGATACTTCGAGACCCGTAGGGGAGGTGGAAGGCTAGGAGCATGTGTCAAGGTAACAATTGATGCGCAAGTGTATGGGAGATGTGCTAAGATGCCTAGACACGTTCGGCCTTGTTTGCTAGAACTGCAGATCAAAATCTGTTGCCAGATTGCAGTCAATGATGAGTTATTGATATAGAGAAAGACCAGACCTAATAAACCAGCGGGGAGGAAAGTATAGGGTGCACCGCTGGCTAGCACCTTTTGAGATCATGGTAGAATAAACATTTTCGCACACTTTGAAGAGTAGCTAATCCTTCAATGGGTTTTCGTTCTCTTCTAAGATGCCCTCCTTGACAAGCTCTTCCGGCTTGGGCCTGTGCTGTATCTTTTGCTCAAGTGAGTCAGCGCGCATGTGCTTCTCCAGCGATCGTTGATTTGCTTGTAGAGCGGGCGCAGCGGTTGAATCAGGGAGGATGTTTCCTGCCTCTCCGTAAGCTATGAATAGGAACGGTATGATCAAATTGTCCTACGCTCGACTAGTTCGTCGCGATCAGGCCTCTTCTCGAGATGCCTCTTCAGACTATCTGTGTTCTGCTGCCGCTCGAGCTCTTGCTGTGCTGCTTGAAGAGAACTAGTGTCTCGAGGTCAGTAATGTCTATATGCAAATATCATCCCAATGCTCACGGGGCGGCATTGGTGTCGAGGAGGATATGTCGGTTCTTGAGGTCTTGAGGATCGGGTCTATGCTGGAGGTGCTTTTCTAGTGAATTGCGTCGTTCAATCGGCGAGATTGGCTTGGTGTCAACCCCAGTATCTTTCCCTTCGGATGCCATTCTGTTGCATTCAAATCTGGTGAGCCGTTTTGATGTTCGGATTCAAGGTTTGAAGGGAACGGTGGAAGATCTTGAGTGCTCTAAAAGAAGAAAATGTTATGTATGTATTAACGTACACTACCACTTACCGGGCCACCCCACTTACCGGGCCAATTTCTGCACACCAACGCGCAGGCATCCTCATATTTCGAACAGCTATAGCTCCACCAATATAGCTCCAAATGGACTCGCATAAGGAGCATTTGATTCAGAATGCGTCAAATAACGTTGATTTAGGGCTATTTAGCTCAGTTCGCAAGGCTGCGGAGTACTACAATGTGCCGAAATCAACAGTGGCCTATCGACGCGCTGGCCGCCCCTCTCGGACCCCCAAGCGAGTGAAGGTGCCACACCGATAGTGCATGTACCTACCCTTCGGGACTTTTACATGGACTTGGAAATCATCCATGACATATCCTCAGACGGTCCGGCAAAGAGCTTTGCATATCGGAGGCTACAATATCTGGAAGGAAGGTATAATCTGTATTCTTTGCTGAATGAGTACGAAGAGGTCGCTGAAACCAAGAAAGTACCCCATCGGGACTTCTACAATGTCCGAAAAGTTGACACTCACGTCCATCATTCGGCATGTATGAATCAGAAACATCTTTTGCGCTTTATCAAGAGTAAGATGAAGAAATGTCCGGAAGAGGTTGTGCTGTTCAGAGATGGGAAGACACTCACCCTAAGGGAGGTCTTCGAAAGCATCAACTTGACTGCCTATGATCTGAGCATTGATACCTTATAAATACAGAAAAGGCTATTAAGCCCTATCTTATCTTTACTGGCAAGAATCCTGAACATCATATGTTTCCAGAGCATGAGGAGCTTCCTGACATTATATGGGCCTTTTCTCCTAAGGGATGGACTGACGAAGAGCTAGCTGTTGATTGGCTGCGTCGAATATTCGTTCTAATTGCGTCAAATAGCAAGCATATTATTCTGATACTTGATAGCCAAAAGAGTCATATTACTGGCGAATTTCAGTATTATTGCCTCGAAAACAACATCCACCCTCTCTATTTGCCAGCGCACGCTACCCACAAACTTCAACCTCTTGATGTAGGTCCATTTTCGCCACTTTCAAGTGCGTACAGCCGCGCAGTCGAAGAATACGCTCCAACCGGCATAGCAGTACTCAATCGAAGTATGTTTACGGTACTTTACGTACGGGCTCGTCAGGAGGCATTTACTGAGCGAAATATTCGCGCAGGATGGAGAAGAGCCGGCATTTGGCCAATAAATAAGCAAAAATTGCTAGAGGATCCTGAAATTCAAAATTTTGGCCGCACAACGCCTGAGTATCAACCTGCGCCTATTAAAGAGGGTCCTAACCATCTCTATAGCACTCCGAAGAAGCTGGATGAAATTCGAGAGCTTCAAGCGCAAATTGAGGCCAAAGTTACTCCTCGAACTCAACGCTCTGTACGCAAGCTCAGCCACGCAGCTATTCAAGAGCATGCTGGCGCTCAATTGCTTCAAAATGAGCTCAACAACGTACGAAAGCAACTACACCATCAAGAGGTCCAAAAGCGCTCAAAACGCATGGTAAAAGAGAGGGTGCAGCGTTCGTGGAATCTTGAGGAGGTCAGGGCTGCCAAAGAGGGCAGGGCGCCCTCTAGAGTGCAAATTACGCACCGTTCGGAGGATTCGCTACGCATCAGAATTCTCTCAGATAGGCTCAAATAGGAAGTATCTCCAGCTTCAATTTTTGGCCCAATTAAGTCATGGTAATGTGGCCTATGGAGTGGTAAAGTACTGCGTAAAGTGTGTGCAAATTGGCCCGGTAAGTGGGGTGGCCCGCTAAGTGGTAGTGTACGTTACATGTGTCGTCTGTGCACCCCGCAGACACGAGGTCGTCAAGACGTTGCCAAGGCAGCCGTTGTACTGTACCAAGTATTTAGTTAGCCAGTCAGCAACTTACGTAGTACAGTACTACGTGTCAACTCTAGATTCCGGGACATAAGACGCTGTTTGAGGCAGTCTTTGACGCCGCTTTCGGCGTCTGTTGCACCGCGGGTCATGTGATGTGCTATCACCTTTTTTGTCACCCAGTCTAATTTTACCAACTTCACACCCTTGAAAAACACCCCACCTTTCCCTTTTCTGAGCTCCTGGTTTCCCGACCGCCAGAAACCGCTCCCTTCGATGCGCTGTGCTCGCACCTTGTCAGCGGCGTCGCTAGTAGTCATGGAGTTCCTCTCAACTATAAAGACGCGATGGCCTCTGCTCATTGTATTCACCCTCCACAACAGGTTCCCTCGACGACCACCGCTCGGAGCCGCTTTGTACAGCTTTACACACGGCTCTCCATCTGATCCATTTACCTCTTCATTATACCTCCACTCTGTTCTTGCCCTCTTTGATCTCCGAGGTGGCACGCAGACTGATAAGACTGCAGGATGGGCGTGCAGAAAGATCAAGATTCTTGTTCGCTGACAGCTGAGTACTACCGTCGGCACCGGCAGCAGTTGGCCGAGAAAGGGACCGTCAAAAAGCATCATGCCATCTCTACTAAGAACAACATTAAAGGGATAAAAAAACAATAGAAAAAGTAAGTTTCTCTTAATCGATGACATTACCTTATCAGTGAGCTAATTAGTTCTAGGTTCTATAAGTTGATGAATAAAGATCCCCTAGCCTTTCTCTAGCGCTGCTCCAAAGAGGACATCATGACGTTCTGGAAATGAATATTAAACTAATACAAGGTACGGAAGAAAAGTACACTCCACAAATACTGAAGGGTTTGGCGTATGCTCTACTAGCGGTGTGTCGGCCGAAGCTTGCATGCGAAGATAGCTGCAGATATCAATAACGTACGTACCCTGCTATTTCAAGGAAAGAATCTAGGCTGACAGGCCGCAGTACATTAACGAAGACCTTCGACAATCATATAATCTTGATCTCATAATGTAAGAGAAACTGGTAATAAATATTAATAATGTTTTCTTGATTCTTCACTACTACTAGATTATAGACACCGCTACTTTCCTAGATAGCCGTCAACAGCTATAAGTTCCCTTTCTAATACTTATTTCTGTATACACCGCAACTTAGCTAGGGGTATTAATATACGTACTAAAGAATAAAAAAAAGGACAAAGGTTACTATATTAGCAAGGATAAAGAAGATAAGGAGGAAGAAGAAGAAGACAATATTATAGATTATAATTAAGATAGCAAACAAGCTAAGACACTTTATTATAATGATATTATATTGTTCTTACTTCCTAATCCTAATAGAATTCAGGATCTTTTAGCTATAGAAATTAATATCAAGTATACTAAAGGATATCAAAGGAAGCTTAAGCAATAAGCTAGACTCTCTCCCTCCTTTATAAACCTATTAATACTAAGCAAATATATAGCAAAATCTTTGTCTTTTCTAAAGTTAATAATCTTATATTTAACCCTATCTTACTTATAATCGTTTTAGTACTTGATGTTAATGCCTTTGAATCTAATATCAGATTAGTTAGGGATATCTTTTAAACTAGGGTTTGCCTTCCTTACTAAAGTTTATAGTTATAATAAAAAAGCTTTATTCTCTAAACTCTTATCTTTTGTTAAGCAGTTTCTAGTACTAATAGTATTTAAACATCTTTAAGTAAGGCTCTTTATTATTATATATATCTTTATTATCTTTAGTAGTTAGATTTAGCAATAGGATTTATACAGATTTTAAGCCTATATAATATTTAATAAAGTGCTAATAATAAAGTAAATAATATATCCTTAATCTTATTTCTTTAAAAGACTAATTTAAATAAATAAGTGCTAATACTCTCTTTAGAAGTAACAACTTTAGCTATACTATAGCAAGTTATAAACTATAAGAATACCAAAATTTTCTAGGCTTATTTAAACAAATAAGTATAGTATAACATTTAAGTCGCTTTTCTTAAGTGTCCTTTTGCTAATATACTTATTAAAGCTATAAGTTATATAAGCTATTATATTAATTTATATACTCTAACTAAGCTTAGCGTCTCTAATCTTAATGCGCTTAAGACTTATCTAGATATAATAAGAGCTTAGCAGCTGTAAGATAGCCTCTTAAAGAATATTTGTACTAAATTTAATATAATTTAGAATTCAAAGAGAATAAAGATATATAAGATATATTAGATAACTAAAGCTAATTTACACTATTAAAAGACTAGGCTCTAAAAATCAGCTTTATAAGAATCTTAGAAGTAATTCTTTAAAGAAATTAAGACTTAAGATATTAATAAATAGCTAGATCTTTTACTACTTAACCTAAATAAGAATAGCTAGACACCAGAAATAATAGAATATAACTTAAAAGAACAAAGATATATTGCTCAGATGTTATATAATAAACCCTTAGATCTTACAAAGAAAGCTAGCCTTGACCGCCATATCTATATAATTAAAGCTATAATTACTTTTTACTAAGTACAAGAAACACTATATCAGAAGAGATTAAAACCCTGTCGTGATTAGGGAATTTTAGAGGAGACGGTAGAGAAAGTGCAGCAGGCAGACACAAGGCCGCTTTCAAGTTAATTCCTGATGATCTGCACAAGTACCTAATGCCTTTTCTGTCTTAGGAACGCTGGGTTACCTTATAAATCGCGAACTTTCTACTTCAGCCGGCCCCGGAAAGCACGAGAGTATATTAAGCGTCAACATCTTCGGTTTTTGGCTTCGAATGAGCCCATACCTTGTCCTCACCCGCAATGTGAGGAGGCCCTTTAAGGTATTATGCACTTCAAGAATCACGCGGCTACCGTTCACAACTGCTTTCTCTTTGCTAGATCAGGGTTAGATTGACACAGATTAGGAATAAAGATGTTTTAACATTTAGCATTAATATCCCAGCATTGTCTTTGAATTTGCCTTGACTACGTCTCTTTTCTCAAAGCAGAGGAGATCTTTCGTAGGAGCCTATCTATTCCGTGGTCGGCGAGACCAGCATGACTTTTCGCGATGAAAAGTGCCATTTCCCTGTGGACCTTATGAATAATTTAGTAATACAAGGGTTTGAAACAGTAGATCAGCTTAGAAGTCAATAGAACCTAATCCAAAAACTATGTGATAATTTTCATGGGACCTACATTTCCTGTGGCGCTTTCAGGGTCAAAGCCATCGCCCACTTCTGTCATTACCCTTCAATCAGCAACCAATCGAAAGTCGCATCGCACGTTTTTCTAAGGTCTTCCTCTTTCTTGGGTCCCTTTCTGAGGTCCTTTCCTGGGGAAGCTAGAAGTGGGCAATGGTTTTGACCCCGAAAGCGCCACAGAAAGTGTTGGTCCTACCACACTTTTCTTTTGACTAACGTCGGGTACCACTTGGCGAGCCACCCCACTTGGCGAGCCAATTCCCACCCACTGTACATAGCAATTGTACGGCTTTACAAACGACGCACGATTGTCTAATTGGGACGTAGATGCAATAGTAGCTATTTCTATTACTCAAGCTTGTCAGAAAGTATCACTATGCGCAAGGAATTCTCTGTGCGGCGCGTAATTTGCACGCGGGAGGGCGGCCTTCCTTCCCGGGCTGCCTTGACCTGTTCGAGGTTCCACGAACGCTGCACGTTCTCTTTGGCCATGCGCTTTGAGCGCTTTTTAAGCTCTTGATGATGTAGCTGTCGCCGTACGTCGTTGAGCTCGTTTTGAAGCAATTGAGCGCCGGCGTGCTCTTGCAAAGCTGCGTGGCTGAGCTTACGTACGGAGCGCCGTGTACGAGGAGTGACCTTGGCCTCAATTGTTGCTTGAAGCTCTCGAATTTCATTGGCCTTCTTTGGCGTAGAATGAAGATGATTAGGACCCTCTTTGACGGGCGCAGGCTGATATTCAGGCGTTGTACGGCCGAAATTCTTGATTTCAGGGTCATCCAACAGCTTTTGTCTATTTATGGGCCAAATGCCAGCTCTTTTCCATCCTGCGCGTATGTTCCTTTGTGTGAATGCTGTCTGTCGGGCTTGAACGTACAGAAGCGAAAAAACGCTTCGATTCAGCGTGGCAATGCCTGTGGGAGTGTATTCTTCAACGGCGCGGCCGTACGCAGTCGTAAGAGGCGAAAAAGGATCCACATCGAGTGGTTGGAGCTTGTGGGTAGCGTGGGAAGGTAAATAGAGAGGATGGATGTTGTTTTCAAGGCAGTAGTACTGAAATTCGCCTGTGGTATAGCTTTTGTGGTTGTCAAGTATCAAAATTGAATGCTTGCCCTTCCTTGCTGTCTGTGGGACGAATATTCGATGTAGCCAATCAGTAGCTAGCTCTTCATCAGTCCATCCTTTGGGAGAGAAAGCCCAGATAACGTCTGGTAGCTCTTTATTCTGTGGAAACATATGCTCCTCAGGAGCTTTGTCTGTGAAGATAAGATAGGGCTTAATAGCTTGATCAATCCCCATACACTCAATGATAGAGACCCACTGTGTATTATCCGAAATAGGGGCCACTGGACGACCATAGAAGGATCAAAAACAACGTAATTTGATGTAGTGTGACTCAATTGGAAGCCTGTTTCATCCATATTGTAGATATCTTCCAATTCCACCCCATATTCGCTGCGCAGGCGCTCAAATTCATCGAAAAAACATTGAACAATGGTTGGATCCAAGGCCGATAGTCTCTTAATGTTCATACGTCGATTTCGGCTTGTTTTAAGCTCTGGGTGTCGAGAAATGAAGCGCGAAATGTAGTGTTTTCCAAGCTGATTTCGATCCCCTTTACTTTGCAGCAATTTGACGATCATTCGACGAATTTGAGGGTAATTGGGGCATAGATGCTGTCTCTGTAGGTCTCGAAAGTACTGAATAAACACCTTTTCCTCTTATTTTGACAGGCGCTGTGAAATGCGATCGGTTTCGGCCTGGGAGGGTCGTCCGGCGCGTCGATGGGCCACGGTCGACTTTGGGACCCCATAATAGCTCGCAGCCTTGCGAATTGAGCCAAATAGGCCTAGATCCACGTCATTTGAGGCCTGCTGAATCGAATGCTCCATGTCCGAGTCGATTTAGAGCAATATTGACGGAGTTGTGGGGGTTCGAAAGTTGTGGGTGTGCAATTGATCAAAACGCGAAATTGGCTCGCCAAGTGGGGTGGCTCGCCAAGTACCCGACGTTAGAGCGCAGACGCTCGACGGATGGACAGCAATGGGAGACGAAATTCGCAGAGGCAGAAAAATTGAAGCTAGCGGAGATACAGGATAACAAGGCCCTGTACGACTTTATCTTTGCTATCAAGAGCGTTGACGCAGCGTACGCAAACGCGTATCAAGTTCACGTCGATACTACGCTGGAGAAGGGTGCAGACGCAGATATCCCGACGCTTCTTTCGAATAGTACTCTCCCAAGACGTTCCGTCCAGCTCTATAGTGTGCAATCCATCACTAAGACGATTCCCTTCGTCCCTCTTCTAGGAGTCGGAGGCGGTCTCGGATAGCGTACCTCCACTCCTTCACAAACTTGCAGATAAAAAGAGAAAACAAAAAGATAAGAACAGCACAGAAGTATAGTATCATCGTTACGCTACACCAAAGAGCAACGACCAGTAGCACTCGACCATTCAGCAAAGGATCAGCCTCTTCAACGGCAACGGCAACCTGTAGTCCACTCAAAACAATTGATGTAATTCCGATGATAAATAAGACTGGACCGTAAAAGCGGGCAAAATATTCCCTGTACTGATACTCGACGCGTTGGAAGTGTGACTTCCTGAGGAGGAGCGGGGCGTAGAAATTGAGTCTAGTCAGTCTGATCTCGCCGTAGGCGTAACGTCTGGAGACGTCCCGGTCGGGTATCTTGGCCAGGTCGGTCGTAAAGTTGCAGAACTGCTCCCAGGTGATGCCTATGGGGACGAGGTGCAGACTAGGATCTTGAGCAATGTAGAAGTCAGATTCAGATCTGACGAGATAGAAGTACGTCCTGAGATAGCCCAAAGCTGCTTTGCGAATATGAATATAACGACTCCGAGCTGTAACGTCCGCATCGTTTCCCAGATAGTCTCGCCAAAACGCGTATGACGTGAGATATCGGGGGAGCGGCTTCACGAAAATTCGATCGTAGATCCATACTAGATGTAATTTTGGATCCTCGGTCACGATGATGCTTCGCCTTTTCACGAGTTGTCGATGGAATGGGGAAATATTCGCGCTGTCCTGTTTTGACATCCACCAGAGCCTGCCCGCCATCCGATCCAGGTCCGCCGAGCAGTATTCTTTCTCGAGAAAGTCCAGCGCTCCACATCGGTTCTGGAGTGATATACGGGGATATCCTGGTAAATATGGCGTTGAAACTCCGTGGGCCGATCCGTGTGGAGGAGTATCCAATTCTGCGTTGAGCTGATGCGTGGCTGGAAATGGTGGTTCCATTAGGGGGTGCGCTTCGGAAGCAGCCATCTATGCTGCATCAGATTAGCGAGACACCTTAGCGCGGAGAGATGCGCACCTATAGTACTATTCCTTTTCCCAGACTACGAGAACATCGGAGGGTCTACAACAGACTTGCAAGTTCTTGACTTATCGATCTTGCTCAGCTGAAGATGTTTGAGGGGCAGTGCGATCATTTTGTTCGCTGCCGCCTAGTTCGCTGAGACTTACAAATCGACTAATTAGGAATCGCCACGACTTGGTGTCAGCCTTGCCGACACTGGTCCCTCCCCAGAGCCGCCCACTTCCGCCTGATTTTAAACGTCACATAATAAAGCAGCTGTCGACTCCCAGCCGCCAGCTGTGGTCCTGTGTTAGCATACTGCGACTTTGGACGACCGAGCACGCTATCTTCAATTCCGTTTTCTTTCGCCGACCAGGCGTCACCGCTGCTAGAAAGGCCAGGTGTGATCGGAGGCATGGACCAGCTAAACTGGGGCAAACACCTCACAGGCGCCCTAGCCACCCTGGTAATTACGATTTGCTGCTACGCACTCTTCTGGCGCCCACCAAAAAGAACGGTATCGACACCCAAACGATTTTTGACGCTGCGTATCGACGAGGTTCCGATCGATAAGTCGCGTGAAGCCCTTGAACACGACCTGAAGTCTGTTGTCGAACGGGATCCAGGTTTGAAGGAGGACTCAATCACCATAATGCAACACTCCCTCGTTCGAAGAGACCAGAAGATGGCCTGTGCAACAGCCACTTTCCGTACTTCAATCCCAGCGAACGAGGTGATCAGAAAGCTACACCAAGCGCGGAGTAGTCTCCCATACCGTTTCGATGTCAAATTCCATGGTATCACGCCGCTCTATGAAGGTCGCGGGGGTACAGATGTCGAGTAGGCGTACCCAGTCGATCAGAATCGCACATCGCTCACTCATCTTATAGCGTGATTGCCGTCCCCGGCCTTGGAAGTCACGCTATCGGTTCCTGGAAGTCATCCAGCAGCAATGACCTTTGGCTTCGAGACTACCTCCCCGATGACGTGCCCAACATTCGAGTGCTACTATATGGCTACGATACCTCACTTCAAGGTAGTGACTCCAGAGATTCAATTGAGGACCTAGGAAGCCGCTTTCTGGAGTCAATTAAGGCTTTTCGTGCGGGCACTGTATGTGGGATCCGAGAATGTTATGGCTATGCGGCTCACTCTGCGGCAGGCAGATCGCCGTCCTATCATACTCATCGGCCACAGCCTAGGAGGTTTGCTGATCAAGGAGGTAAGTCTGTTCACAAATCAGGACCGTCAGATGATCAACTCTCACCCCATTGCAGGCGCTAGTTCTTGCGCGCAATAGATCCGACGACCCGCAAAACCTCGATCTCTGCAGAGCTTGCTACGGATTGCTTCTCTTCGGTGTCCCAAATCTTGGATTGCGGAACGAACAGTTGAACAGCATCGTACAAGGCCAGCCGAACCATGTGCTGATACGGGATCTCGTAGTTGACGACGATTCCGAACCCTCTCCGTTCTTGAAGAGAATCTCTGACCAATTCTCCAAGTGTTGTAAGGGTCAGTACCAAGTAATATCGTTCTTCGAGCGAAAACGCAGTCCAACCATACAAGTAAGATACGTCGCCAGGCTAGTAAAACGGAATGCTAATAAGCATCCTATAGATCCAACGGGATGGAACCCTGACCAAAACAGGTCCAAGGACGTTTATGGTCACGCAGAAGTCCGCGACAAGCACGGGCCTGACTGCGCCAGCTGATGAAAATAACATTCCTCTCAACATGGACCACTCGGGACTGGTAAAATACGAAAGCAGGAGCCAAGATGAATATAGCATCGTGAAGGGGAAACTCAAAACACTTGTCGCTGAGGCAAAACGGGAGGTCGGCAGACGGTTTGCAAAGAATAGTACGTAGTTAGTAGCCACAGAGAATGTGTTGAATGTCGCCACTAACTTCTGGTTCTCAGACTTGACGCCAGAACAGGAGCGTTTGTGGAGTAATTTCAATATGCCACCTTACACGTGGTTCAGGACATCCACACTTGCTAAACCGGAGAAAGGAACTCTAGAGTGGCTGGTTCAAGAAAAAGCTGTCGAACATAATCCTGAAGTTGGGAACGAGAGCCCGCCTCAACGAAGTCTGTGCATGGAGGACTTCATCTCATGGCGGGACTCAAGCAAGTCAGAAAGTCTTCTGGTGACTGCTCCGCCTGGTCGCGGCAAATCAGTACTGTCAAATTTCGTCTTGGGACACCTCGAGAGCGAAATATTGCAGAAACCGTTGCCTGCCCGTAAGGTTATCTACTATTTCTGCAACATCTGGAACGACGAGGCTTCACGTAACGCGAACTCTGTACTCCGAGCACTCATTATTCAGCTCTGTGAGCATCAGCTGCGCCTATTTCGAATCCTTCACTCGGAGTGCGAAGACCGAGATCGCTTCTTCTCAGCACCATTCTACTCATTATGGCATATATTCGAGAGTATGCTGCGAGATGACACGTACACTCGGATTTATTGTGTCATCGACGGCCTTGATGTTTACCAAGAGGGAATGGATGAACTCATCCCTAAATTAACCGAGGAATTCAGCCGCAGAGCCGAAGCAGGAAGTCCACTCCTGAAATTGCTCTGCACGTCCAGACCACAAAAGGTCATATTGGACTTGTGGGAACAGTCAATGCACAGGATTCTTCGCTGCAATGCCCATGACCTCGACGTCTTTATTAACTCTCGGGTCTCGTCTTTGGGAAAGAGCTTCAGAGATGATATGAGACAAAGTATTACAGACCAACTGCTCATGCAGGCTGACAATACGTTCCTCTGGCTTCATGTGGTCATCAGGAAAATTAAATCAATAGACGTGCCTACTCCTAGGAAGATCGAAGAAACAATCAAAAATAGCCCTCAAGATCTGTATGATTTATACCATCGCCTAGTACACGGCATAATTCAGAGAGATCGAGACAACGCTCGTCTCCTGGCGTGGGTAGTTTACGCACGGCACCCTCTGGACCTCAAAGAACTGGAAGACGCCATGGCCATCAAACTGACAGAGAAGTACACGAGCTACGAGCAATGTCTCAAGGATAGGCCATGTCTGGTATCAGATGAGGTCCACAAAGTATTTGGCACTTTGTTAGACATCAATAAAGGCAGGGTATACCTCATCCATCAGTCCGTCAAAGACTATTTCCAGCGTGAGGATCCTCTTCAAAACTACATTGGCGTTAAACCTCGACTGTTTCTGGCACATATCTCTATGACATACCTGTCTCTCGAAGAGTTTGGATGTCCCTCGTGGGATGTGAATGAGCTCCTACAAGAATATCCACTGCTTCGATATGCCGCTAGCTACTGGTTTTCCCATATTGAGACAGCGGCCGACATCAACTGCTACCCTCCTCTTCAGGACTTTCTCAATGACATCATTCCTCCTAATAGTCCTAAGGCAAAACTTTGGATGAGAATACACCGGGGCGTGGATTTTAGGAACCCCTCTGAGGTTTTTGAATCGCCTTCTCGGATCAGTGAAGTGGCGATTTCTTTCGACATTGGATGGCTCGTGGAGTTACTATTGAATAAAGAGAGATGTGGCGTTAGTGGTAACTTCGAAAGAAATTGTTTATTAAAAGCCGCACGCCAAAAAGGAGCTGTGCTTAAAGTCATGCTGAAACATGAAAAAGGCATGAAATTAGCAGTAACAGGTGCTGTGGTTGAAGCCATTGCAGCAAGTCACCATCATAGTATGATGACACTCCTTCTTGACCGACGAGGAGCAGACGTCCAGATCAATGAAGAGGTGGTGAAGGCAGCTGCGGGGAACTCCGGAAGTGGTAGAGAAGTGATGACACTCCTTCTTGACCGGCGAGGAGCAGACGTCCAGATCAGTGAAGAGGTGGTGAAGGCAGCTTCAGGGAACTACGAGAGTGGTAAGGAAGTGATGACACTCCTTCTTGACCGACGAGGAGCAGATGTCCACATCACTGAAGAGGTGGTCAAGGCCGCTGCAGGGAACTCCGGGGATGGTAAGGAAGTGATGAGAGTCCTTCTTGACCGACGAGAAGCAGACGTTCAGATCACTGAAGAGGTCGTCAAGGCCGCTGCATGGAACAACTGGAGTGGTAAGGAAGTGACGACGCTCCTGCTTAACCGACGAGGAGCAGATGTCCACATCACTGAAGAGGTGGTCAAGGCCGCTGCAGGGAACTCCGGGGATGGTAAGGAAGTGATGAGAGTCCTTCTTGACCGACGAGAAGCAGACGTTCAGATCACTGAAGAGGTCGTCAAGGCCGCTGCATGGAACAACTGGAGTGGTAAGGAAGTGACGACGCTCCTGCTTAACCGACGAGGAGCAGATGTCCAGATCACTGAAGAGCTACTATCAGCGATAGCACAACACTTTGATGAGGAAGTGATGACTCTCCTGCTAGACCGACGAGGAGCAGATGTCCACATCAGTGAAGAGGTGGTCAAGGCCGCTGCAAAGAACTCCTGGACTGGGGTGGAAGTGATGGCACTCCTTCTTGACCTACGAGGAGCAGATATCCACATCACTGAAGAGGTAGTCAAGGCCGCTGCAGGGAACGACTGGAGTGGTAATGAAGTGATGACACTCCTTCTTGACCGACGAGGAGCAGATGTCCAGATCAGTGAAGAGCTACTATCAACGATAGCACAAGGCTTTGATGAGGAAGTGATGACGCTCCTTCTTGACCGACGGGGAGCAGATATCCACGTCACTGAAGAGGTAGTCAAGGCCGCTGCGGGGAACTACCGGAGTGGTAAGGAAGTGATGAGAGTCCTTCTTGACCAACGAGGAGCAGATGTCCAGATCACTGAAGAGCTACTATCAACTACAGCAGAACACTTTGATAAGGAAGTGATGGCACTACTACTTGACCGACAAGGAGCAGATATCCACGTCACTGAAGAGGTAGTCAAGGCCGCTGCGGGGAACTACCGGAGTGGTAAGGAAGTGATGAGAGTCCTTCTTGACCAACGAGGAGCAGATGTCCAGATCACTGAAGAGCTACTATCAACTACAGCAGAACACTTTGATAAGGAAGTGATGGCACTACTACTTGACCGACAAGGAGCAGATATCCACATCACTGAAGAGGTTGTCAAGGCCGCTGCAAAGAACTCCTGGACTGGGGTGGAAGTGATGGCACTCCTACTTGACCGACAAGGAGTAGATATCCACATCACTGAAGAGGTTGTCAAGGCCGCTGCAAAGAACTCCTGGCCTGGGGTAGAAGTGATGAGAGTCCTCTTTGACCTACGACGAGCAGACGTCCGCATCACCGAAGAGGTTGTCAAGGCCGCTGCAAAGAACTCCTGGCCTGGGGTAGAAGTGATGAGAGTCCTCTTTGACCTACGACGAGCAGACGTCCGCATCACCGAAGAGGTTGTCAAGGCCGCTGCAAAGAACTCCTGGCCTGGGGTAGAAGTGATGAGAGTCCTTCTTGACCGACGAGGAGCAGATGTCCACATCAGTGAAGAGGTCGTCAAGGCCGCTGCAGAGAACTACCGGAGTGGTAAGGAAGTGATGACGCTCCTTCTTGACCGACGAGGAGCAGATGTCCACATCAGTGAAGAGGTCGTCAAGGCCGCTGCAGAGAACTACCGGAGTGGTAAGGAAGTGATGACGCTCCTTCTTGACCGACGAGGAGCAGATGTCCACATCAGTGAAGAGGTCGTCAAGGCCGCTGCAGAGAACTACCGGAGTGGTAAGGAAGTGATGACGCTCCTTCTTGACCGACGAGGCGCAGATGTCCAGATCACTGAAGAGCTACTATCAACAACAGCAGAACACTTTGATAAGGAAGTGATAGCACTCCTGCTTGACCGACGAGGAGCAGATGTCCACATCAGTGAAGAGGTCGTCAAGGCCGCTGCAGAGAACTACCGGAGTGGTAAGGAAGTGATGACGCTCCTTCTTGACCGACGAGGAGCAGATGTCCACATCAGTGAAGAGGTCGTCAAGGCCGCTGCAGAGAACTACCGGAGTGGTAAGGAAGTGATGACGCTCCTTCTTGACCGACGAGGCGCAGATGTCCAGATCACTGAAGAGCTACTATCAACAACAGCAGAACACTTTGATAAGGAAGTGATAGCACTCCTGCTTGACCGACGAGGAGCAGATATCCACATCACTGAAGAGGTGGTCAAGGCAGCCGCAGGGAACTCCGAAAGTGGTGAGCAAGTGATGAAAATCTTTCTTAACCGACGAGGAGCGGATGTCCAGATCAGTCAGTAGACAACGCCATGATCATTTGACACAGTCCTCTCACACTTACGGAGCCAAAAAATGTTGTTTTCATGTCAAAGAAACAAATTAAGATCAGTCTATCTGTTTTTGCAGTGCGCCCTTCGGTATTCAGACGAAGCATGGACCCAAGGGCTTTTCGGCTCTGAATTCGCGCTATTCGGGCGGGGGAGGTCCTCTGCTAATGAAGCAGCTCCAACGGTATCCAATGAACCTGAAATCTCCTCTTGGTGGTGCTTATGAGTCATTTCATGGCTGTCCTATTGTACCAAATTGAGAATTGAGCCCAGCAGCCTAAGCGGATCAGATCGGGCCGACGGCCGTGGTAGCGATTGGGTCTTTGATGTTTTCGCTGAGGGCGACAGTGAGACTGAGGGAGACAGCTCGCCACCCTCGAAGCGAGCCCGATCTTCCCCTCGCCCGTGGGAAGCCACTGATACCTTTTCATAAGTATCCTAATAATATTGTGAAGCCGAAAATATTTAGCAGTTCTGGTATATTGAAGACCTTCCATGACAAGTGCCTTTGAAGCGAACCTTCTAAGCGTACCTTCTACCAGTCCTCTCAACGTCCTCTCTATAGTGCAAGCGAGACTATACTTGGATCCTCAGTCAAGGGACTACATAAAGAACTGCAATCTACACGAACTCGACATGGTGATCGCTCGACTCGTTCACATTGAACACAGCGATCAGGGACATTTTCCATTCCACAACTGGCAATTTCTGCGGAGATTAGGCTATAATCATACCGATTTCGAACGGGATGAGAGTGTAGATTCAATGGGGGTCTCTCTGTTCATCTTCCGCCCTACGGGCGGCGGTGTGGCCAAGCAGGCGCCCATCACAGGCGCCATGGCAAAGACAGCCTTCGATATGGATTGAGATCTGTCTATAAATCACAAAGAGAATGCTTTTCTGGCTGGTTGATGAAGCTAATGGCCACCGCGAAAGGTGTGAGTGTTGGCGATAACAGTTATTGGCATCAAGGTGACAATATCACGACGAATCATCATCATCCGCTGCCTGGTACGTTGAGTCAACTCAACCTTCCTCCGGACAGTCCGAGGTTAGCAGAGGGAAAGACTAATGTTACACATCGGCTCTGATGCTTCAGCTGCAAATGGCTAATATATGCTTGTTCCGCGACAGCCCCACCCGCACCTCCAAGCTACAAGCTTGGGCTGAACCTGGACGGCGCGCCGCAGATTGACGGGCGACTCTTCGTCGGACGAGAGCAAGAGCTTGCGCAGATCCAAGAATGGCTGTCCCCGGTGAACCCCACACAGAACGTGGTGGCCATCTCGGGACTCGGCGGCATGGGCAAGACACAGCTGAGTCTGCACTTCGCGAAGCGCTGTCACCCGAGCTATTCTGCGGTAATCTGGCTGAACGCAAACTGTGAGACTACACTGAAAGCGGCGTACGTCGCACTCGTGCGACGATTTCACGGGGAGGACGGGCGAGGAGAGGCGGTGGGAAAGATAGACGAAGAGCAGGCGGTTCGAACCGTGCGACAGTGGCTGTCGCGACCGGAGAACAAGACATGGCTGGTGGTGTATGACAATTACGACGACCCGCAGCTTCCCGGACTTCGAAGCAGCACAGGGTATGACATCCGTACTTACTTTCCTTACTCCACACAGGGGTCGATCCTAATCACGACTCGATCTGCTCGCCTCACGTTTGCGAAACAAGTGCGGCTGAAGAAATTTGACGATCTGGACCAAAGCCTGGCGATTCTAGCGACGCGGTCGAGTCGGGAAACGCGAGGAGGTCAGTATTTAAGCTGCTCTCATGTAAATGCTGGTACTCGTATCTAACGGTGTGGGTCACCGGATCCAGATGGTAATGCGACGAAATTGGCGAAACGACTCGACGGTCTACCACTGGCACTTGCCACCGCTGGAGACTACATCGGGAAGACCCCCGACAGCTTTGGCGACTATTTACAGATGTACGAAGACGCCTGGCAAGATCTGGCCGACAACAGCGACGGGCTCTTTAACGTCTTGAAGGGTGGCTCAGAGAGATTTGATGGCTGTCGTATCAGAGTCGTCATGCATCAAATGCACCCGTTCCTCAAAGCAATTAACTCTCCTACACTAATACTGCTGACATCACGTTGCACAAAGAACAGGTGTGGATAGTTTACATGAGAAGCATTTCAACACGACCACGATAGATTTTCGGTATTGCCATTAGAATCGGGGATCTTGGTGTGATGTTACCGCGACCAGTTTTGGTGCGCCACTATGGTCCCTACGTTAATATTATTTGGTTTCAAGAAATCCATCAATCGTAAATGGCGGGTATAATGCTGATATCTACCGAACACGTAAGGTCAATCCATCTTCATCGCCCCAGCATATAGCCTCCCTTCTACCGGCATCCTGACCTCCTTATCCGAAAAAGCGCAATGACCAATCTCCTCTCCCTCTGGCGAAGTAACACCCCATTGCAGCGGTGCCGCCGAGTCGACATCCTCGCGTCCATAACAAGCAGCTGATATCGCCGCACTGCAGCTCCCCGCCAGCGGTATCCCGCGCTTATACCGCCGGACACTCAGGAGCACCATGAAAAATGCCAGACAGGTTCCGATGATCATGGTCAGTGCGACAACGCTGGGGGAGTAGCCACATGTTGATATCGCAGCGTTGTCCACCAGGTCACCATCTTTGGAATAGGTTGCAACCTGGGCGAGGAAGATAGACTGGCTGACGGACCAGTGGAGGATGCCGGAGAGGATGAGGAGAGGCACGGCGTAGCGATAAGGCAGCTGGAGGAAGTAGGTTGATCGCTGGCCTTTTATGGGGTCCGAGACGCGTAGGGGTTTACGTTTGTGCGCGAAGTCGGACCATTCGGTGGCAAGGAGCATGCTGGTAAAAACGCCGTTGAAGAGGAGGTAGAGGAATGACAAAATCATTTGCGGGATGTTGCTGATCAGCACGCTGGCTATGATTGTGGTGCCACCGATGGAGGCTAAGTGCCACCCGCTGATCAGGGTGTCCGGGGTAACAGCGCCGATGCCTAGGTTAATGAATTCAAGAGCTGATCTAGCAACACCGTTATTGTTGTAGTTTGCCGTATTGACGCCGATAACAAGGAGGATAGTGACTGTGAGCATGCAGCAAAAATATCTGTGAAGGTTAGCTTTAGAAGTTAAGAAGGGAGATGAGTGAAATCAATAACGTACAAAGCTAGGCATGAATACCATCTTGCCGGAGTGACCGCACTGAACCATCTCTCAACGCTTGATCTATACTTGACCGGGTCTGCTTTCCAGTCTTTTGAGAATCCCTCATTCTTCAGCTGAATGCTCATCGCCTCATAGCAGCAAACCAGGGCCGCATCATAATCCTTAACCATTTCGAAGCCATATTGGGGAAACTTGCCAGCCTTGATGCTCTTCTTGCTGCTCAAGCACAAGCCTCTGGTAGTCTGATCGCTGTCGTTCAAGAATGAATCAATGGCATCCCCAATTGTGATCAAAGGTTTGTCTTTGAGAACAAAAGTGATGAGGAACATGAGTAGGGCTTTTCCCACATTGCATACCATCACAACGATCATGATGAATTAACTAAAATTCACGCAACACTTCCCAGCGACTTGCTCGCTCAGGCAATAGTCGATATCCCATCCATATGAATGCCAGCGTTCAGCATTGGCTCTGACCTTGGGCAAGAGGGCAGAGCAGTGAAAATAATATCTAAAATCTGAAAGTTCATAGCCGTAGCGTGATATACTGTCTTCAGCATAGCATATCCAGTTGTAAGGGTTAAAACTATTAGGCGTGTCCATATTTATCCAGAAATGTTCTGGCACAACTCGCTTGACCGACTGGTTTTCACTTTTTGTGTTCTCTATGACCACAGCCACCAGTTTCCTCCTAGTACTGAGAAACTCAGTGGCATACGCATTGATGCACTCAGCTCGTTCAAGCCGATCCTATGTTCTCGCTCGATTCTAGATGCTCTCGAGATCTGGAAACCTGGTCTTGTTGTGGGTAGATTATGGTCCACCCTCCACAAATTCTTTGGTGGCAAAGACTATGTTGTACTCGTTCGTTGAGAGAGACAGGAAGGCAACCGAATTGTATAGGAGATGTAACGGTAGGGAACTCAGACCTAGCTACCACCACATCACTAACTTCCACGTCGCAACATTCTTGAGGTTCCGTACACTTGGGACGCCAACATCGACCCACTTCCTTCTCACATGAGCGGTGTCAATTTCTTTCCGAGTAGGCGCTAAGAGAATCTGCATGCAGTAATTGCTTCCACTCAGGAGCATAATGCTCACGGCATTAATACCAAAATATGCCCAGGTGTTGATCTGCTCCGCATGATGACAGTCACCAGCGAATACTTGAGCAATTTCCTCTTTGAACTTCAACATGGATGAGACCCATATCAGGATAGTCAGGTTGGGAAGAAAAGCAGTGGTGGCCATCATGGCCGAGCCCAAAGCCCCGACCGGCCAGCCGACCCTTTTCCACTGTTGTGTGAACCGTTTGGACGATGGATCTATACTGTTGCCGTCGACCCAAAATTAAGTCGTGGCGCCACGGTCGTGTTCAACTTCTCCGGCAGGCACGGAGGTATATGTGATCGAGGGTTTGGTCAGTGCATACTATCCCTAATTGTAAGTCATTTTGGTAGTGATTCAGACGGACGCATGCTCAATAGACGTACCCATGAGATCCATCCATTTTTGAGGATGAATGACAACACCGGGCTTATGCTTGCTCCGGGCCAGAGAGAGCGTCGCGAAGGACAAGGAGATGTTGGCCTGCGGAGGTATGCTGACGACGCCGCGGGGAGAGATAGTTGGTTTGTCTGACTCCTGCCTCACTGTTCTCTTGATTTGTTGGCGTCCAACCGCTAAATCGTATCACAGGGCCTTTGAGCCACCATCGAGGATGAATGAGAGATTTTGGTATTGGTCGAGAAACCAGCCTCGGCGCAGGAGCTGCGGAATTTACGCTAGCAGAAGAGGTTCAACAAGTCCTAAGATTATCCAATTGTATTATCCTCCAACCTGGCGTAAAATGCGCCAATTTTCTGATTGGTCAGTGCTAAAATAGTGCTATTAACCTTAAATTATTATGAACCAACCAAACTCTGCCAGGTAAACCTTATTTTCTTAGCAAAAAGCTTGACATTTGGGATGGAACACCAAAAAAGTTCAATGGCTGCGGTTACAACTTTAAGCTCAATTGTTAAGGGCTTTTCAGCTTTTAAATCGCGTTCTTTTCGAGCGTGAGAGGTCATTAGCTAATGGAGCAGCTTCTATCATATTTAAAGGGCCTGAAATCTCCTCTTAGTGGTGCTTTTAAACCATTTGACAGCTTACACCCTTTGTAACTCACCTCAATTGGGATCTTCACATAAAGTCTGAGTTCAACCCCGCATTGTGCCCCACCACTGCCTCCTCCCTCTTCTCATACAAATTACTACCTACTATGGAAAACCCATTGAAATCCTATGAAACTCAAGGACACTGTTCATTTGGTTATGCTCTTTGAAGCTATACTAATTTCCTAATTAGGAAATGTGTATTTAGTATCTAGTGTACCATCCTTTTGCTGCAAGTACGTAATTCACCCTGGTATCCATACTCTTGATTAACTCGTTAATAGCTTCTTGACTAATTGCCTCCTAACCCTCGCGAATAGCTCGAAATAAGCTTTGATAATCCTCCTCACTTTTGCTCATTTGATTAAGTTCAGGATAATGCTCCTGAATCTACTGCTTGAGTTGCGCCCAAAGGTGTTCAATTAGATTCAAATCAGGACTATAGGGCGGCCAATCTATCACTGATATGCCCTCATCTTCAAACTATTTCTTAATCTTTTTGGCAGTATAAATAAGGGCATTATTCCTGTATAAACGTTATACCAGGTTGCCATGTTCAAGGTAATTAGTCATTAAGAATTGCGAGATAGGAGTTGGTAGTGTATCCGGACTTCTCTAAATCAGGATCTCAATCTATTATAACTATATCTGAACGACCATCTTTATAAATTACACCCCATATCATGACGCTGATATCCTTGCCTTTCTTATAGGGTTGTACCATATCCTTATCCCACTTCTGTTGTAGTGTACGAAATTCAAGGCTACATTTGTCACTCCATATTATCTTGCGCCATTAATCCCAAGTCTAATTCTTATGCGCTTTTGCCTATGCAAATCGTTTAGTAACCACTTCCTGAGTAAGCAAGGGCCTTTTTTTGGCTATCTAATTAGTAATACCCCCATTCTTAAGTAATTTGTAGAGGGTATTTGAATGAACAGTGACCCCAGCTTGGGACTTAAGCAGGGCATAGGTAATCTTCGGATTGCTTTGTATAATACGTAGAATATTTCGTTTATCAACTCTTGATAATGCAGGGGGTCGACCAGAGCGCGGGCGCGATTGCCCTGCGTTGCGCAGGCATTCTCTTTGTAGGGTAGTAGCAACAGTTGTTGGCGTACAAAAGACCTTGCCACCAATTTGCGTATTTGTCAACCCCACGGCGCCTTATATGCAGAAATCTGAGCTCGATCCCATATAGATAACTCTTGATTATATCCTCGATTGCCAGAAATAGCCTTAAGAGGCTCTCGTTGAGCCATAATAGTCGAATGAATAGAGTGGTGAAATTCGCGTGGTAGCATTTAGCGCGTTTTGCGACTCAGACTTTTTGTGGGGTACTGTACATAGGTACAGAAGTGACACTGATGCCCCCTCGTGCTCCCGTGCGGGGAGTAGCAGCTTAGACACCGCGGAGCGCGTAGACTTGGTGTCGGAGTCGAACTCAATCTCATAGTTACCTAGCCATTCCTCATCACTTGCGGCAGCCTAAAATGTGACCTCGACAGGATTCCCAACCTTACGAACCTTCGGTCCGGATGTACACATCTATCTGACGATTGCAATGTCATCGCCGAAACCATGTGGACCCTCGAGTCGGACGGGGAGTTTCTCCAAGGTACTTTTCCCTGCACCGTGGACAGCTAGAGCTTCTCCCTAAAAATTGTGCCTGCAGGAAAACGAGTCTGGCTGAGACCAGGCCAGAGGTATCTGTTCGGACGAGTAAAGAAAGATGGAGTCTTCCAGGCTATCGATCACAAAGGCGTGTCGCGAAGGCAATGCGTCATCGAGGTCGAAAAAGTCAAACCAGGTGATGGGTCTCTGCTTCATACCCGATCGAAGATTATTGTGACAGATGAAAACTCCAGAAGTGGGACATACGTTGATGGCAAGCTGCTGAAGGGGGCAAGCCAAGAGTTGAAGAGTCTACAGCACCATTTGAAGCTGGGGGCATATCCTTACATTTTGACCATCAAATGGCAACCTGTGTGTTTGAGTTTCTTCTTGACGAGCAAGGAGAAAAAGAGCCCGGATCCATTGCGAGTGAAAAGAGATCTACTAGAGCCGCTCGACATCAAAACAATCCAGCCATTCGTGTCGAACCAGACAACGCATGTTGTTGCTACCAAGAGGAATACAGTGCCTGGTCTTCAAGCATTGATCTCTGGAAAGCATATTGTCGATCATTCCTATGTTGATGCATTGGTCTTTGCTGCCACTCCAGATGATCTTGAGGAGGACGAGAATTTGTCACCCTTGGAGCAGGACTTTGATGCTGCGTGGCCTGATCCGGTGCCACATCTGCCACCGCAGGGAAGAGAGCCTACAGAGAAGCCACCTGAATCATACTCGCCCGACTCCACAAGAGAAAATGTCTTCGAGGGTTGGACCTTTGTCTTTCTTGAGCCTGGTCAATATGAGACTCTATTACCTGCAATCACAACAGGTCATGGGAAAGGTCTTTTGTATAACCTCGAACCTGGCAAGACCACCGCAGAAGACGTCGTCACATACATGCGAAATGCTGCAGGGGAAAAAGGGGTTGGTAGTTTCAGCCAGTCCACGAATGAAGGAGGTGTCATCATGGTCAAACCAACCTTAAAGAAAGAATGGTTGCAGTGGGGGGATGAGCTTGCCAATGAAGTCGCATTGAAGCTTGATCAAAAGTACATTGACCAAGCCGATTTTCTAGATGCCATTTTAGGCAATGATGCAGCGTCATTGAGGAAAGCTGTTCCGTTCGAGACTATGAGTGAAAGAGGGGCGCCTCCGCTAATAGCGGGTATGTCGTCCAAACTCCGAGTCATTCAGGATTGCTGATCAATTGCCAGCGTCATCTACGGTAGCCAAAAACCCTCCAAGTACTTCGGTTCCACAAGAGACTCAAACCGCATCACGTCCAAACGACGTTGGAGGCGCAGGAAATCCTAAAGCTTCCCCACCCACGCTGAATCACTCACCTGAACAGGAGGCTCCTCCCCAAAAACGTGCACGTATACGCGCTGCGCCCATCAGTCGGTTCAAAGCGTTCGATGACGAGTTTGATATGGACGCTATAGCTCCATATGAGCCTCCTGATGAGAGCATCGGATCTCAAACTCATCCCTCCCAGGAGAGAGCAACAACGCCGTTCTCGGTTGAGGATGAATCATCACAGATCAATGGGCATGCTGGTGGTGGTGGTGGTGGTGGTGGGCACAAGAGGGCTAGGTCTCCAAGCGACGACGCCATGGTTGATGGACTTCTCCCCGCGGCTGTAGCTATGAAAAAGCGGAAGCTAGCGTTCGATAAAGGAAACAGAGGAAAGAATGTGACCGGAGCGCAGGATCATGCTGAGGAGCAGGATAAACGGAAAGCGCGAAAGGCTCCAGCGAGACAGGAGATGGATGTTCGAGCAGTTGCTCGTGAACGGCGTGAGGCAGAAGAAGAGGCAGCAAGAAGGGATCAGGAGGTTCTTGAAGCTAACCTTGGTGATATTAGCGTGGAAGAAATGAAGAAGCTTGCCGTGGTTGTGGAAATGGAAGTTCCTACAGGCAATAAACGAGCCGACCGAGCCATTGGGGACGCAAGTGACCGCTGGAACGAGCGATGGAATGGGAGGAAGAATTTCAAGAGATTTCGAAGGAAGGGAGAAGGCGATGGAAGCGCCAGGAGGCCAACCCAAGGTGTGATTGTGCCTCTGGTGGAGGTGAAGAGGAAGAACTATGGGATTGGAGAGGCGTATTGGAGTAGTAGTCGGGACAAAGAGAACGACTCCGGACGCAAGAGTGGCCGAGGCGGGAATGTCTCGTCGCAGACTCAAACACAGACCCAATCACAGACACATCCATTGGCGGAAGACTCTACATCACCAACCATGACCCGACTCCAACAAGAAGCTGCCGATATAGTGGAGTCGATCGACGTGGACAGGCCGCGCCAGACTCGATTGACGGACAGGACGCAGCAGAGTCAAGCTAGCGTCAACAGCAGTAAAGGGAAAAGAGCAGCCAGCTCTGCAGCGCATGTTACCGCGAAGAAACAGAGGACAATCCGAACCAAAGCCGCGTCTGATAGCGAGAGCGATGAGGAGTTGAGGTTCAGATTTGGCGGCAGGAGAGGATGAAGACAGCTAGAGAGCCAGAGAGCCAGATAGCCCAGATAGCTGTGTACATTCTAGTTGAGATCTTTTCATTTGCAAGGTTGATATGTTGATGCGTTGATGCGTTGATGCGTTGATGCGTTGTTCAAGTTGTACATGGAGGGTGTTATGGCTTGGCTTCGGCTCTGGAATCATGTCGAGCCCGATGTCGAGCCCGATGTCGAGCTCGGAAGACAGATTCCGGGAGACAGATGTTGGTGTTGGTGTACATAACTCAGGCGATATTTGCTGCTCAGATTTGATGCTCAGATTTGATGCTCAGAGTGTCCCACCGATTGTGACACCGCCATTGCACCTCGGCACCTACTCTTCCACTTACCTCCCACCCTCCATCAGCTCTGTTTCTTGATCGCTTTGTCCTCCGTATCTGCTGTTAGGTGCTTTCCTCTAGCGAGACTGATTTAAGGTGCATTTCCGTCATGCCCCTTTGCGCCCTCAACTGTATATTGTGAACTGGGACAACCCACTTAAGTTAGGACTCGGGCCATTGCGTGGCGTTGCCAGCCGAAGCAACCACGAGAGCCGGTCCTGATCCCAACCATGCCAGGTAAGCACTGTACCACCCACCGCCATCTCCGATCTCTTTGATACGAGATCTCTAACCGGCCTCCAACAGCAATAGCGCTCCCGGTCGCGCTGCCGGCCGCTGCCGCATCGCTCGCCTACCTCAACGCGCGATGGGCAGTCAGCAACGACTGGCGGATCCTGAGCTCTGCCGCTCGCGCGCGGGCACGACAAGCACGGCTCGAGAAGAGAGACCGCATTAGTATCTTCTACGCGCTCGAGGAATTCGCGACAGCGTCCAGAACGGCCGACCTGCCGTTTTTGGTCTTCGAGGGCACGACGTGGAGTTTCAGGCAGACGTACGATAGCGTGCTCCGGTATGCGGCGTGGTTACATCACGGTCATGGTGTCGAGTCACGGCATATCGTGGCGTTGGAGTTCATGAACTGTCCGCAGTTTGTGTTTCTGTGGTTGGCGCTGTGGTCGCTCGGCGCGGTGCCGGCCTTCATCAACTATAACCTGACCGGCGCTCCGCTCGTCCACTCGATCCGCGTGTCTACTGCTCGTCTCCTGATTGTGGATCCGGAGATTCGATCGGTCTTGACTCCGGAGGTGGAAGCGGAGATCACTTCTCCTACATTCCTCTCCCGCAGCAGCACCAGCAACAGCACCAGCAACAGCGACAGCGTACCCGCTTCCACCTCTCCTCTCAAGATAGTCCACTTCACATCGACCATCCAGTCCTCCCTCCCCTACCAACCCGCCTACCGCGCTCCCGACTCCGCCCGCTCTCATATCCGCCCGCGCGATCCCGCCATCCTAATCTACACCTCCGGCACCACGGGCCTCCCCAAACCCGCCATCTCGTCCTGGAACAAATTCAACGTCGGAGGCGCCTTCACCGCGTCCTGGATGGGGCTGAGACCCGCCACGTCCCAAAAGCCCGATCGCTTCTACAGCTGCATGCCGCTTTACCACTCGTCAGCAGCCATGATGGGACTCAGCAACTGCCTCATCAACGGCACAACCTTCGTGCTCGGCCACCGGTTCAGCAGCAGCAAGTTCTGGAAAGAGGTGCGCGAATGCGAAGCCACGGTGCTCCAATATGTCGGCGAGATGTGTCGCTATCTCCTCGCCGCGCCACCCGAGGCCGATCCCGACAATCCGAGCGAGAACCTCGACAAGAAACACAAGATCCGCATCGCGTTCGGCAACGGCCTCCGGCCCGACGTGTGGGAGCGCTTCAGGACGCGCTTCGGCATTGCCACCATCGCCGAGTTCTACGGCGCCACCGAGGGGACATCCGGCGCGTGGAACCTCAGCGCCAACTCCTTCGCCGCGGGAGCCGTGGGCCGCAACGGCATGATCGCCGGCCTGATACTCAGGAAGCACATCTGCATCGTCAAGTTGGACTACGAGAGCGAGATGCCCTGTCGTGATCCCGAGACCGGGTTATGTGTCCCCCTCCCGAGAGGCGAGGCGGGCGAGCTCCTCTGCGCGCTGGACCCGCGCGATATCGAGGCTCAGTTCCAGGGCTATTTTGGCAACGAAGCGGCGTCCAGGAAGAAGGTATTACGGGATGTATTGAAAGGGGGAGATGCGTGGTTCAGGACTGGCGATGTGATGAGGTGGGATGCGGAGGGGAGGTGGTGGTTCGTCGATCGGATCGGGGACACGTATCGCTGGAAGAGCGAGAACATCAGCACGGCCGAGGTGGCGGATGTGATTGGCCGTTTTCCCGGCGCCGCAGCTGGAGGAACCGGAGCAGGAGGAGGAGAAGAAGGAGTGGTGGAGGAGGTGAACGTCTATGGCGTGCAGATCCCCGGCGTCGAAGTCGAGGGCCGAGCCGGCTGTGCCGCTATCGTCTTCAACACCTACAACAATAACAGCAATAATCAGAAGACAGAATTGTCGGAACGAGACAAAGAATCCCTCATGGCCGACCTGGCCACCTACCTCAGCAACTCCCTCCCCAAATACAGCGTCCCCCTCTTCATCCGCCTGGTCAAACACATGGCCCGCACGGGCAACATGAAGCAGCAGAAACACGTGCTGCGGAATGAGGGGGTCGATCTGCAGATCGTGGAGGACAGGCATGGCGAGGAGATCTGGTGGTTGAGGGATCACAAATACGACGGTGGGCGTGGCGAGGAGGGAAGACGCTACGTCCGGTTTCGGCAGGGGGATTGGGACGCCTTGAGGGCGGGCAGGGCGAGGTTGTGACTTGGGTCCCCGGTTGGGTTGGGTGCCAGGTCTTGCGGATGCGGATGCAGGTAGGATGGAGAGGATAGGGGATGAAAGATACACGCGAATGGTAGAGTAGATAACGTAGGGGTATTGGGTTTGACATATACGACAAGATGATCAGATGGACGCAATGAAAGCCTGGCTGGATCCATGATGCGTGATGCGTGATGTGATGCGTTATGGCAGAGGCACGAGATATGACGGGACAAACAAACACCGCAGCAGCACATATGACAGATACATCCCAGTATCTCTAGATGTCAATGCCTAAGTTTCCGACACGGTTTGAAGGTCGGGTAGCGATTTCAGATGGACCAGCATCACTGAAGAGAAGACTACGATCAGGGGAATCTGTCTCAGGCGACAAAGGTTGGCAAATCTCTGATTGTTGCTGGTACAGCGGGAGAATAGCTTTCCGCTCCCACGAGTGACTGCCTGACTGCCTTACTGCCACATACCACGTCTGCACACATGGTAATGTAATGCAGGAAACACTGCCAGCTGCTTCTTTGTACAATGCTCTGGTTTCCACTACTCCGTAAAGCCAAACCATTTTGGAGCTCTCCAAGGCCAAGGTCAGGTGGTGTACAACTGGGATCTGGAGACAGAAATACCCAGTGTCTCTCCCCAAGGGCTTGCTTATTCTCAACCCCCACAACCTCACACGACGATCACGTACATTAGCAACAAGCGTTCCACTTAAAGCTCCTCCTCGTCTGAAGAAGGGCTTCCATCCCGAATCGATAGATCGACAGTTACAGTGCTCGTAGCTGGTCCCTTCACTGACGTTGGTCTTCCTTTGGCAGCCACGAAGCGCTTGTCCGAAGAATTGGTCTCACTATCGCTCTCACTTTCGGTCTCTGACTCGGACTCTGAATCACCATCTCCCAACAGATTTTTGCCGTTGGCTAGATTTGGAGTCGGCAATCCTGATTTCTTGAAGGATGAAGCAGTTGTCTTCTCTGCTCTTTGTACTTCCCGTTGAGCAATGAGCTCTTTCATGTACGAAGGTTTCTCTGCTGATATGGCATTGTGTGGAGCCTTTGGCTTCGCTGGAGGGGCTATGGCAGATTTGATGTTGGTAGAGGTTGACCCGGCCGTGGGATTCTTTGCAATGGTCGAAACATTGGCTGGACGCTGAGTTCTGGAGGATGACGATGACACCACATCGCCACTTTGAGCTTTCTTTGCTGCAACAGCGGTTGACGCTTGCACTGAAACCTTGGGCTTCGAAGCTTTGGAAGATTGCTTTACAGCAGTCTTGGTGGTTGAAGGAGCAGCGGATGACTGGTCTAGGTCTTTTGCCGTTGCGCTATCTGCCGACTGCTTCACGTTGGACTTTGAAACCACCTTCTTCGGAGCCACCTTGGCTGGGACGGGAACCGGTGTAGAACTGCTGTCTTTCCGGCTCAGGGTTGGTGTGGCAGACTTGCGGGAACCGGCAATACGGTTTCGTGGATTTGGCTTTGGTGGCTGGTTTGCTAGATCTGATCTCATTGCAAGATATGCATCCAACGTGAAGCCGGGAGGAACAACTATCGACGTTCCATTGATATTGTACACGTTGTTACCCTTGGGAATAATTGTAGGTCCGTTGGTATGAGGCTTGCTGGACTTGGTGGCTGTCTTCGATGGATGTAGCCTTACTCCGGCTTCAGAAGAAGAAGAATCAGAGAGAATCTCGATACTGGGCACTGCTGCATCTGTTGTGACAATTTTCGCCCCATTTGTGACATTCTTCTGATCAATTCTCGATGTCTCATTGCCCGCATTGGAAGAAGCATCATCTGACGAGTCAGACTCGGGGCCCGATTCACCACTGCTGGCAATAGTCAGGACCGGAGCATTGCCGGCTGCACTTCTTGGGACACCAGGTGCACTGGACTTTCGTGCTGGAAGTTGTACAGCGCTGTGGTCAGCACTGGAATGATCTTTCTGCTCTAGTTGCGCAGGGCGCGAGGGAGTATCACCGCTCCAACTCTGACTTGACATGACCTTGTCAAAAGATCTTGACTTCTTCAGGAACGGCACATTTCCCTTTGCATTGGGCAATGACTCAGAATTCTCCTTGTGCTCCTTGCGACTGGCTTTTTCAACCCTCACATTCGGCTGGCGAAAGGCGCTGTTCTTGCTGGGAGGGCTTTGTGAGAAGCCGAGGCCGAGTTTTCCATCCTTGCTCTTACCCTGACTGACGTTCTTCACCGGGTTACTATTATCCAGCACGGCCTCGCCTGGCTGATGGAGGGAATCGCTCGGCCCGCCTTGTTGCCGTTCGACGGTGGAAGAGCCTTGGCCTACTTCCGTTTCACCCCTCAGAGGTTTACCTGAGAACTCTTCCGGTGCTCGGACATCAGCAGTTCTTGTTCCATGTTTCAGCCATGAATCTTGCTTCTGGGCGGGAACTTTCCCAGTTTTCGGTGTAATGGAGGGCTTGTTACTACTCGCTCGAGCAGATGCCTGAAGATCCTGAGACAGCTGCTCATCAGGCTCGGTCAATGGGATGGCCGTATCTCTTGTTTTGGATGCAGGCACGGAGACTGAAACTTCGTTGTCCGACGTTCCAGATACATTCCTAGCATTGAGCTTGACTGCCGGCTGACCTTTCACTTGGTGGTTGTCAAATTTCGGTGTTTCCTCCTCCTCTTCAAGACGAGACTTCTTTTTCCTCATGCGACGCTTCTTAGGAGGTGGAGCGTCTGGAAGGCTTGAGGAAGGTTGCATTTGTTCCTGGAAATCATGGTGTAAATGTTGTGCACTGCTCGCCACCCCCTCTGCTGGCGCGTTACCATGAGAGATGGCTTCATTGTTCAGAATCTTGAGCACCGAGTTATTTTCCTGCTTCCCATGGCCACTTTCGCTGCCGGCGGAGGCACGTTCTCTCCCTTGTGCTTCCGACGACTCCGCTTCTGCGACGTTGACATCTTGGCGTGGGTGTACACGAGGCGATCGTGGGTGAGTTGCTTGCTCATAATTTGCGTTCTCCTTGTCTGAGTCATTCTCGGACATGTTGCCAGCGATAGGCTCATTACTGAATGCCTGAGGTTGTGCCGGGTGAGACAAGCTGAGTGTATTCAGGCTTCCATAATGTATCGGTCGTTCTGTTGATGCATTTGAATCTCTATTCGTTATATCTGAAAGTGACTGTGACTTGGCTCTTTGCCCAGCAACATCCTCGGCTTCATCCTTCTCTGACGAGTCGTTACTGGCGCTGGCTTGATGAAATTCCTCCTGCCTTTGATCCTCGCCTCTTGACGTGTTTCCATCTTCATCCCCAGACAAGCCCTCTACATGCTCACTGAAATCCCATGTGGTCTCCTTACGTCGTCGCTTGTGCTCCTGTATGAGAGGTCGATTTTCATCCACATGGTGAAAGAGGCCAGATAGCTCTTTTAAACTGATAGCCTTGGGCCCGGCATCTGAGTTTCTTGCATTTCGTGGTCTTTTCAACGCCCTTCGTGACCGAGGTGACATTTGAGTATCATCTATCTCAGACTCGGCGCTTCGAGCTCGATCGTCTCGTCTAAATTTGTAGGAAAAGCTGGAAGTTCGGGATGAAGGGCCAGTTCGATGAGGGGCTGTTTGAGCTGTTGCCTGTGCGGTAGCTATAGAACGGTTACGGCGAGAAGTGTCTGAGGTTGGCGTGACAGGCCCATTTTCGACGGCCCTTTCCTTTGCCAGATCCAATCTGGTTCTTGTAAAGCTTGCTGTCGCACGGGCTCCATTTAGTACGCCCGCGTTTTCGCTAGACGCTGTAGCTGGGTCGCCACCAGACACACGGCCTTGGGAGGTGGAGAGGACAGAGCCGGAGGAGGGAGAATAATAACTGGAGGAAGCATGGGATGTTGATTCTTGAGCAGATACACCTTTGTTACGGGTCTGGTTGTCGTCTGATATTCTCGAGCTAGTTTTTGTAAGCCTCCGTGTTGGTGGAGCAGGCTCGGGTATATCCACATCGTGGGCATCCTGTTGTGCTATTGGTAGGCTGTGGATGCTGTCGCCGACTTCGGGAGATTCCGACTTCGGCTCATCCTCGCCGAGAATCTCACTACCCCGTTGCCGACGATATGCTTCATGTTGTAGATAAGGATCTTGGGTCTCGGGTATGACAACAGGAGATCCTTGACGACGGCTTCCTTCTCCGTGTGGCTTGTGTACGTCCCGTTCGATTGAGAGGACCGGTCGTTCGAATGCCTCACGCTCTTTCAACGTATCAAGACGTCGCCTTCGGGTGGAACTTGGGCTATGACTTCCTTCTCTTCTGGACGCTTCCTCTGTGAACGCATCGAGTCGTGACCGCTTGCCCAGGCTCTGGTTGGTGGTAGGGAAGGGTGGGACTGGTGGACGCAGTGGATGCTGGAATTGCGGGTTGCTTAGATCAGGCACCACCGAACCTTGACGTACATCAAAATACCGTCCTTTAACCTTGCAAATGATTTTGAATGTGGCTTTTTGGTCGTGGGGAGAGGTTGCTGCTCTTCCGGCATCAACGAAGGCATCATATATCGACATCTCGGGATCAAGATCTGCATCGAGCTCGCTATCTTTCAGGTATTTGATTTCCCCTAAAGGCCTGCACATAACGAAGATTAGTAAATGAAGGAGACCATTGGCCTGGTCGTAAAACAACTGACTCGCGATAAAGTCTCTGAGAGGTCTCCCTAAACTGATTCACGAGACATCCAATCGATACCTTCTCTGGGTTATCGATCACTTCCATCAATTTCTTCTCGTTCTCTAATGCAAGTATAGGACGCGATGGTGTTGAAGACCCAATATCTCGGAGATACACATCCTCAGGTATGACTCTCGCAAATACTCGAATCCGAACCATTTTTCCTCACAGGGCTTTCCAGTTGAGGCAGGCTCTGGACAGGGAGAGGATCTTGTCAAGGCCTTTTGATATGAGCGCGATCGACAAGCACAAGCGGGTTGAACCGTGCTGTTGGTTCAAGAAGTTGAGGTAAGAGTCAAGACAATCCGCCGAAGATGGAGATGCTTGGCAAACCTTGAAGAATAGGGGGAAATGGCCAGTGGACCGTGTACATTGGGCATGGAATGATAGAGAAGCTGGGCGGGTATCAAAGGCGATGACTGTCTAATCGCCACAGGTTGAGGACAGATGACAGAGATAAATAGAGACTACAATGTTTCAGAGGAAGCGTCTGTTTCTATAGTCCATAGGACCAAACACCGCTAGAAACGTCCAGTCAAAATTACAAGAATGGTATTTGCAAGAAGCCGCTTCTGACCCCGAGCAGGACTTGCTTAACGGATACCTAAATGCCATCACAGTCTTGCAGACGGAGTATCTTGTCTTTGAGGCCAATGGTCTGCAGATGCTGACTAGTTGTAGAACTCCTAGGTGATCGAGATATTGACTATCTTGATGTCCTCCTCAGGCTTTTCCTTGTACACCTTGGTATTCTCTATTCTGTGGATGACATCCATCCCCTGAAAGGCACGACCAAAAATGGTGTGTTTCTTATCTAGCCACGGCATCTTATCCGATCCTGTCGTGATGAAGAACTGGGATGCTGAGACAAGTCAGAAACTCTATCTTCGTGAGTGGATCAGATCGAACTCGGCTTACCATTTGTGTTGGGGCCTGCATTAGCCATGCTGAGGGTGTATGCTTTGTCATGTTTGAGGTCAGAAAATTCGTCTTCGAAGTCTTTGCCCCAGATACTTTCTCCGCCAGTCCCGTCTCCCAATGGATCACCACCCTAGACTGGTCAGCTTCAGAATGCCTAGGCACGGACGTTGTTTGCTTACTTGAATCATGAATTTCCGGATCACCCGGTGGAAAATGGTGTTGTTGTAGTATCCATTCTTCGCATGGGTCACAAAGTTCTCCACAGCCCTAGGGGCTGCTTCAGGAAACAACCTCAAGCTGATGTCGCCGTATGTTGTGTGTACTATTGCTACTGAGCCCGTTTCGGCCTTCTTCGCCTCTTCTTGCTTCTGTGCCCCTTTCCTTGGCTTCTCGTTCTGCACATCCCTTTCAGACTTGCTGATTTCTTCATCATTTGTAAACATGTAGAACCGGACTTTACCAAAACCGGTAGCGAAGAGCATTGGGTCGCGCTCCTCTGCTTCTTGCAGCAGCGGATTGGCACTTGCTGCCATTGAGACGGTCACCACGCCTTTCTTTTGCGGTTGACCTTGGTACAAGGCGACATTTAATGCCCGGAACGGCTCCTCTTTACCATATACTTTGACGACCCTATTTGTCAGAATGTTGATCACTTTGATGCCAAGTAACGATCCATAGAGGATGAAATGGCCCGATTCATCGAAGACGACATTGACTCGAGAGCGGACGCCAGGGGTTTCCAGCTCTCGTTCTGTTGCCATCCGTCTCCCAAACTCCACCTCTTCGAGTTTCTGTAACGCGGTGCCTGCTTGCTGCATATCCGTGATCGTCGTCAAGGACTCGTCATAAGATCGATGTAGCTTTGCAGTGGAGAAATCGAAGATGCGTATCCTTCGATCGGGAAATGACCATGTTGCAAATTGGTGTCCAGAAGGAGATATTGTGATGGACGAAGGACACGATCGAGCCTTCTTGAAGTCGAAGAGGTTGGTAGAGGACTTCATCTTGAATACGTTCTCTGGCTTCTCGAAATTGCCGGAGGGTGTCCAATACTCTAGCATTCCGGCATCATCCGCCGACACGACACAATCGTAGGTAGGGTTGAACGCCATGGCCACGACCGGCGAGCGATGAACATTCTTCAGAACATGTATGGGCATCTGATTTTCGCCTCGGCCATCATAGATCCAAATCTCCTTGCCAACTGCAACAGCCAGGACTGGTGCGGAACCACGATTATGCACCCAGCAGATACATGAAGGAGCTGTCTCGAGGTTGATCATCGACAGTAAATCAAACGTCACAACATCGTACAACTTGATAGACCTATCGTCTGCGTCTCCTGCCGTTGCGAAAGCAGTCCCGTCAGCACTGATGCTTGTGCTCTGTATTCGGCCATTGTGCGCTCGGTATTCTTTCGCAAATTCTATACCAGTGGCGATCTTCTTCCAAAACTTGACGAAGCCGTCAATGGAGGTTGTGATGATGAAATCTGAAGGCGAAGGAGCAACAGTCACAGTAGCCACCTGATCCTTGTGCATTAACGATTTGGAGTATCTCTGGCCCTTAGGCAAAGCCTCAACATACAACGCTTCATATGGAAGTTTCCGCTTCTTCTTAGGAGGAATAGTGGATGGTAAGGCCGGACCGAAGTCATCGTCTGAGGAGGATTCTTCTTCTATTAAACCGTTAGATTTAATCTGTACCGGGCGCTTGACGGTCAAATACCATTATTAGTTCTGTTCTGCTCATCGACTCTAGACCGCTTCCGAGAGGCCATGCCCACAATGCCCACACTGGGAAAAGCGCTTCTAAGTTGCTAACAAAGGTCAACCCCTCATCGTTGTTGGGATAAGTATTGATGTATGAAGATCCTAGACCTCAATCACTTTTCTTCTCCGCAGACGCAACAGCGCACAGACCCACATCGCGAGTTTCGTGCGGAGGACAAAAAGTTTCCAGCCTGCCAGATCAAACAACAGCAAAGCTTCGAGCTCGAAGCACCGAGTCAACCATCTTCAATCTCCTTGACGTGGCTTCTGCTTGCAATGGTCCGTGAAAGCCATTCCTGGTCCTACTTCTTTACTCACAGATACAGGCTTTCAGCAATAATCCTACGCAGATCTTTGCAGACGACGTACAAGAAGAGAAGGGTGAAAATGCAAGACTGTCAGCTTTTGTTGGCGCAATCGCGGTAGGCGACTTGGTCAAAAGTACTCTAGGACCTAAGGGAATGGACAAGATATTACAGTCTGCGTAGGCACAACCACAACCACCCCACGACTATGCCTGCATTCTGACCAATATAGGTCGACCGGCGAGATAATGGTGACGAACGATGGTGCAACTATTCTGAAATCCATAGCTCTCGACAATGCGGCTGCAAAAGTTTTGGTCAATATTTCCAAGGTCCAGGACGACGAGGTCGGAGATGGGACAACCTCTGTGGCAGTTTTGGCAGCTGAGCTGCTACGAGAAGCAGAGAAGCTTGTAGAGAGGAAGATACATCCACAGACGATCATCGAGGGATACCGGATAGCCAGTCATGCTGCTCTTGCTGCTTTAGAGAAATCTGCAGTGGACAACAGTAAGGACAAGGCTGCATTCCGACGGGATTTGTACGCCATCGCAAGAACAACTCTCAGCTCCAAAGTCCTGAGCCAAGACCGAGACCGGTTTGCGGAACTTGCTTGTGACGCTGTCCTCCGACTCAAAGGCTCTACAGACCTTAGTCACATTCAAATCATCAAGAAGGCGGGCGGAAAGCTAAGTGATTCATATCTGGACGAAGGATTTATCCTCGACAAGCGCATTGGGGTGAACCAACCGAAACGACTGGAAAATGCGAAGATCCTCTGCGCAAATACTGCGATGGATACAGACAAGATCAAGATCTTCGGAGCACGAGTCAAGGTCGAATCCACTGGCAAGCTTGCCGAGCTGGAAAAGGCCGAGAGAGAGAAAATGAGGGCGAAAGTGGAAAGAATCAAGGCACATGGAATCAATTGTTTCGTGAACCGGCAGCTGATCTACAATTGGCCTGAACAGCTCTTCTCCGAAGCTGGCATGGTATCAATAGAGCATGCAGATTTCGATGGTATCGAGAGATTAGCACTCGTGACGGGAGGCGAGATTGCGTCCACGTTCGACCATCCGGAGCACGTCAAGCTTGGCCACTGCGATCTCATTGAGGAAGTTATTATTGGAGAAGATACCCTTATCAAGTTCTCGGGCGTGGCAGCTGGCCAAGCGTGCACAGTCGTCCTTCGCGGAGCTACAGAGCAACTCCTTGATGAGGCTGAAAGATCACTACATGATGCTCTAGCAGTCCTCTCACAGACAGTCAGAGAACCGAAGACGACATTGGGCGGTGGTTGTGCGGAGATGGTCATGGCCAAAGCGGTTGACTCGGCAGCACATAAGATTGGAGGGAAGAAGAGGATAGCGGTGGACTCATTTGCCACGGCACTTCGACAACTACCTACAATCCTGGCAGACAATGCAGGGCTGGACTCCAGCGCACTTGTCACCGAGTTGCAGGCCGAGGTCTACCGAGGGATGATGAGCTCGGGCTTAGACCTGTTGACCCCTGGTGGAGGTATTGCCGACATGAGAGATATGGGAGTCATTGAGAGCTACAAACTCAAGCGGGCGGTGGTCTCATCCGCCTCGGAGGCTGCAGAGTTGCTGCTAAGGGTGGATAACATTATTCGAAGTGCTCCGAGGAAGCGGGAACGCATGTGAAGTACTGGTTGTTGAGCCCATAGCATAAGTCGGTGTTGCTCATAAAGAAAGATCTTCCGTAATGGAATGATGGGTAAGCCATGAGCTCGAGCTTGCCCCATCAATCCCAGGATAACAGTGATTCCTGCTGTAGATTACAAAGCCGGGAGGTATATCATCATTCCGGCCACTAGTAGATTTTTGTCGAAGAAAGTGGCAGCATGGTGTGGCACATTGAGAACAAGACCTTCGGCTTGATTGGTATCATAGCAGTTCCCACTAACTTAGGCTCTCCCCTCCAGCAGAGTCCTAGACAGCATAGCGTCTAACTTAAGGCAGGTGCCAGCATTACGCAGGAAAGAACTGGTGCCGGAAAGGTCGCATGAAGATCTGAAACCCGATCATGACGATGTGGATGTGGTGCGCTATCAGCTCAAAGCCAGTTCTGTGGTGGTTGCCCTCACTAGACATCTAAAATACAGAGTTCGGGTGAAATACTACTACGGTACGTGGTACGTGGTACGTATCTCCGCAGGTGCCCAGGCCCCATCACGGCTCCAGGTTAGGCTTCCCGAAGCCCGGACGCTAAGCCACTAAGCGAGTTAGTTAGCAGAGCAGGGCGCACACTCAGCCCCTTCTTCAGCAGCCTTCGTCGACCTCGTTCCATGTTGGTCCACAGATCAATCGCTACGCAAAGCTCAACATCCATCTCGTCCCCTCAACTACTACACACTTCTATCTACTACATACCATCGATACAATCTGCAGGCTCTTACTGACGTTGCTGACGTCCGCTCATACATGGACGCCTAAAAGAATGGCTGCTCCCTTCCGTCGCCAACCAGGTCTTGGAGGGGGCTCAACGAAGAAGAAACTTGCATTCTGGGCCTTTCTGGCTGCTTTGACAGCTGCCCAGTACTCCAGTCACGATACTGTCAACGACCGGATACCAGATCCCACCTCTCGAGAAAATCGGATCCAACGAAGCGCAACTCCCCTCTCGGCCGGCCGCAGTCCTACTGAGAGTGCTCTTCACAAGCTTGATACAACATATGCAAAATACAGAAATACCCATACATCAGACAATGATGATTTCATGTCTGCCTTGGCTCCGGCTCGCATTGACGATGTCGTAAGAGCACCCCCTGCGAGAAATGGCCAGCCCTCAGGGCTGTCCTCGCTGCCCGCGGCGCGATCTTTGCAGGACTGGGAGGTGGAGGACTTCATCCTTGTAGCTACTATTGACGGCAGCTTACATGCCCTCGACCGCAGGAATGGAAGGGAAAGATGGGCCTTGGGCAATCCAGACAGTCCCATGATCGAAACTATTCACCATCGTGCCAATCGATCCGACAATAATGATCTGGATTCCGATGATGAGTTCATGTTTATCGTCGAGCCAAGTCTTGACGGCAACCTCTACATTCAACACAAAGATCCTGCCATTGGACTTCAACGTCTGGATATGACGGTAAGGTCATTGGTAGATCGAAGTCCTCAGCGCACTCGTGACCCACCTCTGGTATTTGTGGCGCGAAAGGAAGCATCAATGTATACCATTGACGCTGCAACTGGCAATGTCAAGGATTTTATCGATACCACAGCCACTTACTTCAATGAGGATGCCACAAAGGGTAGTTGTCGAAGGCTGAGTGGTTTTGAGGTCGACGAACAAGATTGCGAGCCTGCCGGTGTCCTACATGCTGGCCGCACTACTCACTCCGTTGTCATTCAGGATGGCATTACCCGCCAGATGATATGCACAATAAAATATTCCGAGTGGACGCCAAATAACGGAGATATGGATCTGCATGGTCAGTACAACGTACCTTTCGACAACCGAAAGATCCACGCATTCCATGATGGGCGTTTTATTGGATTAGACGTGTCCGGAGACGACCGTAGAACTAAGTTTCATGGCAAGTTGGACACCCCAGTGGCAAGAGTCTGGGATATCGCTCGTCCTATTGGCCATTTGACCAGCGAATCTTCTCTGGTTATGTTTTCGCCGCCTGCTGACCCAGCACACCTCAACACCATCCAATGGGATGGTGAGCACGGTCAAGATAAGGTCTTTGTCAACCGCACAGGCGCTGGCTGGTATGCGATGTCAGAATTGCGATATCCTGGCATTACCAGTCAGGCGAAGAAAGCAAAGATTAATACCGTCGGCGGCCTGGAAACGAGATATCTGGATTTTGAAGCGGATTCTGACAGCTTGATCGGTTACCACGACCTAAATATCATTGGAAAGGGAGACCAGGTACCGCTGACGATATCCGGCCCACTTTCTGTCTCGGAACTTACGGTGCCGCCTGAGAAAGATTTAGACACCTCATCGCCATTGACAGTACCTTCAATCATAGCCCATCCCACCTCCACATACTCTACGGGGATGTTGGTGGTGATGACGGTACTTTTTGCATTTGCCTTTGCCAGGAACTGGAAGACGAACCACACATCGCTCCAAACCCACAGGAAGCAAGGATTACAGACCCTGACGGAGAAGCCATTGCCCGATCTTCCACGAAGCAGGTCGCAGTCTTTCACCAATGGTACTTCACTGGCAGCTGTCGGTGATGTTCATGTCAGTATACACACAGGCAACTTGGCAGCGCCTCTTGTTGAGGAGTCTTCATTAGCTTGCGAACCAGTAGATCAGCAAATAGTAATGAGAGACCTACCGAGCCCGCAGCTTCGACAGAATTCAGCTGGCCTGCTGGACCAAGGTTCCGAGAGCGAGTCCGAGGACGAAAGCGCGGAGACCAAGAATGGCGAAATCACCCCCGGGACGAGAAAGAAGACCAAGCGTGGCAAAAGAGGAGCCAGAAAGGGCAAGAAGGGGCCTAAGAAATCCATGAATCCTGACTCGGTGGAGGATCTCATGATTGTGCCCGAGAGAATGCAAAAAGACGGAGAAATGATTGTTGGACGGCTTCAGATTGACACCAAGACATGCTTAGGGAATGGTAGCTCTGGAACTGTTGTCTTTCCTGGGCAATTCGACGGTCGAGAAGTGGCAGTCAAGAGAATCGTTCGAAACACACACAGTCTGGCGGCAAAAGAGATCAAGCATCTGCTGTCGAGTGATGAAAATCCCCATGTCATTCGATACATTGGCAAAGAAGAGACAACCAACTTCACTTACATTGCTCTTGATCGTTTTACCGCATCTCTGGACCAGGTCGTCGAACATCCTGAGAGATATCCAACCCTGGTGTGTCCTCCGAAAGGTCTTGATGTCAAGGACGCCTTGCGTCAAATCACAGACGGAGTGCAGCATCTACACTCTCTCAAACTCGTTCATCGCGACATCAAGCCCCAGAATGTCCTTGTGCGAGCAGTAAAAAGCCACCGTCCGGTCATCGGACAGCCAAAGCTACAATTCGTCATCACCGACTTCGGTCTCTGCAAAACGCTTGACGATGGCCCAAACTCCACCTACGCACCAACAGCCAACCACACCGCAGCAGGGACCTCTGGCTGGCGCGCGCCAGAACTGCTCGTCAACTCCAAAGCCACCGTCGCCGCACCCCTCGCCTCAACCGGCACGGCCTCTACCCGATCTGCCTCCCATTCTTCAGACGGGACCACCATCGACCCCCCCACAGGCCGCCGCGCCACAAAAGCCATCGACATCTTTTCTTTGGGCTGCGTCTTTTTCTACATCATGACGCAAGGCCGCCACCCCTTCGACGTGGGCGGCGAGTCCCTCGGCCGCGACCTCAACATCAAAGAGAACCGCTCCGATCTCGAAGTGCTGAGACTGTACGACTACTCGTATGAGGCCGACGACCTGATCATGCAGATGCTGAAGCACAATCCACGCGAGCGACCCGACACCACCGCCATCCTACTGCACCCCTATTTCTGGGACGTGGACACCAAACTCGACTTCCTCTGCGAGGTATCCGATCGCTTCGAGCACGAAAAACTCACGCCGGGCTCGCCGCACCTGGCGGCGCTGGAGGCCCAAGCACTGAACGTCATCGGCCCGAGCAACGACTTCTTGAAGGCGCTACCCAAGAACTTCATCAACGAGATGGGCAAGCAGAGGAAATACACCGGCAGCCGCATGTTGGATCTGCTGCGCGTGATCCGCAACAAGAAGAATCATTTCCACGATCTGCCGGAGAATGTGCGGGAGATGATGATGGGCGGGACGGCGGAGGGCTATTTCGGCTTCTGGGGGAGGAGGTTCCCGAGTCTGTTGGTGGTTTGTCATGCACTTATTTGGGAGAGGGGCTTGGTTGCCGGGTGGAGGTTGGACAGGTATTTTTAGAACGCGTGAATGAGTTGGGTGTAGTTATAGGTATAGATGTAATCACTCATGCCAGTCTGTGTTCGTGTATGTATTATTGCCGTCTCGGTATATATATCCATATGAAAGTCTCCGATCTCGAAGGACTGGTTCCTAGTGTGTCGGTGCGACGGTTCGGTAGACTTGTATGAAACCAGGAGGGTCTCGCGAACCACCACCAGCAATCAGTCCCGATCGCCATTTCCCATCAATGCCAAACCCGAATGATAACGTCTGCCACCGATGCGCGACAAGGGTTTGATGGCATGCCTGTAGCAGAAATGTTCTTCCAATGTATGATCTGTCGAAGCCTCATCTGTGGCAAGGTCAATCAACCACAGGCATTCTATCGATTCAACATGGTCCAGAGCGTCAATGTGTCCGGATATCATCTTCAATTCCCAAAGATCGTACAATGCCGGTGGCTTCTGAATAGGGTACGATGGAGCTGGACACTGGGGTGCAGAGGCATGCTCGATTACTGCATAATGTGGAATCGAGAATATATGGGCCCCAGTGGACCAAGCGACTTCAGCCACTGAAATTGACATGGCAAGAGGGCGTCCCGGGTCTGAGCTATACACTGTTCTGTAGAGGTGGTTGGAGCGTCAATTTGTTTCGATAAGTCTGTTATCTGAGAGCTTGAGAGTGCGGCGTTGTCTTGAGTCTGGAAGGAGTCATAGCTGCCCTCGTATTTTCGTGAATGTCCTCTCTGCTGCATCATACGCCAGATCGATTCCTGTCCCTCAAATTTCGTCATGTGGGTGTTCGTTGGCTCGAGGAAAGGAAGATACTCCAAATCAGGATCAGGCCTTGGCCGTAGATCAAGAGTTGTGTCGAGTGGCAGACGAGAGCAAGCACATAGCAGGGGTGGTCTTATAGCCCAATATGCCTGCTTCACGCATGGAGTCGAATGATTTTGGCACTGACAGGTCCTCTGTGCTTCGGGTGAAATGGTTTTCACAGATTTAGAGTCAGGGGCAGGTAGACCTGGCATTGGGGCAGCAACGTCGTCTCCCATAGGTGAAGGAAAGCCAGACGGGAGATTGATTGGGTGAAGCCATTCATCCCAATTAAATTCGGATGGTGGAGGCCGCGGGTCATGGAGGGGCATTTCCAGGGAAAACACACTATCAGACGGTACAACACCTTCGACAATGGATCTGACATTTTCGCCCCGTGTGGGTGGTCGAGCATGCTGGGGCCTTCGATATCCACGAAGTGGGGTTGCACGAGCTCTCGTTGGCTATCTACGTTGCATCTCAGATAGTCTATACTTCATATGAGTGTTTCCTAACCTGGTCATACTCTCCAAAGCTCAGACCAATACTGACAGGGCGCCGGAACGGCATGGTCATCTGCAAGGTCATGAAGTTGGAGATATGCCATGTTCCATCGACATTCCGTTCTCTGGATATGGTAGAGCCGGAACCTGAGCTTGAAGTCGCTTGAGAGTATCAAGCTTGGTTTGAGAGATATGACCGCGGCGCACGTGCATTTTCAAGTGATCCTGCCTCAACTTGGCAGAGGCCCAACCTGCTCACATTTTCAGAGCCATACGCCATACCGAGAACAGGCGGTGGATCTCGAAAGTGCACCAGTCAGCACAGCCCCGGGGTCCTCCATATTGGGCAGGATCATGCTTATACAGGGGGCAGACCAGTGGACAGTCCGATCTGTTAGCTCGTCGTTGGCGAGTCTTCGTGCTGCTGGATATCTGGTTTGGTACAACATCATCAGGCATGATGGCAGTCGCCTCCATCGATGAATTGATACTCAATTGAATGCAGGAGACAGCCCTATTTCTATTCCGAATTCGACGGTCAGTAATCCAGTCAATAGCATCAACATTTCATTACTCGGAGCACATGCAGAAGGTGCACCAGAATCCTAAACCATTCTGCCATTTCCAAAGTCACCTTCAGCACAAACTTCGCTGCCCTCACGGCAAAAGAGATTTGGAACTCGGAAGGGAACCATGACCACCATGCGGCATGAAATGCTGCAAATTGCACAAGCATTGAAGACTTACAAGGCTTGAGAGTGGTGAGCCTCCTCGCTACAATCTGCATCTCTCACCAAGGGCATACAACCTTCGTGAGGGGCAGCTTTTTGGCCCTGGCAAAGTGCAAGGGGATAAATCGAAGAAAGGGAATGTTCTGTTTGGGAAATGCGGCATTCAGAAGCAAGGTTCTTGTGCAAGGTCGAAGCTACCCAAAGGATACCCAAGGGGCAAGGCGTCATCCAGAAACGGGACGTCAGTAACTTGCGAGGCATCGCGGTGGATGTGCAGCCTCGCGCGAATCCTGCCCTCCAAGGCCTGACTTTTCCCAGCACAGCATAGCCATGTTGATTAGTGCACCTGCTTTGCCGGAGTGGAAATGACCAATAGAGTGGCAGAACTCCAAATGAGACAAGTCAAATGGCAACGCTTCAGCATTGAACTATCGACTGGCCATACTATCAATCAGATAGTTGAAGCAATCGATGAGCATCGTCGCTGTACGGAGCGCTACAAAGTAAAGGCAGCGGTTGCCATGAGCCATGCCCCTTCTTTGCCATGCATGATTTGTATCGAGATGTCGAATAGGATGAAGAAACGGCTCTGCTCTCTCTCAAATTGCTGCGCAGGGCACATGTAACGGAGTAAGTGCAAATTCGCGGTACGGCACAGCGAAATTGCAGTAGAAATTGTCCAATCAAAAGCAGGCGAAACGCAGTGGTTCCACGTAGAAAATCCAACCAATAACTAGGCGCTCATAGCGTCGGACACGAGAGTACAGAGTAACTGTACATCAGAGTATAAAAGGATGCCAAATCAGGGACTCTTTAGACGCTGCTTTTGGCACCCTCTGTGTTACGACACGGATTGCCCTGTGGATTGCCCTATGGCCCAGAAGGGCATTATTAGGGCAGGGCATGGCGCTGGCCAAGCATTTGCTATACGGCATGGCCAAATGCTCCAATTAGCGCTAGGCCGCATCCGTCCTTAGGGCTGAGGGCTAGGGCAGGCTTGGCACTCCGAGTGCGTCATATCTCTATCCTCGCCAGCGTTCGGAAAAAGCACAACCGTAGCAACCGTACCAATGGTACAGTGGTACGGAACAGGCCCTCTGACGGTTCCAACGGTACAAACCCAGACCCTCTGTGTTAGAATCCCTGCGTTTATGATACGTATCTGTTACGTACTAGCATGATGGTACAAGGTCCCCGCATGCAAAACGCACGAAACGCTCTTGTAACTGTTACGCCCTGTTATTTATGGCAGTGAGCATTGCTATACGAAGTGAACGCCAAATGCTGTTTCTGAGCTGTCACAGTAATGCGCTTCTATAGCTATTAGTATGAGCAAATACTCCTCTTGATAGGAGTAACTCAATCAATTCAATTGGTATCTCCGTACGCTATTTGCTACATCCTCTAACACTCTGTACCGTAGCAACCGTACCAGTACCTAAATAGGTAGTAAATATAGATAGCTTAGTGTTGAGATTCGAAGCAGGAGGCGGGATCTGTGGCGCTTGTTCGTTGCCAAGTAGAATAGAATATTCAAGTTCGCCGATTTTTCTGCTTACATATTAGTAACCCTGCTCAAAATGGATAATTCAGCACCCTCATCGCCTTCAACTGATATCCTTGATGTTGATAACATCTCTATAGATGAGATAGAGCCCTCTGAAGCCTCTACCTCCGCTAGCACCTCTATACCGCTCCACCGTGGCCGTCCTTCAAGGCTGTCAACTGTATCCCCTCAATTTTATGGATATTCGTTTCGAAATGACGGAATTCCGTACACTATCCGTGAGAGATCAGCTGTCAGAAAGGGCGGTAGACCATCTCATATCTGGCGGCATGGTACAGAGCTTTATTCGCTGAAACAGCGCTCTGTTAGCTGGATGTGCAATATCTGTTGGGATAAGGGCAGCGCTGTTATTATGTCTGGCGGTAATACAACAAGGCCTATTAGGCATCTGCTTGAGAAGTATCGAATTCGAAGCGAAGGTCAAATACAGGCTGGTGAGAGTAGTGAGGCAGCGCAGGCAGCGCAGGCAGCTCCTATAACAAAATCGATTCTACAACAACATATTGAGGGCGCTCAACAACGTCCTAGCCAGCTCTCAGTTGACGCAGTTCTGCTTGCTCTTGTTCAGTGGATTGTGCTTGCTCATATTGCTCTCAGCTGTGTTGAGTTGCAGGCGTTTCGAGACCTTCTGAAGCTGTTGAACCCATTGATTTGCGGTTATCTCTATAGGCCTTAAAAGAGTGCAAGGCGCTCATTCTGGTGAAAATATCGCTAAAGCAATCATACGGGTTATCCAGGAGTATGATATAGCTAACAAAGTGGGTTAATTTTAAGCCGACAACGCAGGAAATAACGACACTTATATCACAGCAATTCTCAAGGAGATCTCACCCTCGTCCACTGCGAATCAACAGCGTTTACGCTGCTATAGGCATGTTATCAACCTTGCTGCCAAAGCCTTTCTCTTTGGCGATGATCCGGACGCGTTTGAGCTCGAAATCAACACTCTTGAGAAGCTTAAGCTTGAAATTCGCCATAAACGCGAATTACTGGCCTTATGGTGAAAACGAGGATCTATTGGCAAGCTCCATAACCTAGTTATTTGGATTCGAAGGAGTCCGGAGCGCAGAGAAAGCTTTATGAGCCTATCAAGATATAATACAACTTTGAAGCGTTTATACTCGAATTCTACGTGTTGAATGGTACTGATTTGATGATAGAACTGATGGTCCTTTCTGACAACGCAACTCGCTAGAATTCAACGTATCTCATGCTCCATCGCGCCCTCAAGCTTCGACCTCAAAATAACAACGATTTGCGCAATGAATACCAATGATCTCAAGGAGGATACGCTCTCCGCAGAAGAGTGGGATGAGATAGAAGAGATCGAGAAGATCCTGACGCCATTTTACAAGGTCACAAAGCGACTTAAGGGCAACGCTATTGATGGTCACCACGGTTCTATTTAGGAGGCGCTGCCTGCGGTTGAGCTGCTTCTTCAGCATCTTGAGAGGCTTAAAGAGACGTACAAAGGCAATAGCTATCTTGCTACAAGCATTAATCTCGCATGGGTTAAGCTTGAGGAGTATTATCGACTGATGGATACCACGCCTATCTATACTACTGCGGTATTTCTTCATCCGAAATTTTGATTCGAATACTTTAAGAAGAGATGGAATACCAAGACCCTACGATTATATCAAAGACCTAATCTTGCTGCTATTCGCAAGCTCTACGATGAAGAATATCGTAATAATGCCACCAAGGCAACGTTCCAAGCAACAACCGCGAAGAAGCAGGAAGAGCAGGATATATTTAACGCGTTTCTAAATGAAAATACAACACCAAAGGATGAGTTTCATATCTATATTGATAGCTCAGCAACACCGCTTGAGGATGACGCAAATCTCTTCACATGGTGGGCAAATTCGGCGTCGCCACAGCTTACATCGATGGCATTCGATATTCTAACAATCCCTGCAATGAGTGCCGAAACAGAATGCGTTTTCAGTGGTACCAAGCTCACTATCTCACCGAATCGAAATAGGCTTGGTGAGTATATTATTGAGGCCACAGAGTGTCTGAATCGGTGGTATAAGGCAGGGCTATAGCGACGATGAACTCAGACGCAGTAACAGCATGCCACAACGTACGTACAAAACTCAACAGCATAGCCTTCTATCTCAACTGCGAATTTGACCGAACTAGGAAAATCAAGAGGCCCTCATCCTTCCTTCATCCTTCATTCCTGTCGCTAGTACTATGTGTACCACTGGTACGTACCAATGGTACACTGTTCCAACGGTACAGATAGTGCTCCTGGTTGGAACGGTACGGAACAGACCCCCTTGTACCGTTTCGTTCCACTGTCTCCGAACGCTGATCCTCGCCTCCATAGCACTTAGATAGTTCATCCATCCATCCATCACCTTACCACGCAGTCATACAGTGTTTCATACGCAGCTATTTCGTGACTCTCCGCTTCCATAGCACCCCCATACCCTGTTGCCCGGCTTTCCGTGTAACAGTCCGACAACATCAGAGCCGAAATGACGTGAACGTCTTGAAAAAATTTGGAATCGGACGCAGCAATCATACTCGAATATGTCAAAAATTGCGCAGCAGAACCGCTCTTTTACGCACATCTCCGAAAAAACAGAGCACTGATTTTATGAACCTCCAATAGATATCATTGTGATATGAAATCAACCCGAACAATTAACGCTCACAAACCTTCGCGGTAGATCGCGCTCGCTCAGCCGAAGTGGCATTACTGTACTTGTTCTTGTAACTCTGTAGAAAGTTGCCTGCCCTTCGTTATTGAGTTCAGTTTCGAATGCTCGTGTAATCAGGCCGCTACAGTTCGCAGGGCACAATTTTGTGTCACCCCTGAGTTCATCAAAGCACCTTCGACAGAGAAGATGATTACAGGGTTCACAACTTTCAACTGTAAGCTTTATTTCATGGCGATAAAATCGAAAAAGAATAATGGCAGGTGAGAAGGCTTGATAGTACGCACCGAATCAGTTTATATCTATCCTTACATTTATCACAGCTTTCAGAAGCAGAATATGAGCTGCCCAAGCCTCGGTGGAATTGTGAACCAAGTTTTGCCAGTGATTTTATTCCGTGAAAATGACCGGATATTGTTGAGTTGGGTTCATTGGTCCAGCCGAAAAAAGGTATTCCGGCTGCAACATAGGTATCATACGAGATAGGTGAGGGTGGTGTAGGCAATCTCGTTATCTCGCCGAATTGGGCTGAGTTGACAATCTGGAAATTGAAAATCTCTGCCACGTCAGATCTCCAGATATGATCTGGGTATACGTCTGGGATGATTGATTGTTTTATCTTTCCGCCCGCCGCTATTGACATCATGTCATTCTTGGGCAGGTCCGTTCCAGGAAGAGGAGCAAAGCCGCCTCCCCTTAGTCGTAGGATGCAATGAAGAGTGCTTTTCTGTCGACTTTAGACTTGGCTCATTCTACTGAAGTGATCACGGACATTAGTGATCAGGAATGGGGAATTCTCACTTTTTGGATATTGAAATCGGATAGGGTCTTGCCCGGCGAATCTTCCCAGTCGCAGACAATCCTTGACCCCTGAAGACAACAGTCAGAAAAGCAAAGCACGTAATAGTGTCATTGAGACATACTTCTTGGATATTGTAATGCCCCAATGTTTTATCTAGATCAAAGGTCATCATTAGCGTTGAAGGTGACCATCAGATGACCTTTCTCACCATTTTCCAGTCTTCTACCTTCAAAGCTACATTCGTAGGGAGTTTGGCAGCCATCTCGTTTTGCAATTGTTTTCACTAGTGTAGCAATCGTATCATCTGGATGCAGGTAGATGTAGAAGTCTCGGAACGTTGAAACCAAGATCCTCATGCCTCCAGTGGCTGGAATAATCTCAATCTGCAAACCACCAACACACTCGAAGCCAGTCACCTGCTTTTCGATCGAGTGACCCGAACCATAGGGTACTGCCACAAATTGTCGGACGATTCCCGGACTGATTGCTGCTCCATCGATCCAGCGCTGTTCTGGATGGACTATATAGTCTTGTTTTCGAGCCACGCCATTTCTTGACTTGAGAAAAGTTGACATGTTTGGTCGCATTGGCTCTCCAGATACCACGTTCACGCCACCGGCATATATTCTTATTGCGAAAGGAACTGTTCGTGATGTATGTTTCCATACATTGCTTTCTTGGAAAGATATCCACATAGCTTCCTTTTCTGAGGTTTAGAACAATCAGCATGTTTTCTGGATCTACGTACTGATTCGAAAACCTTCCATATCATACTTATGGTACATTGGTAGGAAAAAGCCCCCCTTCTCGATAACGTCTTGGGACATGGTACTGGTAAATTTGGAAATATTGAAAAGAGGAAATGTCCCAAGACTGGCAGGTAGATTGTAGTCTTTATCGTCATCTGGCAGTCGGACGGTTCTGTGGAAGCGGATGTTGAGGCAACGATCCTCAAATAGAACGGACAGCATGTGATCTCCATCTTTATCGCGCAAAATCGCATGTATTTTCCTTGGATGCTTCTTTTCGGAGACAGGGCCATATGGTGCCCTTTCAGTGGACCAGCGAGTTTGCGGAACATTTTGATTGCTTTCGGTTGTCAAAAGCAAGTCGCCAGTTACACCGCTGATTCCTAACGCGTGAGATGTTGGCAAAGATTGCGTTTCTGTAGATAGTTGACTGAACCCGGAATGAATCGGGCTAGTCTTCACCAAACTGTTTTGCTTATGAAGATTGTCTTTAACCTCTTCGTTGCCTGGTCCCACGGTCGTTATAATCTCGCGAAGAGAAGCCAAAATTTTGCGATAACCATCAGATTCTGCTCCCGAAAAGCGGCACATGTCTTGGTGAGTAGCGTAGATTGTGCTTTTCTTCTCGAACGCATCCCCAATGATAGCGGAGTTACGGTCCACAACTATCAAGAAAATTTTCCGGTGTTAGCAACCGCAGTAAATGCATACTAGGATCTAGATTTTTGGTATGGCGAAAATATGACGATGATCCATACCTATTCCCAGCTTTGAGGTTGGTAGTCCCTCGAAATACGAATGAACCTTCAATGTCCTGGTAGCAAGCATGCGTGCGAATGCTTCGCATATACGCTCTAGAATTTCCGAATTCAACACAATGGCCTTTGGAACTGCTTCATTCACGTCCAGTAGAGCTGCTCGAGCTATTCGAGACGCAGAAACAGCAAGAGATGCTACTGTGCTTCCTCGATGTGGCGTTCCAAGGAAGATGATACCCTGCACACGAGGGTAGATCCCAGCCAGTGAAGGCTGGAAACCAACATTCTGCTTTGAGTAGTCCAAAGCCTGCCAACAGTCAATGCATTTTGCTCTAGAACCAAAAGTAAAATTGAATTGACCAACATCTTTACAAATTATCCCACCAAGCGAGTGGCAGATGAAGATAATTGACCGCTATAATCTAAGTGTCAGATACGATACGCGGCAAAAAGGTGGGTTTTACTCATGTACCTCACTACAATTTTCTCGGTAAAGTAGTAGACCCTCGAGTAATGCCTTTGCATGGTAGTGAATGTTATTTATCGATGTAGGTTGAAGAAAGTTGGTGACATTGGCATCACATCCGAATGATATTATGCGGACATCTGATAAGTCTTCGGGCAGAAGGTCCTTAGGCCAGAAAATCCCGCCCGTTGTCCAGGTCCGATTTTGATGTCCCCGTAATCCGTGGACAAGAACAATGCTGAATGGGCTTAGCAATTGTTGAAGCTTGATAACAGGAGCATTGCGTACTCTGCACGTGCATGCAACGTAGCTGGTTCATGGATCACTTTGCAGCCAACTGGATGTGAGTTAACATCCTGCGATGTCGCAGTGGCTGGCGAGGCTTTCCCTGGAAGTTTTCTAAACATCTTGAAGCAGTTTGAGGCAGATGCAAAATGTAGCTGTACACGATATCTCGCTGATCAGGATATCTTCGCTCTAAGCGAAAGAAAAGAAACGGTCTTTGGAAAAGCTTGAAATATATAAGTCCGGTAGGCTGGCTGAGTATGCCTTGGGTAGAATGCTTTTTCGATGGGCCCTATGTTGCCTGGTGTAGTTATTGGAAGTGGGGGCTGTGCAATGAGGCGGCTTTATGTTGAGTCGGCTGATGATTTCAGCGGGGCTGATGTTCAGATTTTGGCTCATGCGAGGCAAAAGCTTCTCCAAAGATTCTAAATTTGCACTTTTTTTACCCTCGATGCTACCATCGCAACGAATTTTCTTCCATCAAACCTCTTGCCCAAGCAGCAGATCCCATCAATTTGTCGAGATTATCACGATCACGGACACTAGGCTAAGTATTTCAGTGGCTATAACCGAGTTAATATATGAATCTAATGAGCCTAGGGAACATCTGATGACGGTTGTGTAATATAGCTAGTCTTTCAAACTTACGTTCTAAGTCGAGTTTTTTCAACTAACGCACCACGGAATACCTTCAGTTTCAGCTTCTTTTCGAGTTTGGAGTACTTTGTAACCGCAATCATGCAAATTGTTGTGAAGACGTGTAAGCGATCCTTGCTTCAAGAACTTATTGTTCCGTTTCGTCTTATATACTTATTTACCACTCTGTAGTGACGGGAAAAACTATTACCCTTGAGGTCGAGCCCTCTGATACTTTGGGTAGTGTTGCGTCTAAAATTCAAGACAAGGAAGGGATTCCTCTGGATCATCAAAGAATTCTTTTTGCGGGAAAGCAAGTCTACTGCCCACATCCAGGTGAACCACCAGAGCCTGAAATCCAAGACCTCCTAAGTAAGATGGAAAAGGAGATAAATGGTACATCTAGAGTAGGAAGACCAGCCTTCTAAAGTCGAATGACGGTCTCATCAAGGCCGATGACAGGCTGATAAGCAGTTAGCTGTAATAGTTGAGCAAAAGTGAACAACATGGACTGGAAACCTTTGGGTCTCTATCAAGTGATAGTGGGAGCTTAGCAAATAGACGCATCTGAGAGTTATATGAGACAATAGCTCCCACGATTCTGGACGCTGACGGAGATACATCATCCACATATTGAGTTCTGATTGATATATAAATGGGACGTCGACCAAATTATCGCCTTATTAGGTTAAAATAATTGCGTAATAGACAGGTGAATCCTCCAGCGCTCACCCACGAATCACGCAGAATTAATTGGTGGATGAGCGCTAAGTGAGTGCTGGGTGAGCTGGTGACAAAAGTGACATTAAGAGGTGAGTAGCCAACTAAGCCTAGAGCAGATTATCTCTCCTTCATTTCGACCGTATGATCAGGCAGAAGGGGAGGGTGGAAAGGAGGAAGAGAAAGAAGAGAAGGGAAGAGGCCTCACCTTGTTTTCTGAAGGGGGGGAAAGGTGGAAGAGGATTCAACGTGAAAAAAAAACCCCTCCCTCTCGATTGAACAAGTTGGCGCTAAACGGCTATGTTGGAGACCGTTGACGAGAGGCCGTTGTGAGGCAGGATCATGTAGCGCTCACTCACGAATCACCCAGGAACGCTGGGTGCTGGGTGAGTGCTGAGTGGGCTAGTGATAAAAGCGGCGGCGAGGCGCAGATTTTACTTTACTTATATTGTCAAGCGTAGTTATCTGCCCCAGTCCCGTCACCTGCCCAGTATTAATACACGTCTCCTGCGCATGTCAAATCCTCCCACCCGGCTGATAACGGGTGAAACGACCGTCTATTACACATTAATAATGTACCATGCTATACCCACGAACGCGATAGATTCCGGGAAATAAAAGCGGTGGGAGTTGAACGGGATACGCTTAACCCGATCTGGCTTGACACCCCCGGCACCTTGACACAGAGTAGTAGTAACTCCGTAATTACAGCAGCTAAGTGTCCCCACCAGCTGTGCTAGGCAATCAGCAGTCTTCAACACCTGAACCCTGGTAATACCTTTGGGAGCTGGCTGCGACTCCTCGGCTTCTTCTCCCACGGCTAGCAGTGATGTTTCTGGCTGTCAGCTTAAATTTGACTCCTCTACTAGAGTATTAAGCTGAGGCTCAAGGCCCATGTTGACAACTGGTGTCGCTCTAAGCATTTCACGCATTGACAAGATCAATGAAAAATACAACGAGCAAAAGTGGCTCTGTTACGTACCAGCTAATCTGTCACTAAAGTGCAGAACCACTTGCCCGGCCACCCCACTTAGCGGGCCAATTTCTGCACACCAACGCGCAGGCATCCTCATACTTCGAACAGCTATAGCTCCACCAATATAGCTCCAAATGGACTCGAACAAGGAGCATTCTATTCAGCAGGCCTCAAATGACGTTGATATAGGTTTATGAATATAAGCGATATGACGGCAGACACGAGGCAGATCATGGCAGCGGATGATTTCTTTCCCCCTTTCTCAGTAACTGATGGACAGCTCTATCTAGTAGACCGCATCTTCCGCCATCTGTCCACCACTTCCTCAAACCCCGTCCGATGCACTCAATTCAACTCAGCTCAAATCCAAAACCACTCTCCCCATCAACTTGCCCTCATCCATCTCTTCAAAGACCTTGGCCAACCCCTCCATCTTCTCGACCCGGAAATGCGTCTTGACCACCCCTCTAGCAGCCATCTCCAAGGTCTCAATAGCCTCCTTCCTGCCCCCGACCGCCGAGCCCACAATACTCAGCTGTTTCAACACCAACTTATCCGGGCAAGCAGTCGCAATGGGTTGGGGATCATGTTCCGGAATGCCCAAACACACCAGGGTACCGTTATATCTCAGAAAGTCGAGCGCTTGGGCATACGCGGCGTTACTGGCCGCGCAGAGCAGTACGGCGGCGGCGCCAAATCCACCGGCTAGGTCTCGGATCTGCTTGACCATATCCTGCGTGCCTTTCTCGCCTTTCTCGAATTTGCTTACGTCGAGGAAGAACTCGGCTCCACAGTCTTTGACAAATTTTTCTTTCTCACCCACGTCAGTTCCAATGACTCTGAAACCCATCCCCTTTGCGGCTATCTGAACAGCCAGATGCCCCAACCCTCCGCTAGCGCCAGCAATAACGACCCACTCTCCCGGCCCTGCCCGGCATTTCTTCAACGCGCTATATACCGTCAAGCCACCACAGAGCATCGGCGCGGCCAAATCACTCGCTACTCCCTCTGGAATCGGTGTTACGTAATGCGCCGGAGCGAGGGCATATTGCTGGAATGTTCCGGGGTAGTAATAGCCGCTGACTTTGCCGGAAGTACAGCTGGCGTCGACACCGGCGAAACAGGGGGGGCAACTCCCGCAGGCGGAGGCCACCCATTTTATCCCGACGCGGTCCCCTATTTTGAGGGGGGAGGAATCGTTTCCGGGGCCGAAGGAAGCAATGGTGCCGACGCCTTCGTGGCCGCCAATTTGGCCGGGTTGGGTTGGGTAGGGGAGCATAGGCCACTAGAAGAAGAAAAGAGGTGAGCGTCTGTCGGGTGGGGTGAGCTTGGGTGTGGGAAGGTCTGAGACAATAGCTGTATTGACGAGTGAGTGCCTGAGGTTGGGTCTCTGGTTGAAAGAGGTCAAAGGGGCTTGGGGAAGCTCCCCCACCCAAGGTTCCGTCAACCACGATAGTGATACGCTCTTCAGCGTGGCGACCCGTTAATTATATCTTAGGACCACAGGGTTAATGGCCTTGTCTGTTGGTACTGATCCTAGAGCCTCAGAACGCTTATCCGCCTAACACCACTAGCCCATAGCATGAGAATGGTCTTTGATCTCAATCCTTCGTCCTTACCGGGCCTCGAGCCGTATACGAGAAAGAATATCGACGGAAGGCATAAGATAGAAGTGGACGTTGTGAACTTACTGAGTTTGTCATGATACAAAGATCGGAATGGCATACGCCTGAATGCGTCCTAGAGACCAGTGAGTCAGTCAGCAGGTCACCCTACTCTGACTCAGGACTCATTCATGCAGGATGAGACAAGACGAGATCAAGGCCAAGGCCAAGCAAGCGACATCTTTCCTCTGTTGCCAAATCCACAACTAGACGCAGGGACGACATGACTAGAGCGTGATAAAGAGAGGTGAAGGCGAGGGAGTTGGATACAAATTCACCAAGACCTCTCCAGTCCCGGGCTCCGGCGTGTCGATCTCCTCCACTTTGATGGATATCGTTCCGGGCTTGTCGTAAACGCATGCTTTATGCTTCTTTGGGACTTCAACGGAGCCCATGGTGATGGTTGATCTGGGATCGACTTGGAGCTGAGGGGTTGGTGCTAGGAGGAAGGGGGGTTTTGAAGAAGGAATGAGTTGGACGATAATGGCGAAGAGGTAGGCGCAGGATGAGTTAGATTGAGATTGGATCTAGGCGCAGCGTTGGTGCATTCAGGCAGGTCCTGAGTCACTTAAAATCTCGAATCACCGAGGATCGCAATGACATATAGGGATTCTTAGGTCAGTCTAAGGGCCGAGTTGTCTCAAAGCGAAGGGAAGGAAGGCATGATTGCGGGGTAGTGAGCGGTTTTCGACCGCATAAAGGCATGATGGAAGTGGGTGTAGACACTTTTAGCTCAGGTAACATAGGACTCGGTACCGAGGCGCAAGGATGAGTTGGCTGCTGCGAGTGGACTCCGTAAACATGCATAATTCAACCACCTACAAGGTCAAACGCTGACAGTGTATACAATGAGGGCCAAGGTTCCGAGTTTTGCGGTTAACTTACTAGTACCCCGTTAATTGTTGCCAAATTAGTTGTACGACTGCCAGTGGTAGTACCACTAGTAGTAGTTAGTAGTTAGTTGTGTATTGTGTAACAATCTGTAAATACCCGTAGAAAGCAAATTGTTCTAGCCAATCAAAAGACAGCGTAAGTAAATATGTGTACGAATTAGCTGTGCTGTACGGAGTACTCCGTACGACGGGATTAGAAGCGAAATTACAGTAGAAATTGACCAATCAATACGCATGGATTACGCATAGAAAACCTGGGTCAATAGGCGCTCATAGTGTTCGACATGATATGTACCATGTGCCAAGAAATTTCAGAAGCGGAGCACTGGCAGTGGGAGTGAACGTACCAAGAGATAAGGTGTGGGCTTCAAGGTAGCATTGATTCAGAGTAGGTACCAGTGACATCCGACTCCATATCTCGACCAGCGAGAGACACCAAACCGTAAAACTTCCGAGCTTTGTATAGCGACATGAGAAAGATATCATAAGGCCGAAAGGAATGTTCCTCCTTCAGCCTAATCGCAAATTCAAGCAGGTGAAATATACAACAGAAAAAGGAAAATGCCTGGCGGCGATACGATCTTTGCACAGGGTATCCAGCTTAGTCAAACAATCATCTCCCATACCGTCATCTTCTTCTACCCTATTTCGAACGCTTCTGCCCACCTCGGCCAGCGCCAGCTGCGGGTCTTTTCTGTCCGGGATGAGGTCCAGCGGTTGGACTCGTAGCTTCTGTAATTGAATCTAAAATTCCTTGGAATGCACGACGGTACGCAAGAGGAGCTTGCTGACGGTGAAGGAGGCCACGAATCTCGTCCAGCTGCTCGTGTCTGCTAGCCGTTGCCAGTACCGCTTTTGGTAGAATTCTCAGAGCGTCCAGCGCAAATGGAGGCCTGCCTACAGAAGGATGACCGATCAGGCACTGGAAGAGGTTACGCTCATCTTCATCTTCGCCACGAGGAGCTCTGCGGCCCCATGTGCTGTTCTCAAAGGCGTCATGGTTGCGATTGCAAACGTCCCGTAGGAGGAAGATGAGGCATTCTGCCGCTCGTTCACCACCATGGGGATGTCTCTCACGCACTTCATCCTTGATGAGGTCGACATATTCTTGGAGGCGACTACCGAGGTCCTTCACCGAAGGATGAGGCACAGGAAGATGTGCTGACGAGGTGCCGTTCTTGGCGTATTCGTCAAATGCCAGCAGCGTAATCCTAATCCGCTTGGTAACTTTTTGGAATAAGTCAACAGCACGTGCTTGTACGGGCTGTGCTCTACTCAGACTCCTGTAAATAGCGTGGTCGTTGACAGCGAGTCGGAAGATGGTGCCCTCAAGGTCTAGTTGGATCATACACTCAGCAGGTGAACGAACATGACTGATGGTCTCGAATATATCAGGACGGAACTCGGTTGGTAGCACGTCGGCCTCAAACGTCGATAGAATATCACGTGTTTTATAGGCACGCGACATAATGGGCGATGTTGACGTGTCGGTCGAGGAGGAGGAAGACTCAGATCTAGCCCTTTGCTTGCCCTTCGCGAGAGAGCCTTGTGTTCGAGGCTGAGAACGCGACGACGGTTGGTCTTGCTCATCTTCTGAGCTATCATCATCGGAAGACGAGGCAGCGGTACCTGGTTTCGATGGTTTCTCCGCTGAGCGCCCTTGTGCTTGGCGTCTTGTTGTGGGCATTTGGGTGTCGATGGACAGTTTTCCGAACTGACGGCTAGGAGCAGACATGAGGTAGGAAGTGAATGATAGCGACAATGGAGAATTGGGAACGATCACAACATGAAAAATGAGTGACTTTATGGAACCGGCAGACTCGTATCTAGGCATTGAAAAGGAAGATTCGGTCTGCTTTGTGCCGCAGGTCAAAGGGGCACTCCATCAAATTTGAACCATCAATCATCAATCAAGTTACTTCAGCGGTGGAAACCACATGGCCGGGAAGGAGGTCAACCCTCTTTTCTTGGACTGGAACCACGTACGAAAGGAACAGGTCCGACTTCGATACTTCCAGAAGCCCATCTCCTAGTGCACTACAGCCGCGGTACTGGATAGTGATCGATCAACCACCTAGCAAATGAACGGTGAGGGTGACGATAAGACCTAGAGAGCGGATTGGGGGCCCTAGTGTTTGCTGGCCTGCAGAGAGGTCGTTGCCTCCAACATGAGAAGGAGAAATTCGAGGCAAATCGGGCCCAAGTTGGCGTAGGCGGCGGAGCTGATAGAGTTGCTCCGAAAGCTGGTTCCATCATGAACTCTCTTCGTGTGAGAAACAGAGCTTCGAAGCTTCCTTGCAGGGTGATGAGGTCGCCAAGCGGTCGGCGGCTACGGTAGTAGCTACCATTGGTCCATCATCCGCAATGCTTGGTCGGCTAACCTCCCCCGCGGCGCGGCAATGACCAGACTGGGAAGTTACTTCAATTGTTGGTCTGAATTAGCCTCACAAGGTTGAACCCGCTCGCATGAACCAACCTCCAAATTCACCGCTCTTCATCTTCAGGCTCAAGGTCTAAGGCAGCGACATCATGCTTAATGCGGTGAATTGTTCTGATGAGCAATATCAGGATAGACAGGTTGTTAGCGAGGGTGGCTTTGCGAAGAGTCCAAAGCGTCCGATACTGATCGGCCAGAGTCCGCCGAAGCACTGGAAAACGATCGGGGAGATGGTGCATAGTCTTGTGCATGCTTGAATGAATCCCTGAGAACGTCTTTGGGTGTGGAGCTGTCTGACCTATTCATTGGAAGCTGGTAAAAGACGCTCACCCAAGCCACGTAGACGAGGACGTGATAAAAATAGCTTCTACAAACGCTGTCTGACCTGTCATTGGCGACGGCGTTAGTTTGTGGAACCGCTTGCCGACTCATGTGTCTTTGTGTTGCAGTCTGTGACCATGTCATTCGATTCGTTCTGCGAAGCTTGGATTGATGATCGCTGCCTGTTCGCCGGAGTTGGTGCCTCACTTTGTCCGTGCCTATGCTTTCCCTTTCCAGACTGTGGTCCGAGGGATCGCTCGAAAGGGCTGTCTACAACCTGGCCCTTGTCGATCCTGGCTTAGTGGAGCCTTTAGAGAATAGTGAGGGACATGGGCACGCGGCACGCGGCACACGCGGGAGTTTGATCTGCATGCCTCGCCAACAAACTTGTATGGAAAGGCGGTGGATTAATCTCCCAGACGACCGGTGAACAGTCGCCAGTAGGCACTCTGACTCCATGCAAAGGCTTCCTTTTAAGGTTCGCCTAAGCTCAGCAAGTATGTTGGGAGGGCATCATACCAGGATATTCAGTATGGCTCAGAGATTCATTTTCAGCTCCATCCTGTTGTTGGACATCTCTTGATAAGACAATCAGGCCATTTCCAGCAAAGATTCTCGACAGACCTAAGAACACAGCCTTGACTAGTTGATCAGCACTTTATCTGTTCTGACACCCTTTCTGCATTTTGCTGTAATGATTGGCACAAAGCCTGGGCTTTAGCCTGATACCTCCACGAAATCTATCGCAAAGTGAACCTCTTCCGCAAACCTGTTTTAGGATCTAGTCATTCCATTTTAGTTGCGTTAGAATGAATCCTCGTCTGGCTCGTCGTGGAATGCGGGGAGCATTATCGGGTTGGTAGGAAGCCCAACATTTCCGTAGCCATCGGAAATGAAACAGAGCCATTCTACGGTCACATGGCCCGGAAGCTGTCAAGTGTTCGGACGGCGGCCGTCGATAATATCATTCCATATCTCATAGCTTTGAAGGTTTGGCCATTGGTCGCACGTTCTCTATTCTCTGCCGAAAGCCTTCTTGAAAATCCTTCGAGTTTGTTATGGGCTCTTTCAATCTTCCAGCTTCTTCCTTCAGAAAAATTGGCCATATCGTATCGTTCAGCCAATTGGCTACTATTGCACCACTCTCGCTAGGGTTATCAAATGGAAAGTTGTGGCGGCCATGTTCAACGAACTTTTCCTCTACTTGGCCCCTTTCTTTGCCTCCTCCTCCCATGAGACTCGTTCCAAGGGCTGTTGTGATTCGTTCCCTGTACGGCGCATTGGACAGCCACTTGTCCTCTGTAGACCACACGAGGAGCGTCTTGCAGTGAATCCCCGTCATAAATTCCTTGATTCTGGAACCTTCAGCTCGATAAAACCCAGTGACCATCTGAATTTCGACCAATCTGGTCATGTATTCTTCTCCAGTAGGGTAGCCTGGCAGTGGCGGGTCCGGTCTAACGTACAAAGCCCATTCTTGGCTCTTTGGGGTCGTGAACGCGACCCCTCCTCCTTCGGCGTCAGGGATGTCGACAAGGTCATATTGTAGCACCTTTTCAAAGACCCTTGGATCGAAACGGCCGTAGTAGGGACTCTTACCAAAAGCCTTCCGCGCCGCTTCACGGCTCGGCCATCTGTCTCGTCTCCCAGCCAATCCTTTAATGCGAGGGTTTCCTGTTTCGTATGTTCCATGCCACCACCCACTTTCCGTGGTGGGCTCCATACATACAAGCCCTTGAAAGATCCTGGGATGTCAGCTAGCGTTCAACAACATGCTATTGCATCCCCAGCTGGAGCCGATACCAACCAGTGGTGGTGGCATTTCTGCTTGAAATATGTTTATCAAGTGCTTGACATCGTGAGCAGTGTCGAACCAGTGCGGTTCATCGCATATTTCAGAAGCATTGAGCAGATATGATTGACCGTGGTTTGCGGCATCAAGGGACCATATCGAGCGTATTGGAGGACATGATGGATGAGCAAGAAGATCAGCAAAGAAGGGCTCATAGGATTCTTTAGCACAGGCTGCACCATGGTGGAAAACAATGGTGATTGCTTCTTTGGGAACGGTGCTTGGTACATCGCCGGGTCTTGCTGGTTTCTGTGGCGTGTATTGCTTGATATGGAGGCGAAGACGTGAAGTGTACGGATTACGCACTCCACGACGAAAGCCTCGAGGATAAGACGCAGGGATGACGTGCTCTTTCACCAGCCATACATCGGAGGCCGATGTTGGTGAAGACATACCGTTGAGCTTCTAAGTCTGAAATCACTATTGGGTTAAATGGAGCACTGAATCGAAGAGTGATTCAGGCCGAGGTCGATGATAAGAAAGCGTGACCCATCCAATCAGGCTTAGAAAGTGTAGAGCTAGAGATCCTAGTTTACTGAAGGTATTCCTTAAGGTATCCACCTTTCTGACGTAAATTTTGACATTTTTCTCATTGGTGGCTGAAACTCAGTAGCGCAAGTGTCTAAATTAGTCTCAACGAATGACAGACATCTATTGCAACCTTAAACCCATTAAAGATATTTGCTAGGTCATCTTTGGCTTAATGATTCAGATTTGTTTTTCTACTGCGACATTGATTGGGCATAATCTGGTGGGCCGCGCGCTTATCTGCCAATTATAAGCTCTTATCCGTCATCGCGTTTGTAACAACCAATTAGAAAAATGTCAAAATTTACGTCAGAAAGGTGGATAAGTTGAGAATGAGTAATCTAAGTTAAAGTCCTATGGCTTAAGGTCTTTAAGCGACCTAAGGGGACAATGTAATCTTAGAAGCCTATTCTGGAATTTTGGTAGCTGACAGCATAGTTTCACCCTACAATTGGTTAGAATGTTTAGGCTACCCGAGCCCGAGGCCCATCGCACCAGTGAAACAATCGCTATCGCTGTTGACATAAGTTTTGTGACAGATTAGGTAGTAGAGTCTGTAAGGTAACCTGTTCGATATATCACCTCATTTATTTCATCACACTTGCTGTGCCAAGAGCAACCCTAACTAATTGTTCCACCGGGCCTCGGCCCGCCCGGCCCAGTACTCACCTTGGCCGAAGCTGTCACCTTCTCAATCAACTACAGTGACTCCCTTACTGTAAGTTACTGAGTTACGAGTGTTCCTAAGTCTAATAGAACATGTCTGCTCTCAACAATAATCAAAGCTTTTCAGAAGAGCAACGGCACGACGGGGTACAGCGCCGCTGTCTATAAGATTAGCATCAGAGTGCTGCATCCATCCCGTTCTTGGAGCCGCATCATGCACCCAACCATTGCTTCCCTTCGAGTACCGAAACCATAGGCATCAGGCGCGACTGACAATAACAACAGCAGAGACGATGCGCGCATGTCCTTCATATGGCGGATCTAAAAGAGGGATGCAGCAGCTCTAGGCCCGAGTTTTACTCAACTAAATGTATGCATGAAGCTGATGAAGCATAAGGCGATGCGACTGTGAAGGTATGAATACGCCACGCGGCGGGAAGGGAAGGTTTGTTCCGTGCCCGAGAAGCTTTTATTGTGTCTTCTTTAATCGCTGTATGTATCTTCCACAACATCCGCAGCTGTATTTCGCGCCTCGATTGCTTCGCTGCTCTAAATACTGACGGCACGGTCTCGTGTTCTTCTAGCAGATTTTGCAAAAGCATCAAATGTGAGATATGCATGATGATAATACCGCTTCGTGAAGTCGAGACCTCAACCTTGCTTACCAGCTATATTTTCCTTGTGAAAGCGCCTTATCTATCGTTATCGTTTAAGACGTCGCAAGAAGTTGCTCATCTTTCTCGATTTCCTATGTATTCTGGCACATAGCCCAACATAAATTCTCTTCGCTACCGGGGCATGGTTTGGCCAAGTCATGACCCGAAAGCCTGGTTAAGCGATTGGGCTCTCAGAGTGATACCGCATCTAATCTTAATTCAAAGTCATGTGGATTGAGACTGTCAATCTAACAATCGCGGTGATATGGCGACGCAGGTATCCCATGGTGTGTAAATCAAAACATCTGATGCATATCCAGAATCATCAAGAGGACGAGGCTCTGCAATTGAGGGAGACCCAGGTTCTTTAGAAGGACCTGACACTGGAGACCTAGATTCTTGTGAAGTATCTGCCACTCCAGGCGAAGGAGATCTAGATGTCTTGGGAGAACCAGACATTGCTTCAGTATCTTCTTGCTTGTAATTCCAAGTTGCAAAAGTACGCCTTGGTACGCCTGTCAACCTCTCAATTTCAGTAGGGCAGTAATGCTCTTTACGAAGAGCAAAAACTTCTTGACGCTTACGCTTGCCCCAAGGCTTTACGACCTTCAAGCGGGCTGTGTCCAATTCTCCGGCGGCAATGGCATTTCTTTTCCATGTGTTGACTGTGCTTCTTGGGATCTTTTTCTCTCTTGCAATGTCCGCGATAACTGCGTCCTGTCGAAGAAGGCTAATGACTTCGGTACGTAATTCCCTATCGTAATACGATTGACTGATACGACTGTGTTTGCGTGATGGAGGACCTGCTAGCCTAGCCGCACTACCTGGGTCCTTTTCCCGTTGTAAACCATCCTGCGAACTGCTTGTTGACCTGGAAATCGCTCTTCGTGAGTGCTTGGAATGTAGGGCTGGAATTTCTGCTTGTCTGTGGGAAGAGCGACGGGATGCTTGTTCAGAAACCACAAGTGCACTGCCAATACTTCTAATGACATTCGATAGTTTGCTTGCTTCAGTTGGGATTCGATTCCTGGTCGACCGCTTTCGGGTGGGTGTCTTTCTAGTAGAATTGAAATAAGCTGTTTCAGCAGCAGGGGACCATGGAATTGCTTCATTTGTTCTTTGTAAGCTTCGATTTGAAGTTGTGATCGATTCCGTAACATAATCAGCTACGTATCTAGGGGCTCTAGCATTGTTCTCCATGATTGAACCTTGAACGTTTTTTGATCTTGAAGAGAGAGCTACAGCTGGGAATCGCTGTTCTGGTGTGTTCTGAGAGGCAGCTCTATGTGTTGACAATCTCCCAGGTGTAGACCTTGGCACCCAAGTTACTAGGTCTCCGGAGGATGAACCTGGTGCTGAAGGGACTGCTGGCCCTGCTTGTGCAGCTCTGGGTCCATGATCTTCCGGGTCATTAGGTGGCGAGCCTGAGATATCCAATCCCCTGGCCTCTGTAGTCTGAGAGCTATGGGGCTGGGAGTCGTGTGAATCTGAGGATGATATTCCTACCAATTGTGCTCGTCTAGCTTCAGGGGTTGATGGGGGCATATGCTTCGATATGCCTGGGGGAGGAGGTTTGGAGGACATGTTGAAGGGTGTCATACCAGTCAGGAGGGTTTCTATGGTCAGAGCATGAAAAAGAGAGGACGAGAAAGCATGTGTGAGGAGAAAGTACTTTGGATGCTAATCTTTCCACGAACGGAGAAATAATGCTGATTGACAGTAGAATAGTAGGACACCTTCAAGTCTCACCTTTGTAGGCCAGCAAAGCCGTCTCTGCCCCGTCTCTGCATTGTCGTGGTATCCGAACGCTGCTGTGTCACGGTGTCTTCCTGAATCCAAACATAACAAGTCACATCACGGGTCACATCACAAGTCTAGTCGCCATTATACCTCAGTCTAGTTCATCACTAGTACTACTAGTAGTTAGTCACCACACCGGCCTTGGCAGCTACTCTGGATTAAGTAAGTAAGTAAGTTTCGAAGTAGTTAGTAACGTACTAGTACGGAGTAGTAGCAGTAGATCAACAAACAACCACTAACTACTAGTCTTGGGAGACATCCATGCTGCTCAACCTGAACTAGGCTCTCTGTACCGGCAGAGACCGTGGGCAGAATGGTAGCAGACTAAAAGGTCAGGAAAGGGTGGGGATAGAATCTGGGGATGGAATCTGGAGCAATGCTGCTGGGGCAAGCCCAATGTGAAGACAGGCATGGAGGACGCTTGCAACAAGGGGCCCTCAGAAAGAAAAGAAGTCATTTTATTCCTAGAAGAGATAGAATCGATTGCATGGAAGGGTCAGCGCCCAAGAATCCCATAAACACCTTCTCCCACACAACAGCAGGCCGGATTTCTGCTGCAATGAAACCGAACCCAACAATGCCATTCACCTCTCAGTACATATCAACAATACCACCATCCCTACTACTCCTCAGCACGCACGCCAGGCCCGGCCCACCAAAAACCCCATCCATAGCACACACCTTCCGCTCATTCCGTTGCACAGCAACACGACCAGAGAACTCCGCCTCCCAGCCTCCCTCGAGAGCGCGCCCATCCTCTCAACCTCCTCATCACCACCATCCTCAGACCCAGGTACCAAAGCCCACCGCAACGCGTCCAACGACCCTCGCGCCCGCCCGCTCCCAGCGGCCCGCACCACGAACTTCACCAGACCATCCTCCACAGGCTCCTCCCCGGCCAACATCGCTGCCCCTCTCCACCCTAAAAAGGGATCCAAAATTCAAAGCCCTGTCTCGAAAGTGGACGGGTCTGATCGTCGGACTGCCGATCGCGTTGGTCACCAGTTACGTGTTGTGGGGGAGATGTGAGTTTCCCGTTTCAATTGTGTGCATATTCCGCTACCTTGCTTCCCCTGAACACTTCGTGATTCCGATTCCTTTCATTTTCGTTGTCAAATTGGCCATCTCTCGGGGAAAATCTGGCCTGCTGACCGAGCGTTCGTGATGTCTAGATAGCGAGACGACGAGAAAGAGGAATGAAGAGGCTGCGAGGAAGAAGGCGTAACGGCTGGGGAAGGTGGTTGAGGGGGTTTCCATAATGTGTGAATGAATAGTGGGATATGTATATGGGCGGTCTGGTTTAGATGGTTCTAGGTGATCGTCAGCTTAGTGCCGGCATATACGTGTGTCTGGCCTTGTATATATGGATGAGATTCCAGACGTTGATTGTGTAATTACCAAAGATTTGTTGGACGCTAGAATATAATTCATATCCATTTTTTTCGTCGTCTCGTGAACAACAATGGCAGTGACTTGAGTGCAATCAGGACCAATCAGCGCCATGATGAAACAGGGACGACTACTCCATCATGATTGTAGTCTTCTGTAGACAGATGCCAGGTATAAGGGGAATTTGTACTCAATTCTATCTGATCTGGATCTGTGACTGCTCTCCCTTCGTCAACTATTCCGACTCCGAATATCGGAGCTTCTGCTTCTCATCCTGGTAGTCGCTACGTTTGCGCAGCGGCTACTCATCCAGTTCACAAAGAATGATGAACCAAGCTAAATAGCCATAAGCACAACTCCTATAGGCCGACAAAGGCTTTCCTCTTGGTTCTGGTTCGGTTCCGGCGGCACTGAGCAGCTGAATCCCGCAATGGAGGACCCTATCTCAATCTGCCTTGATAACCTGTCCACCCTCCCACGCATCCCCAGCCTCCAGTCTCACCCACCCGCTCACCGCGCCAGGCTCCACACAAATCATCTGCCTCCATCCATCTTTAGGCTCGAAATCGCCCATCCCTTCTGCGCCCTTCTGCCACGGATTCCAGACCGTGCAATCTGTCAGCCCTTCCCGGGTGAGTATGAATTTGGTCTTGTCGGATTGCTGGACGGTGACTGGATCGGAGGGTTTGAGGGAGGAATAGACGCGGTCGGTTTCTGATGTCAGGGTTAGGGGCTCCGAAGAAGAGGAAGGAGAGATCATGGAGGGCGGGGAGGTGGTTTTGTTGACATATGGGGAGGTGGAGAGGCCGTGGATGGAGATCTGGGAGATGTCCTGCACCCAAGTTACACTGGGTTAGCCAAACGAATCTTGATCACCAGATGCAGGACGTAGGGAAGGGGATTGGGACGGGGAGACATACCTCGATCCTGAGATAATTATGAAAAAGCGCCTGAAACTCAACGACCTCGCCACCCGTATTCTGCACATGCAGCCCCGTCTCCAAGGTGTCTTTTCCCAGCGTAACACTATACACCAATCCAAACTCGTACGGCCATTTCTGCCTCATCTCCTCTGGCAACATGCCGGAGCTCAACCCGAAATCGAGCTTGACCTCCTCATCACCTCCTTTCTTCCCACTCCGACTCTCCGAAGTGTTCTTCCCCAAGAACTCCCACAGCACCGACCTGGCGAACCCGTGCTGGGGTAATTTCCCTGTAGCGTGATCCTTTGATGGCGGGCCAAAGACGGGGAACACGATGGGGATGCCGCCGCGGATGGCTTTGGAGCCGTCCAGTTTGGCGGCCGAGGACAAAAAGAGTTGTTCCTCTCCCGACGCGAGGGTCCAAGACGTGACGGTGGCGCCGAAAAGGTTGATGGTAACGGTGTCACGGGAAGGGAGGGTGGCTTTGACGGTATAGTCCGAGACGTCGACCGCGGCTTGGGGAAGGGAGGGTGAGATGGGGATGGTCGAGGGCTTGTGTTTGCGCTCCATGGTTGAGGGTGGTGAGAGTTAATTACGACTGGTGAGGTGGTCAAGGGAAGACTGGAGGGGGGAACAGGTATTGGCTGGTCAATTAACTTAAAGTACTTCTCGAGTCTTGTCGCATGGACTTCATGGCCGTCGGATGTAAGGGCATTTACTAAGCACAGCTCCGGTTATAATATCATGTCTTACGCCAAGGTCAGAGCTCCCAGGTGTTTCATATTGTATGCGGTGCAACGTAGATTTAGTAGTATGATTCGTGGCCATAGCTTTTCGCATAGCATGCATGTAAGTTGTTGATCGCCAGTTTCATCCATCTCCCCAGCCTACTGGTTACAGCCTGTCCGGCCACTATTCTCCACCGTTCTATTGGATACAGTCCTTCCGCCAGCTTCCGCCAAAATACGGAGTACCACCCCAAGTCCCGTGGGGTCAAGCTCCCCAGGAAGCTATCATGCCGTCCAACTACACCGCCACGGCCTGAGGTCACCATCATTATGCGACCTCTGTTGCATATGCATGAACGGTGAGAGTCATGTGCCGCTTCTTGGAATTCTCTGTGCCGCGTTTTGTGCTTCTGTCCGTATCTCGAACACCAGGTCATCAATTGCCCTTAAGCCTGATCGATCCATACTTGTTCTCCTTAGGCTCGACAGCGCCTTCTGGAGTAGTTCCACCGCCTCTTCAGGCGAAACTTGATTTTCCTTGTCATCCGTCTTAACCTCCATGATGCGGCGTTGAGGGGGGGAGTTTTGGTTTGAGGCAGCCCCAGAACTCAGCGCGTGATCCACATTATCACTTCGATGACTCCACGAGGAGCCCGATCTCGGACGTATTTGGGGGGCACCATGTTGATCGCTACTCTCTGGGGATGTGCAGGCTTTGGCGGGTGAATCTCGCTCATGACTCCCATTCTTCATGTTCTCACTCAACGACTCCCTCGCCTCAGCTGGAGCTGGCATTGTAGCTTGTGGTTGCACCTTTCTTGGTCGACCACGGCCTCGCTTCACGGGTTGCGAGAGAGGTTGCAAGGCAGGTTGTGACAAGACAGGACCCTGTGACGCGGCAGACGCTGCCCGAATAGATGATTGTGACGAGGATGGCGTTTCCACTTCTATACAATCATAAGCTGCCTGCGATGGCTGCGATTCAGTCGTGCTGGACGGCAATCTCCGTGTGCTGCTACGTTCAACTAGGCCACCAGTCGTCTTTCTCCTCTTTGATTTTGGTGGAGCTACTGGGGATCTCATCCTTTTTGCTGGTGCAGAAGTCGCAAATCTTGGCTGCTGTTCTGGACTTTGGCTCGGAACTGAACTTGCTGCTCGCTCGAGGTCTTGTGATAGCTGTGAAGCACTCCAGAAGTCGTTGTCATCACTGTAGACCTTCGTGCTCTCTTCGGTTGGGGAGCAGAGATTTATTGCTGTTTCGTGTATAATGTCCGCACGTCTCTCGTTGCTGCGATCAGTCGGGGGCCTGATTCCAGCCACTATAATATCGGTGATGGTATCTTGTTCTACCTTCAACAGAGAGTTGGCTCCTTCTGGACCCTGATCGCATGTTCTTTTGGCATCTTTACCAATGATATCCTCATCAGAAGGGATGACATCCGTGACCGAACATAACATCACGACCTCGCCACTTGTCAGGTCACTTCTCACTTGTGGTCCGGCTTCCTGTATGTCTTCCGCGAAGTCTGCAGTTTGTTCATGCAAATCACCAGAGAATATCTGTACGAGATGCTTGTGATCCTGAAATGGCTTTACTGATAGCGAAGCTGCGTCCAAATCTTCCACGTTGGTTGGAAGTACGTCTTCCATTTCGTTGCCTATCGAGGAAGGTTGGACCGGAATATCGTCAAAGAGGCCCACTCCACCTGTCCTTTTCTCTTTTGTTACATCTTGCACCTCATCTGGACAGCCCAGCTGTATAGTCGCTTCTGGTGGATCCATGGTGTCGTCAGGACCGTGCATAGATAGTGGTGAAGAGGGAGCATCAATTTCCTCAAAGCGTAGAGCTTGCTGCTTCGATTTAGGTGTAGGGGAGGACTGAACGGCTTCTTCATAATCCAGAATTTTTCGCAACGGTAGAGTCGGCGTAGCCGGATCCCCTATACAGGCAACCTCATCTTCTATGCTAGCAAGAACAAGCTTCGAAGATTCAGCTGTTTTTGCTGCCTGCACTGCACAAGATGGACTTGAGCGGAGATCCGGAAACATCAGAGCAATTTCACCCCCCTGCCGCTCCCTGATTTCCTTCTGGCGTGCGGTCAGGTTCTGTGACTCAGCATCCCTTCCAGGCGCAGGTGACGATTCGATGGATACAAAATGGACCTGGGAATCATCATGGTGCAGGCGTGCCCTCACACCAGCTTCAAGTGGCGTGCTTGTTTTTCCAGAATCTAAACGATGCTTCTGGTGTACTGTTCGAGTAGCAGCAGGCACGACGACCGGCTGAACAAGCTTTGCAGTTTTAGATGAATCCACAACATTCGAGGTGCTCCCCTCTTCATCCAGATTCTCGAGATATTCCAACTCGGGCAGAGTTGTTTCGTTCGACTCAAAGTCATGGAGACTAGGCAGCTCAAGTTCAACAAAAGGTATCAGGCGTGCCAGCGCCTCTTTCAGTCTATCGCCATACTCTAGACTCTCGTTGGGTCCGTAGTTGGAATTCCACACTTTCACTACTTGATTGATGGTCATTCTGTGTGTCGTTCTGAATGCTGCAGCAAAGAGGCCATCGAACAATTTCAAATCGATCTCGTTACTAAGCCTTCCTAAGACATCAATGATAACGGGACACAGCTTCCGAGCCTGTACCAGCTTCAGGCTTCCAGTGCGGCTTGCTGTGGTCATGAGACGCCGCTGGTCTTCAAGCCATAGTGCTAAAGACTCCTGCATTTCTGTCAAGCAGGCTAGTCTGTATTCTGTTGAAGACCTTTGAAGCAAGGACATCACTGCATCAGTGACGGATGCCAATACGAGCTCATCACAACAATCACCAAGCAAATAGACACGTGAGAGATGCACGTTCAAGAGGCGAACGAGGCTGCGATAGACAGACTGGACATCGCCTTCTTCCCGTTTTGCTCTTTTCGCATTCGGTTTGTGAACATTAATGGACGCTGGCGAAGTGAGGACATCTAAAAATTCTCGGACCAAGATAGCAGTACAAAGGCTAACTTCATTGGAATCGCGATCACCTAGAAAGATTATCAAACGGTCTGTAACTTGCAATCCGGATTGGTGGGAACCATCTGTCACTAGCAGTGATTGCCTCAACAACTCAGACCAACACTCAGGCTGACCACTTTGGTATGGAACACCAAACTCCAAGATCCTCACCGCATTCGTGACCAGGTGGTCAACGTCAACAATGTCGCCTAAGCAATCGAGCGATGCATTAGCTAGTTCGCTTCGTGTCAGCTGTGCAATCGCGTTCCATATCACACGTTCTCCGGTGGCAACGCTTCCAGCAAGGAGCACAGCTTCAGCACACTCCTTGTAAAAGTGGACACGGCCATTGGCAGATGATCGAGATTTGCTGGTAAGCTGAAGCAGATCGAAAACCATGTTGAGATATACGTCATCCTGACCACTGCTTGGCAGATTTCGAGTAGCCTCAAGAATATCGATCATGAGTGGTCTTCCTTTCCCCTTCGATTTCTCATTGTGTGGAAGAGAAGAACTGTCGGGTGCACTCAATAAATTTACCTCAACAAATGCCAGGGCCCCAAACTCTAATAGCATGGTCTTGCAGATGAAGTGATAGCGGCTGACGTAGTCGTCTTCATGTTCCTTGAACGTAGCTGACGACCTCTGGCAGAGTCGGGTCAGGAACATTGATACATGAGTCACAGCTTCCATCGTCTCTGAAGATGATCTGACCTCCTTCCGACATGCGTCGCCAAGGGCTTTTGCAAAGTTTCGCCAAGCGGCAGCAATATAAGCCGTGTCAGGATAAGCTGCCGGACCCCAGTAGCTGGAGCGGAACAACAGCTCGAAGATTTCAAGTATTGAACGAGTCCGTGACCGGATCCATTTACAGTCCAGCAGAGGTAGCTCTTCTGGCTCGATCACGGCAGCATCAAGAACACGTGCCTCCCTCCACGGACTGATCTTTTCTCTCCAGAATAAGGCCATCAAGATCCTGCAAGCACGGTCGGAGTTCTGCCCATTTGAAAGAAAGGGTGCTCTGAGAGCCGGGACAACGAACTCATCCCATACCGCATCATAATGGCCAAATGGCTCTGACGGCTTCAGGGAGTAGTAGAGCAGGTTGCAGTAGGCGGCGAAGGCGGAGTTCCTGGTTGTTTTCGATTGCTTCTCATTGCTCGGCCGCTCCAATTGGGCCAGGAGAGGCTTCATGAGCATGTTCGCCAGGAATGACTTGGTTACTCCATAGGGCCGCGCAACATACACGAGCTTGTTCCACGCCATATTGGCAGCTATTCGTACTTCCGAATCGCTGCAATTGAAACATTTTTGTATGATTCTGAGCCAGTCGTGAAGATGGCGCCATTCATGAAATTTGTGATCCAATCCTCTCATCAAGACTATGACCGCCGCCCATATCTGCGGTACTTGTCGCGCCTCGTCAAGGGACTTTAACATTCTTACCAGTCGTTTGCAGATAACGGAGCTGAGAACGTCGTCATGCTCTCCTGGGTTGTCCAATGTATCGCGAACAGCTGTTGCAACTGTTGATGATGATCCGAGAACCACCGCTACGCGCTGCGCTAGGGCAATTGCCTTCTTCCTGGTGTCGGGAACAGAGCAGGTCATTGCGGACAATAGTTGAGAGACCCAGCACGATGATTTTGCCTTGAAAGTACGCTTAACTTGTTCCAGCATCCTTTGGTAGATCATCAAACGTTCTGAAATGACACCGTTCCCTCTGACGTGTTCTGGCAAATCCTTGAGCACCTCCAGCAGGCGAACAACTCGCGCTCCCGTCATTGTTCTGTTCGAGAAATCCTGTGTGGATAGCAAATGCATGTGATGCAGAATGAGGGCTTTCGATACTTGACGTTCTTCGAGTATACGCGTAGAGTGATCGATTATGAAGGACCGATATGTGTCCGTTAGGTGTACCGACAGAGTCCTAGTCCAAACGATGGTCACCAGCAATTTCAAGGCTTGAAGTATGAGGTTCGTCTCTAATGGTTCCATAGGTATTCCACTTTCGAGAGACACATCTCTCTTGATGAAGTCTAGTAGAGCCTGAACTTTCTCTTTCGTGACATGGCTGTCAGGCAACTCTGCATATGCTTTGAGTGCGGACAAGAGTGTAGTATAGGCATCTAGTCTGATTTGACGATCGGCGTTGGCTAGCTGCCGCAGAATTGTGTCCAACATGGTGGCTAGATCCTCGTTTCGGTGCGGAACTTCGTCTTGAATAGCTGTTGGGCAGGGACGCTGTTTGAGGATCGATTTTGAAGATTGGCATTCCCGTGATGGTGGCAGGGACTTGACAGAAGATTCGGGCGCGGTGATATCGGTCGAGACAGTCCAAGGTGAGAAGTCAACTCTCTTCCTCAGCTTTCCAGATCCTGCTTCTAGAGAAGCTGTGCATGATGCTGGGGAGGGATTTGGTGTATCTGTGGGTGGTGCGTTTGTGACAGGGTAGGTATCAGCATTCCTCTGTTGCTGCTCTGATCTAGCAGAGCTTTCAGGTGGACTTGGTAGAGACTCGGGGAGACAGGTGCTCAACTTGGTTGTTGAAGCAGATGCTGATCGAGGAGGATGGTTAACGGCTTTGGGGATAAGCACCTCGACAGATGTCATGATTTATAGCAGAGAAAACATAGATAGATTCAATTGCATGCTGTAAAGCAGAGCACACACACGTGGGAAAGCACAGAATTCAAGAACGCCGAACATGCATGCGTAGGGTGTGCTGAAGCTTCGGATGGTAGTGGGAGAAAGTACGGAGCACGAAGTATAGATTGTGTAAGGGTGTAAGGGTGCGCGTGAAAAGACGCGTTAAGTGGCCTCGCACTAATTCTGACAGGCTTTAACTTCCTACGTACTAGGACTAGTACTAGTACTAGTCGCCAGTTTCAATTCTGAGCGCAGGGACTTAACCGAAGATTGGCCGAATCTGCACTTTGCTTGTTTGCTTGCATGCCTAAACCCCCCCCACTCCCAAGTTGCATCTGTACGTATACTTAATGCATGCCGGCGTCTGAGATGGCTCATCATTTGGCAGTATTGATCATATCTCGGACTTTGCGGAGCTATGATTTTTGCCTCCCGGGTTGTAGAGAGAAATAGTAGTGAACCGGTAGGATGTGCTCAGCAATCGGGCGACTACCATTTGAAGGTGCTGTTCCCGCTAAGTATGCAGTGATGCTGCAGTGATGCTCAGGGGATGCCAAGAGATTGTCTTGGCCAGTCGATGTCAGTCTGAGGCTGTTGACTCGGACCACTGCGAAAGCCTGCTCGATGACCAAGATCTCCCAGCGATTGCAGGAGAACATTTTGAGAACTATAAGAATACCATAGAGCTGCTGTAACTTGTAAGCTTTTGATGGCCGGCAACCCACCACGGCATTGCTGATGATCCCCCGCTTCCAGCGACTCCCCTAAAATATGCAAGTTGAGACAAGGACGCCTACTGGCAAGATCAAGCTGAACCATATCCAGCGAATCCTGACCACTCTGAACGACGACCTGAGTTCTCCTCATTTGACTCCGGAGCAGCGGCGAGAAGCGCTTGAACAGCTCAAAATCCATGGCAGAGATCCGAAAGATGCCGGACCCATCTTTACCACAGAAGGAATTGGGATCCTGACCAAGCATGGGCTGACGGAGAGGTCATCGCCCAGCTCACTGGAGGCGTTACGATGTCTTGCCAACGCCATGTTGCTTGAACCGAGGACTAGGCAGATTTTCGTCAACCTGGGATCTGCCGGCCAAGCAGCAGAGAGGTTAAAAATCCCGGACTCTGACAATGAGTTTCTGATATCACGCATCCTCTTCTTACTGACATACGAGTCCAACCTCAACTTCGACCCTCTGTTCAATGATCACGATCTTGGACAAAGTATCAACGCTCATACTGCGCGCCACGCCAAAGAAATCTCTCAAGCAGACAGCAAGAACGAGCCCTCTTCCTTTGACCAAGCTGCCCTCTCAGAATCACTCAAACTTCTCTTCAACCTCTCAACCTACTATCCGCGACACGTCTCAACCTTCACGGCCTCCAGCGAGAACATCCGCAAGATCCTCAGTCATATTGCCATCCCCAACCCACCCCTCCAACCCCCAATCACCCACCTGATCAATGCCCTTGTCAATCTCGACCTCCAAGACGACCACCAGAGCGACAGCATCTCCAATCTCACCACCACCATTACCATCCTAACAACCATCCTCTCCCAAAGCCTCACCAGCTACAACCCCACCGAACTCGAAACCCACGCCATCCCCCTGCTAACCCTCCTCCGCAAGATCTACGCCTACACCTCCCAAACCCAGAAAAAGCACATGCGATCTCTCCTCCTCCCCCAGAAATCCGACCGCGACCTCCCCCTCGGCCAATCCGACACCTTACCCTCCAAACTCCTCCGCCTCTCAACCTCACCCGCCGCCCCAAAGCTGCGCGAGGGAATCTCGAGTCTCCTGTTCGAGCTCTCAGACCAGGACGCGACCACTTTTGTGCGGAATGTCGGGTACGGATATGCGGCGGGATTCTTGCTAAGTCATGGAATGGCGGTGCCGGAGTCCGCTATGAAGGCACGGCACGGTAGCGCGAGAGATGGAGACGGTGAAGGAGGTGAGGTGACAGCGGCAGAGGAAGGAGAGCTGGTGAATCCGGTTACGGGCCAGAAGCTGAGCAAGGAGGAGGAGGCTATGGTGGATACGGGGCCGGAGATGAGCGAGGAGGAGAAGGAGAGGGAGGCGGAGAGGCTCTTTGTGCTGTTTGAGCGGTTGAGGGCGACGGGCGTGGTCAGCGTGGAGAATCCAGTCAGGGAGGCGGTGGAGAGGGGGGCATTTGATGGTGGGGGTGCAGGCGGGACAGGAGGTGGGAGGGTCGAGGAGCTGGGTGATCATGACCATGATTGATCATTTCTAGGAACAAGTCATGAATGGAAATATTGTATTACGGATTACTTGGATTCGTGGTAATCACTAACTGGGGTCTGTGCACAAGATACCCAAGTCCTTCAACCCGCATCTCCGTTCGACATCTCGGATACATAATTGAGTCTGTGATCCGACGGTATGCATGTATGCATGTGTTCTGTCTGAGGGAGAAAAACGCAAAAGAGCCGCTGAAACCAGTCCCGAGTACTTCAATCAGCCCCTTCAACCTCCGGTTCAATTAATAATGGTGATATCCCCTCCCCCACGTCTCCCGCTCAATCGACCTCGCAATCCAATGCGACGATCGTGGGAAAGCATATCCCGTTTTCTCCGCGACCCAGGCTGATATCATATCATGCGGAGGATGCTGCCTATCCGATCTCGAGGGACCGGGGGCAAGCTTTTCACTGATCAGTCCTGGGCGGACCCTGACAACGCGCAGTGCAGGATCCCTCCCAGACCACTCACTAGTATTTACGGCGGGCCTGGCCGCAAGGAGAGAGAGCCGTCGTTGCCCGCGATTCATGCCGCAGAAGTCATCGACTCCGAATCTCGCTCGGCCTGCTGCCGTGACTGGCGGAGTTGAGGACTGAAATTATTGAGATCCCCGGAGGGAGAGGAGGAGGCAAAAGTGTGATTTTGGCTCCGAGATTCGGTCGCGGGTAGATACTTTTGCGTAGTGGCTCTATGTGATTTATGTAGTCCGTCGATGGTACTGTAAGGAACGGAAAAAGGAGTTTCAGGAAGTGATCTAACTGCGGAATATATAGCATTGCCCTTAGGCGACCCTGGGCCCCTGGGATTTGAGTAAAGTGGTCCTCCATCTCATCCATACCCTTGTACGCAGAGGGGAAGTCTTAGTGGAGTCCTTAGGTGCGAGACCAGGTGACAGTATTTGTACCAGCGCCTCTCCATGCCATCATACGAAGATGTCTGACAAATGCTTTTCGTTTCGGGAGCTGACCGTGCTAGAAACCGCTCTCACCATCACCTTTCCTTCCTCTGGCTAGCTGATAGCCTGCCGGAAGACATCCAAATTCCAAGTAATTTGGAGCCAGAACCCCCATACTCGAGACCTTTCCCACCTATCCCAACACCTTATCCACCTCCCTCATGCACACCGCCGCAGCCACATACTTGAAACTAACAAACTCCCCACCCGCCCTCAAACCCTTCTTCTCGGCTTCCAACCCTACCTCAAAACAAGCTATACTCCTCGCCAGGCTCTCCTCGCTTCTCTCATTGCCATCCTTCGCGATGCAATTGACAATGTACCCGAGGTCGTCGTTGAAACGCTCTTTCATGCTGATGGAAAGCTCGTGCTGTTTCTTACTTTGTGCGCCGGTTTTGCCAAGGATATTGCCCACGAAGACTTCAAGCTCGCTGAGGGGGCGGGAAGGTTGGGAACTATACTCAGAGGCGATGTTCAGAAGGCAGTCTTCGTACCTGGGCATTGAAGTATTAGCTGTTAGCTTTGAGTAAGTGATATACATGTCTGAAAGGGAGATGAGATGAGTGTTGCTTGACAAGGTGGGTGAGAAGCAATGATACATACTCATCGCGGATTCCTCGAGCCCGCTCGAGGTGGTGCTTCCATTGGACTGCTTGACATCGACGCTGGAGATAGGTCCGAATGCCCTTCAACACAGGACTGACCGAGCCCCTAGTTCTACCCACCTCGATTACATGTAGCGGTGCTTGTTGCTGCACGCTGTTGAAAACCTCCTGTTCATCGATGGCGCGGTATAATTTTCCTAGGATTTTATCACTCTCGTAGTATTTGTATGGTTGGAAGTCATCGTCGTCTCCATCATTCGTCTCAGGTCGAGCATCAAACGAGAGCGGCTTATCCTTCTGTACAGCAATATGCGGACCAGGTGCCATAAAGTCGGGGCGATAACTGTTATACCGTGGCATTTTTTTCATATCAACCTATGAGATTGCTCAGCATTTGAAGAATAGGGTCCGCGGATTCCGAAAATATTACCGGTATACCACTCTTGGAGAAGTCGACCGCTGTTGAGTGCATCGCAGCCAACAGCTGGCAGTCGGGATCTGACACGCCTGCCTGCTTTTGATCCGCAAGAACTTTGTGTAAGGTAGCAATTCGACCCAGCTGGTCAGTGGCCATGAACGTCACGAAGAAGTCCGTCATATCCTTGCGTACAACTTGGCGGCCAAGATCGACAGGTGCTTGTGCAGGATAATCGGCGGGTGTGAATACCTTCGTCGGTCGCGCCTTGGGGTCAAGTATGATTTGATAGAGATCACCGTCTAGATCCCCACCGCTCAGCTGGCTAGGGAGGTCCCGTGGACCCTTTTGACTGAAACATATGCAATTACGAAGCTTCATCAATGGCGAATTGTTCGGTACGGCAACAGCCGTCACCAGCTGGATATCACCTGGATGAAGCGCTGGGGCACGGGTGATCATCAGATCTTTGCCAGTTATGACCCTCGGCTTTCCATCAGACTCAACGATACAGAAGATTTGACCTTCCTCAATGATTCCAGTTTCGTCCATGATGCCATAAAGTGTATATCCGTCTTTGACGGGAATCCTGGCCTTGTATTTTAATGCACGGAGTTCGATGAGAACGGTGAATTCGATGACCTCTCGTAGAAATTTGTCTGCTTGAAACGAGAGATTCAAGCTGCGAAGTTTGTTAATGAACCACGGTAGATGAATGATTTCCCCCACCGCCTGTGCCTTGAGAAATTTTGAGGCGTTTGTGGAACTGGAAGTAGTCGAACGCAGCCGCTCAACTTCCCTTGCTTGATGATAGAGGAAAAAGTCGTCTTTCACTCCCATGTCTTCGAGGATTTTGATAGACTGTTGGTTGAGGAACAATGGAAGCGGCTTATATGCTGCGCCACATATCTCGACGTCGGTTGAGTCGGATCCAGGGAACTTGATCATCGACTTACGCAAGAAGAGTGAGTCATGTACAAGACGACTGTCTAGTGCAATCATTCCCTTTGCACCTGCGGGAAAGTCAGCATCACTCAGTTGATGGAAAGTAGGTATATATCCAGAGCTGGCTCAGTTCAGCCGAAGATTAAGACTGAGTGAAGTCTTAAATGGAAAGGCAAGGGGGGTACGATGTAGATATGGTATTGTATACCTGAGTACCGGATCTGTAAAAGAGACGGTTTTGTTCGGTTCGTGCTGGGCAGGGCGTCCCATACCTGTTGTAGAACAGACATTGATACTGTTCCAACACCATCACTAAACACTCGGCCGTTACGTTCAACGTCTTTCATTTCCTTAGCAACTCCGGGAGCCAGGGTTACCGCGGTTGGAGTCTCGGAAAAGGCTTGTCCGATTCTGGCGGCACATTTTGCAGGGCAGCGGATGCGCGAGAAATCACCCAACCCTGCAATAAGCATGCGGTCATGTAGAAGTTGCCCGTTGTGAAAGAATGGGGCCATGAACCAGCAGGATTGTGCGCGAAGAGAAGAGTGGGAGAATCCAAGGAATTTGAACTGTCTTCCGCCTATGTTGATACCTTCATCTAAGATTTTGTTGAATCTCTTATAGAAGATGAGGTCATTTGATACATCAGGACGATATTGGACTTGAATGCCATCTTCGTCGCAGAATTGAACCCGAATGAAGTAATCGTGGTGCTCAGGGTACTTTCGAAGAACGCGATTGTTGCTTTCTGGCTCGGGACCATACAGGTAGGTGCCGGCAGGAGTGACAGTCACCCTGTGGATGATGGCTACATTCTTGGATTGCTTTGGGTCGTTAAAATAAAGGCCTCCCGTCTTCAGCCGTTCTTCGTTCTCTTTCAACAGAGATGTAATGGCTTCGAGTTGGAACTCCACAGCGTCGGTGTTGGGACCAGCAAAAGGGAGCTGCTGGAACAATCTTCGTATTGCGTTGACACAGACACGTATGTTAGAGCGGCTCCACAAGCTTGCTACCTCGGGCAGAAGTGCTAAGACTTTGTTTGGCGAGAGATAGCCACTCTGTGCAAGTTTCTGTACCTGAAATTTGACCTCAAATGGAAGTCTGGTGTTTGCTTCTGTTAATGCCTGACGCAGCCTACTCATTTCTGCTCCGTATTGCCCCTTCGGGCTATGGATACGGGTATGACATCGGGTGGTTGGTGGTATCCCACGAGCGTGACTCAAAGCGTCCATGTGTTCGTTCAAGGTACTATTGACGAGCCCAATCCGATACACTAGGCAGCTTCCCGCGATCTTTTCATGTTCAATGTTCAGTCCAGGGAGCCTCTCCTTGCTTGGGCCACTTTGAGGGCTGAAAGTCAGCACGGTCTTTAACACATCACTCAAGTCTCCTGTGGTTGTTCCGTTAGCTTTACCAACGGGTTGAGAAAAGTGTGGAGCCTCCGTCAGAGTGAGCGTCATGCCAGGTTGGGGTAGACCCTCAGTCGCGATTGCCTGGATAGTGGAGTATGGTATATCCATGCTCTGGCCTGTATCCATCCTTATAACCGCGACCTTGGCACCGAACTTCACGCTTCCGCGGACCGGCCATTCCAAGTAGGATGTGAAGACTAGATTTGAGTCGATATACTCCCAGAGCCCGCAGGATACAGAAGAACACTCCAGGGAGGAGACTGTATGGTCCTTGGCAGGCTTTGTTGTCCTTGTCTGTCTGACCTTTGCATCCATTTCTAGGCTCTTTAGGGCCAAAGGATCCGCCGGCTTGTTGCTCCGGGTACAGAGCAGTAGCTTCCCCTGGAACATGCGGTCGGCACCACCGAGGCCAATCCTCGCTTGTCCGTACCAACTTAGGAATCTTTGGCCATCTTTAGAGCTGAGGAAGGTCAACGTTGCAAAAGGCTTCCTGCCCTTCTTCTGGCATTGCCAGTTCTCGATGGATAGGTTGGTCAAGATTGGCAGGAAGAAAGCAGACACCTGACGCTCTGTCGCTCGCTCAGGCACACCTCGAACGAATACCTCCATCAAGAGATTGAAGCCCAATTGAGGCCGGACTTACCGGGTAGACATGAGGTTGCAGGAGTGATAAGACTATCAGTATTCATGTAATATCTGTCTGTCCTTCGTAAGCGGAGGTGGCGATCATGTGGGCAGGCGAGGCTGTTGTCGAGACGTGGGGCATCCTGCACCCGGTACCCTGCACGTTTTGAAACACGTTACTTGGAGTTGCTCTCTCCATCCTCCACATCCAGTAGTATGGAGTACTCCCCCTCACACTGATTCAGCGTTCTATCAATGTGAGGCTGAGACCAGCAAACTTGAAGTCCATGAGACAGTTCATCCTTAGGTAACGGGTATTAATCTCCTCCTCCTAACTAAGTTAGTAGTGCAGTTTCAACTGTCACTGTACCAAGCGCCTAAATATTGTGCGTCCCAAAAGTGTTGCAATTCC